CAGAAAAATCCGTATGTATTCAACATGAAACCACTTAATCAAATATTTATTGGTATTGTTTGAAAAATAACATTACTAATTTTCATATGTTTTAAATATTTATACAAAATCTTGAATGAAATAAACAAAATTACCGATTGANGTTGGATAAGTGGCCGCTGTGCTCCAAGAAAATGTTGTTGTAATAAATAAGTGTGTCCCAGAAAAATCCGTATGTATTCAACATGAAACCACTTAATCAAATATTTATTGGTATTGTTTGAAAAATAACATTACTAATTTTCATATGTTTTAAATATTTATACAAAATCTTGAATGAAATAAACAAAATTACCGATTGAAAGCGGTTTTGCTTAAATTTGAGTAAAAAATATTCCTCCATTCTTGTTTTTTCTTGAATCTCAGCAGGATCTTTGTACACACTCAAGATCTCCACAGCTTGGTTGAGCGTGGTACCAGCTGTGTACTTATGTCGATTCTTCCTCTCTTGATCCTTGTGTGAGTTGTGCTCAGCTTCTTTCACCATTCTGGTGATCTCATCGTCTGAGAGACCGCCTGAAGATCTGATTGTGTTCTGTTTCTCTTTATTCGTTGCTTTGTCTTTGGCTGAGACAGTCAGGATACCATTTGCATCAATGTCAAACGTAACTTCGATCTGTGGCATTCCTCTAGGCGCAGGTGGGATCACAACGAGATCAAATTCTCCTAGATTTTTGTTGTCAGCTGCCATCTCATGCTCTCCGTGAAGAACTTTGATTCCCATTTGCATTTGGTTTTCTGCAGCTGTGGAGATAACCTAAGAAGCAAACCACAAATTAGCAAATCAGTAAATGGATGTAAGATATAATAATATTTTCCAAGAGATCATCATTTTTACCTGAGACTTCTTTGTTGGGATGGTGGTGTTTCGGTTGATCAACCTAGTGAAGATTCCTCCAAGTGTTTCGATACCTAGTGAGAGAGGGGTCACATCCAAAAGAAGCATCTCTTTGACATCACCACGGAGGATACCACCTTGAATAGCAGCTCCCATCGCAACCGCTTCATCGGGGTTAACACTTTTGCAAGGGCTCTTTCTAAAGATCTCAGAGACAACTTCTTGCAATATGGGAACACGGGTCATTCCACCAACGAGAAGAACCTCGTCGATTTCCTTAATCGACACTCCAGCATCCTTCAGACAGTTTTGGCACATGCTTCTTATTCTCTCGATCAACTTGCTCACCAGAGCTTCAAACTTGGACCTAGTTAAGGTTATGTTCAAGTGCTTCGCATCTGCGGTGATGGAAGGCAGGTTGATCTTGGTCTGAGTTGTGGAAGAAAGCTCGATCTTCGCCTTCTCTGCAGCTTCTCTCAGCCTCTGGAGGGCGAGCTTGTCCTTGGTCAGATCAATGTTGTCTGATCTTTTGAACTCATAAACGAAATACTCCAACAAAGTGTTGTTGAAGTCTTCTCCTCCTAAAAACGTGTCTCCATTTGTTGCTTTGACCTTGATAAGAGAAACTCAGTCATATAACCAGAAACATACACACACACACATATATATATATAGCAAAAGGAGAAGACAAAAACAAGGGCATTACCTCAAAAACACCAACACCCAGCATCCTTTGTGGCTTGTCTCTGCGCATCATTGAAATAAGCAAACACCGATGGAGTGGTCCTTGAACTTTCTGCGTTCTCAATAACCCTTGGGGTCTGCACAAACAAGCTCAAAAGTCAATACCTTTTTCCTTTTTATTTAAAAACCCTAAAAAAACAAGGGAGAAGGAGTTTACCTTTCCTTCTATCACTGCTACACAAGAATAGCTGGTTCCCAATATTTTGTAGATAACTGAGGGTTATTTTAATTAATGACTTCATCTCTAACACACATCTTGATCTCGCATAAGTTTGTAACTCTTCTACGATATCTCCAAACTGAACACTGGATGGTCTTTCTACGAGTATGATCTTCCTCATCCCTCCCCCTTCATTCCAAGAGCAACAATGTCAGACTAACGAGCCGCATGAAGACATCTTCAATTTCGGAGACATATTCACTCGTATATCACTTTGCTTATTTAAAATTTTTCAAATATTGCACTTTGAGTTTGCAACGGTAAAAGATTTTTGTTGGTCTGGCTTTTTTTATTCAGATTTCAAAATATTTAATTTTAATAACCAATTGTAATAACATCTATGTGTGATTTTTGAGAATGTCATATTCCCAAAATTTAGCAAAGCTTAGGAGGCTACACTAACAAAATAGACACTCCAAGCAGCAAGAAAAAAAATCGTTGTTACCTCCGATACAAAAAACCTGCATTTTCGAACTACCAAGCAATTGAGATTAAAGAAAACAGAATTATCTTATTAGAAGCTGTAAAATTTGATGAAAAATGTTTATGTTCTATACTTTTTTTTTTCAAACTAAATGAAGGAGAAATAACTATAATGTTTTTCCCTGTTTAGCCGAATTAATATTGTTGGTTTGAGGCGCATAATGTTTTAACAGCTATTACTCAAAATGCAACTGAAATCCAGACATGTGCTCATCAATGCTACTGGTGGAAAAATGATTTTATCACTTTTTTGGTAGGAGAAGAAGAATGAGAAGAAGAAATATTTGAGTCTTGAATGAAGTCTCAGTGTTGTGTATATATTAGTTTTTTTGATTGAAAAGGGTTATAACTTGATCATGTTAGTTTTGTAGTAATTTGAATCTTTACTAGAAAAAACATGGTTGGGCTGTGTTGCATACGCTTTTCTAATATGAATGTTCTTTGATTTAATAGAGTTTAAAACTCTTAACTTATGAGGCATTTTTTGTAAAAAGTTTTTTTTTCTTGAATAAATTGAACATTAATTCAAAAAAAAAAATAGAGTGTAAATGTTTGAATTATATATCTCTGACATTCTATATCCATTTGCCTAGTTTATGACCAATTAACATAGAGATATCTTTACATGTTAGTATTCATACAAGAGATTGTTGTTTTTGATATGGTTTGTAAAAGTGTTTAGCCATTAGTAAGTCTTGTGGTGAGAGGTTCACAAACATACCGCGTAAAAGACCTACCTTCTTGGGTAAGATGGCTAAGCCCATTAAAAGCCCACTATTATTTTATTCGAGTTTATAATTACAAATTAAAAAAAAAAAAAAGAGAAATTAAGTGGAACCGGAAAAGAAAAACCAAACTCGGCTCCGTGAAGAGAAGACAGTGAGAAATGGCGACCGTGCAACCCAGAATCATCTCTTCCTTCATCGGCAACAACTCTATTCGCTCGACGCAGCCTCTTCCCCATCTCTTTCGCTTCGATTTAGGTTCCTTCTCCCTCTCTTCTTCTTCTTCTTCTTCTATTAAGTTATTACAAAAAGATTAAAACTTTCGAGTTGGCTATTTAAACAGGAAGAAAGCATGTTTCGATGCAATTATCGAGAACCCTTTCAGGATTAACCAATCTTCTCTTTAATACTTCAAGGTAGCATTGAGATGTTTCTTTGTGTAGCATTGTATTATTGTTAACTTTGGTGTTTGCTGGGTGTGAAGAAACGTTGATGAAGTTATCGATGGCAAGAGAAAACGTCTGAAACCTGGACACGTGTCTCCTCGTCGCCCTGTCCCAGCCCATATAACCAAACCTCCTTATGTCGAGTCTTTTAAAGTCCCTGGAATCTCAAGCGGGCTTGAAATCCATGACAAGGAAGGTATAGAGAGGATGAGAGCTTCTGGGAGGCTTGCAGCTAGGGTTCGTGAATACGCTGGCACTTTGGTTAAGGTAGTTTAGTTAGTGGGAGGGAGGACAAAGTTTATTACTTTTCTTTTTCTTTACAAAACATCATCTTGGTTCCTTTTGGTCTGTTTGAGACAGCCTGGTGTGACTACAGATGAGATTGATGAAGCGGTTCACAACATGATTATAGAGAACGGAGCTTATCCTTCGCCTCTTGGTTATGGAGGTTTCCCTAAGAGTGTTTGCACGTCTGTGAATGAATGCATTTGCCATGGAATCCCTGATTCACGACCTCTTGAGGATGGAGATATAATCAACATTGATGTCACTGTTTATTTGAACGTAAGCTCTCTTCTCTTCTTCACTACTAGTGAAGTAAGTAGGTTTAGTCAATGCTTATGTTGGTCTACATTCTCTACAGGGCTATCACGGTGATACTTCAGCTACTTTCTTCTGTGGAGATGTCGACGAGAAAGCCAAAAAGCTAGTCCAGGTATATATATATATAACCAAATCAGTTCTATGAAAAGTCTGTTTTTTTTGTTATAGTTTGATGAGCTTTTCATACTTTGGAATGTGTTGGTTTAGGTGACTAAAGAGTCTCTTGACAAAGCCATATCAATATGTGGACCTGGTGTTGAGTACAAGAAAATTGGCAAAATCATTCAGTAAGAGATCGATTACTTTAAGCAATTATTAGAATATTTTGAGTTTCTCACCAAATCAAAATCTGTATGAAGTGAGCATGCAGATAAACATAAATATGGAGTGGTTAGACAATTTGTAGGCCACGGTATTGGACGTGTCTTCCATGCTGATCCTGTTGTTCTACACTTCCGTAAGCTTTTTCTCTTTAAACTCATTCCTTATGTTCACATAGTTTCTAAACTTCTTCTTCTTCTTCACAGGGAACAATGAAGCTGGACGTATGGTCTTGAATCAAACCTTCACCATAGAACCAATGCTTACCATAGGAAGCAGAAAACCAATAATGTGGGATGATAATTGGACCGTGGTAACAGAAGATGCAAGCCTCTCTGCTCAATTTGAGCATACCATTCTCATAACCAAAGATGGAGCTGAGATACTCACAGACTGTTAAAAAAATTTGATTCCCAAATTTGTCTCAGATTGATCTTTATTGGAATGTAACACAAAGGAAGATGTTATGTATGAATATTCACATACATATATTCAAATATTCTTTTGCTCACATATGTAATCACACAAACAGATACAAACAATGAGTTTTATAGATTGTTTCTGCGTACAATTATAAAAGATCAGGTCTTGAGATTAAGATATGTTGACTCTCTGAGTTTCTTTTCGTCTGACAGAATCTTTGCAACCCTGTAATTAATTAAGTAGCAGTGTTTTACAAGTTAAATGCCATTGTAACTAATATAAAGCTGTAAACTTGGTTTCCCTGTAAAGAAAATAAATAATAAACCTTTTGAGCGCTTCTTCGTTGGTAACTTGATCAGGGATGGGTTCGTAATGGCCAGTTTCGAGATTGACACGAGATACATTTTTCTTCAATAAAGCTTTACCAACTTCAACAAGACCTTCCATGTTTTTTTCTGTCGATATGTCCACCGAACCTATGTCACCCTTCAACGTATCATCCTGTAATACAAAAATTTATAGTATAAAATGTATATTATTTTTATATTTTAAATCAAAATATTGACCATTCAATAGCATTAAACAATACTCTTTTGATATATCATTGTACTTGTTTGATTAGTGTTTCGTACAAGTAAATACCATAGACCAACCTTTACAAGAAATCATTCTTTAGCATTTCTTTAGATAACATATTATATAACCAAGAAGGTCTGAATTTTGAACAACTCATTTCAAACCAAAACGTTTAGGTAATTAAGATACTTCATTTGCAATTTTTTTGTTTAAAAAAACATAGAGATGAAAAATAATTGTCATGCAAAAGGGAAGGAAGAGACTCACATCAATACGTAAATAATTAGTCTCGGAACGAAGAGCTTGAAAAACGACACAGCTTTGGTAATCAACAATGTCTTGGATGGCTTCATTGTAACAATCAATAAGTGGACTCGAACCATCTGCACAGATCCAACTCACCAGTCCCCATTTTGACGCCATTATCGCATCATACTTCTCTTCATTTCTTATCGAACCTGTCCCAAGCGATACCACCACAACCCTCGTGTAATCCAATGGGCTCATGTCTCCCATCGCTGGATTCTTCTTCACTATCTGCTTTGTCACTTCAGTAATCGCACACAATGTCTACAAAACATATAACATATAGACTAATAAATAATTAGGGTTTTAGGTTGGAAGTTCATCTAACTTAAGAATAAATACCGGATTATTGGCAGCGATACCACCGTCAATGAGGTTATATTCATGTTTATTTCCTTCATTGTCTTCGTTAGTGAATCGATGAGCCGGTAAATAAGTTGGTGCCGCTGATGTGCTTAAGCATATATCTGATATTTTAGCGTCAGTAACTCGACGGTTCACCGCCTATATTTGAAACATTGAATCAATAAACTTGAGTACATATGAATATATGCGTAGAGGGATCGATGTTGGTGTTTAATTTACCTGGTAAGAAGAGAAGATAACTGGTTGGAGATTCTTGATGTCGAAGCAAGGTATGACAACGTTTGTCAAAGTTTGAGTCAATCTCGTGTCTCCCAAGAAATCTTCGATTACTTGTCTTAGGTATTTCCCATTGTACTTTGGTCCTCGTACAAGTCTCACCAGAATTTGAGCCCACGCAAACGCTCCTCTGCACGTTTTAGAAGTTAACATGTTAGTTATCATCAGATTACTCAAGACTCTTGAATTACCAGATCAAACGCAAACGCAAAAGGCACATACCGCGGTTGTGGGAAGATTTTAGGGCAATGTTTGCGATAAAAAGGGACGATTTCTTTGGCCGCAAACAAAGGGCGGTTGGGGTTACGGCTTGCTTTGACGTCTTTTTCCGGTGCGGTTAACATCGCCACTATCAAACCTCCGGTGCTCGTCCCGGAGATGACATCGAAGTAGTCCACAAGTCTTGCCTCCTCACCATCCAATTCCTGTGTAAGATTTTCTTTTTTTTGTTACGTTATCAAATATAATTTTATGAAATACACATTTGAACAAGAAGACTTCTAACTATCTTGAGACTGGATATATTCTAACAAGAATTATTAAGATTCAAAGTAGACATACCTGGAGTTGTGATTCGAGGTAAGCTAAGATAATGCCGGGAATGATCCCACGGACGCCACCACCATCGATACTAAGGATCGTCACATGTTGTCCGTAGGAAGGTGGAAGACAACGCGATCTTCTTTCTGAAGAGAAATCCATTAGCTTTTATCTCCTAGCTCGCTTCGTTTTTAATAATCTAAAAAAGCTTATTAATATGTCTTCTCGGTAAGTGACTAACTTCTCGTCCTGTTTTGAAGACAAAGATGGTTAGAAATGGGATGAAACCCTTAGAACTACCGTTACGGGTAAAACACAAACCCATATATATATATATATATAAAGAGATTTATGTGTTAGAATCACGTTAGTTTTGGATGTTTTGTGTGTATCTAATGGGATGTTTCTTGATTTGGAAGTTACACTTGTGGTTACTTAATAGCATGTCACGTTATGCACATGCTTCTATATTGAAAATATATCAATGACAACTGTTTTTCCATTAAAACAGTTAAATAGACAAACACAAACTATGAGCAAATGTCACCTGAACATATATATATATATGTATCAAAAATATTTCTATATAAAATTGCTGAAGATAATACGCTACTTGTGAACATTTTCATCTTTATGGGATATTTTTTTTCCTCAGTGGTCCGAAATTTTTATGAATAGTAATTTAACTCTTCCTTGCTTAATTTATGTCAAAAATTAGGTTACCATCCTGAACTTGCTATTTTTGTTTTGTTTGAGGTTTAAATCAGAGTTGTTAAAAGATATATAAGATATATTTTACCAATAGACTTAACATAGCAGAGCTGGGTAGTGAGATTGTCCAATAAAAACATTTTAAGTATACAGACAACGAGAACCGCACTTCCGAACAAACGTAACCGCTACACGAGACAATAAAACTGGCCGGAATTGTGGATTTGAAATGGTTACGGTTAGTCATGAAACTTTTATGAATGCAGTATGCGTAATATCTCTTTCCTAATTTATATAATTCCCAAAAATAGACTTGCAAGTTGAAATAGATATTGGATATATGATATATCACATATCTCTTCTTCTTTCTAACGACAGGATATAGCATTGGGTGATCATTAGTAAAATAGAGGTTTGCTTGGTGATTTTAGCAAAACAAATATATATATTGGGGATGATTGGATAGACTATATCAACTAACTTTAGTTTTAAAATCTATTTATAACCATATAAATTACCAATCATGTTTATAATTTTTAAAGCTAAAACTTCAATTTTAAAGAAATAGTTGTTGAGACTTTGTTTTCTAAAGAAAAATGAATACTAAAACCATTTTCTTTTTACTTTTTTCATTTAATTACTTTAGCTACATTAGATACAAATTAAAATTTTCCACAACTAAAATCCAACCAATCACCCCCATTGGTACCTAAATATATATATATATATAAAGAAATTAAAAGATACCAAAACATTTTAATTTGAAGTCTAGTTTTCTAAGCAAAAGTAATATATGTTTAAGCAGTGCATGTTGTTTACGAATTTGAACTAAAGTTGAAATTTCGACACTATATTGTTGACATATACAGTCAATTATTTTATGCAACTAAACATAATAAAAGCACGAGCGATCAAAGCTGCATTCAACTTGATGAAACTTTATGCATAGCGTCACTTTGCATCCTTAATTTCTTTTCATCCGAGAGGATTTTCGCAAACCTGCACAATAACCATTATCAAACAATGCGATAAATTTAATTCAAGAAACCGGTCAACAAAATTTGAAAGTTTCACATTTTGAAAAACCACCTCTTGAGCTCTTCATCATTGGTGACATTTCCAGGAACAGGTTCATATTTACCAGTGTCGATGTTCATTTGCACAACTCTGTTTGTTAGCGTCTTCTCTGCAATCATCACAAGATCCTCTAAATTGGATTTTGTTGCTATATCCATAGAGCTTGCATCTCCTTCCAATTTATCATCCTGCAAACAATTTCACATTTAAATAATCGCATAAATTAAATGATAAAATTCAATTTTTATTTATTTATTTATGTTCATGTGTTGCTGCTCTTACATCGATTCTGAGATACTTGTCTTCGGATTTTCCAGCTTTGAACACAACAGAACTGTGGAAATCAACCATGTCGCGGCTTGATTCCATAATAATGTCTAATAAAGGAGTAGATCCATTGTCAAATAACCAAGATATGATTCCCCATCTTGCAGCCTTTTTTGCGCTATACTTCTTATCTTTTAGTGCAGACCCTGTTCCTATCGACACAACGAGAAACTTGTTGTAACCTAACGGCTTGAGGTCACCCATGTCAGGATTATCAATCACAATCTGCTTAGACACAGCAGTCATGGCCAGCAGAGTCTGTATATAGCAAAACCAAACACAATACAATTAGTTACATGTTAAAAACTCTCCAAATATGCAAAATGAAACCCTAATAATTTTTTTTTTTTTTTTTTTTTGCATTCTTCTTCCAATTCTTTCAGTATCTAGAAACTGCTAAGAAGGTTGTGTGTTTACCGGATTATTAGCAGTAACTCCGCCATCAACTAGGTGAAACTCAGAAGTCTTGCCTTTAATATCTTGATTGAGAAAGTAATGAGGAGGAAAGTAAGTAGGAGCAGCAGATGTTCCAATGCATATGTCTGATATCTTGACATCCAAGGTAGGGTCAACCATTACCTTCAACAAGACGTTACAAAGAAAGTTTACTATTACTGTTAGCTACTTAGCTTGATGTTGATGAAACAATAACTTTGATAGTTTATGTACGTGTTATGCTTAGAAGAGAGATGAGTAGGAGATTACCTGGTAAGAGGAGAAGATGGTGGGTTGTAGTTTCCTCATGTCGAAGGTAGGTATGACAACGTTTGTGAGTGTCTGGTGAAGTCTTGTCTCTCCAAGAAGATCATTTAGTAGATTCCGTAGATACACTCCATCGTATTTTGGACCAGACAAAAGCTTTGGAAGCTTAGGTAACAAAGAAGCCACTCCTCTGCATTTTTCACTAGAATGTCTTTTATATATCTCAACGTGGAATTTTATATAAATGACAAATGTTCATTGGAAAAATTAAATAAGATTTCCAAATTATAGTTTCTTTGTAGTTTTATTTTATACAAGTTACAAGCTTTTTTAACCGTTTACGTTGAAATTTACAACATACAGTGTTTTGTTTTTGATTTTTTAAAAATTACATTGTCCCAGTCTTTGTTGTCATATACTCGCTCCGTTTGAAATTATTGTTATTCTAAAGTTTTCCAAACAAATCAATAAATTATTTAAATGTTCAGATGTACCTTTATTTGACCATTAGAAATATATAACATTTAATATTTACCTTAGTTTAATTAGAGGTGTAAAAAGACAAAACAATAGTAAAAATTGCATTCGAATCATAAAATGACATATATTTTGAACAAAAAATATATGCTAGAATGACAATTAATCAGAAACAAGGGAGTACCATTCTAAACTGTAAAATATAAACATCAAAGTAAAATACAACGATTGTCCTCTACTTGTGTTTTTTTTTCTGTTAAAGAACCTGTAATATATATTTTAATACTTTAAGCATAACTATACGTTTTTTTAAGTTGTAAAATTAATGATTGGCGTTTGTGATATATGATTGTATATTGTTTGCTTACCCGGGCTGTGGAAATATTTTGGGAGAATGTTGAAGATAAAATGGGACAATGTCTTTGGCCGCGAAACGAGGACGTCCGGTCTCGTCTGGTACAGTTATCATGGCCGTTATGAGGCCACCGGTGCTAGTTCCGGCTACCACGTCGAAGTAATCTGCTAGCCTCGCGTCTTCTCCATCGAGCGCCTTGTATAGACACCGGCAAAATTGAACAATATAAGGTATATTGAATTGAATACCTCGGAAAGACAACCAGCAAAAAGGAATTTTATAGTTGAAGTGTTTTGTAAGTAATCTATATAATTTTTATTCTGCTGGTTATATGTTTGAATATTATGTAGTTGAACTATCTATATATCATATATATATATTTAATATGTCATATATATTTGAAAAGAGAACATAACATATAATCAATAGATACAAACCTGAAGCTGCTTTTCTAGATACTCAAGGATCACTCCGGCCATAATTCCTCTGACTCCACCGCCGTCAATGCTTAGGATGGTTACGAGTGATCCGGTAGACGGCGGTTTGTTTTTCATGGAGGACGAGTCCATGATAGTTGAACGATCTTATTTATTAAAAAAAAAAAAGAGAGAAGATTATAAGTCAAATTTGGTGAATATTTTTGTCCAGAAAAAAATTTGGTGAATATTTTGGACGTGAAGATCGATGCGTCGATGTTTGTATATATATAAACATGCAAAATTTTACGTGTCAAGGATTCTAAGAAATAATTTTATTTGATCAGACTTTTCTTCATAAATTTCGAGCTAATCAGGATTGTAGTTCATATTTTTATATACAATTTTCAGTGTCATCGAGCTTGACATGCCATAAGCTTAACTTACGGAAGTAACTGCATACATAAATCTTATTCAAGATTTGAATATTTGCTTTTGTGGACTTTGCATTAAAGAATAAGCCAACGGATTCTGCATCCATAACTTCAAAACTGAATTTGGATGTTTTTGGATTTTGTACGACACATCTTTCCTCTCGGTCCACCATCCGGACTTATTTTAAAGGCATCTGTCAACTCGTTGAGAAGATGATCTTAAATTAGCTTTTTGTTGTTTAGCTTTTTCCAGCAATATTTTCTTCTCAAGTTCTTAAAAAAAAAAATTTGGACTAAAGGCATATGTTTATCAAATTCAAACTTTAATTTTATAATGAATGATTAATTCAAATTTATAATCCATTTGACTGGAAATTTAATGTCAAGAATCATGACTAGTGATTTATTTGATTTGCTTCAAGCTTAGTTAGTCATGATTCTTACAACAACAAAATTGTTCAAACCAAAAATTGCATACAAAGATGGCCGAGTAAATACACAGAAAATATGGCCGAGTAAACACACACAAAGATGGCCGAGTAAACACACACAAAATATGGCCTAAAAACACACACAAAAAGATGCCCACGTAAACACACACAAAAGATGGCCTAGTAAACACACACAAAGATCATATTCATATATTAGTCAGTCTTCCCATATTATTGTTTTTAACGATCAGTTTGATGGATCTTTAATCATTGTGACACTTCTCATTTTCCTTAATTTCCTTTCATCAGATAGAATTTTCGCAAATCTGCATCACCAAATTGATATCAAACATCAAACCATAAGATCCACCAAAAACAAATAAACATTGCAATCTACTTAACAAAAAAAATGGAATTTTTTAAGTTCTAGATTACCTTTTGAGCTCTTCCTCATTGGTCACATTTTCAGGGGTATGTTCATATACACCAGCGTCGATATTCATATGCATGACTCTATTTTTCAGCACCTTCTCTCCAATCTTCACAAGATTTTCTAAGTTAGATTTTGTTGCTAGATCCATCGAACTTACATCTTCTTCCAGTGTATCATCCTACAAATATTGAACTCACACATAACAAATCACATAAAGTAAACGGTTAGTGGCAAATTTTGATATCTATGCCATGGCTCTTACGTCAATTCTGAGGTACATGTCTTCGGATTGTAGGGCTTTGAACAAAACCGAGCTATGGAAATGGATCATGTCACGGCCTGAATCCGAGATCATGTCTAATAACGGAGTAGATCCTTCGTTATATAACCAAGATATGATTCCCCATTTTGCAGCCTTTTTTGCACTATACTTCATCTCCTTTTTTGAAGACCCTGTCCCTATCGATATAACTAGGAACTTATCGAAACCTAACGGCTTGAGCTTACCCATATCAGGATCGTTCTTCACAATCTGTCTAGTCACAGTAGTCATGGCCACCAAAGTCTATACAAGAAAAATACACATACACCAGAAACAAAAATTAATTAAATGATCCTATTAATAAAAATATCGATCACACTCTATTCATTGTCAACTTGTTCTGAATGTAAATGTGTGAACATTCACATTGTATTCAAAAAAGCCATATGGTAGTATATAAAGTTAACATAGATCAATTATTTTTGTTTTCATTTTTGAGGAATTGGTAAGAGGATTGTGTTATACTGGATTATTAGCGGTGACCGCACCATCAACAAGGTGGAATTCAGTGGTCTTTCCTTGACTATCTTCATTGGAAAAGAAATGAGGAGGAAAAAACGTGGGAGCAGCCGATGTGCCAATGCATATGTCTGCTAACTTGACATCCAAGCTAGGGTCAACCAATGCCTTCAACAACAAGGTACAAAGAAATTTAACTGTTACTGTTAGATTGAGCTAGGATGAAACAAGACCATTCGATTCTAGGCTATTTGGTATTTTAAGAAGAGAGATGGAGAGAATTGCCTGGTAAGAAGAGAAGATGGTGGGTTGGAGTTTCTTCATGTCGAAGGTAGGTATGACAATGTTTGTGAGTGTCTGGTGAAGTCTTGTCTCTCCAAGAAGCTTACTTAGTAGCTTACGTAGATACCTTCCGCTGTACTTTGAACCAGACAGAAGCTTTGATAGCTTAGGTAAGAGAGCAGACAGGCCTCTGCAATTAGAATGTCTTTTAATTTCCATATGGAATCATTTTTTTTTGTGCACCATGGAATCAGATATGTTATATGCTCATTTTGTAGGAATGTAAACTATTTTGGATGAAGTATGAGTGATTTTTCATCTTGTACCTTATTACCTAGGCTGTGCCTTGTTTTTGTTCTTTTTTTTGCCAAGGTAAACACTAGATAGTTTTATAATTATTGTAGTCTTACAAACCCCTTTCTCATATTTATTTGAAAAATTCATATAATTGGCCAAAAAAGGAATATGTAATTGTCGACATTATGTTATGACCTGAATATTTAGCATTCGGCATGTTGGTAACAAACAAAAATAAAAACAAAGCATCTGGCCAAAAACAAATGATAACTTAGAACCCACTTATTCTATAAGGATAATTCATTCATATAGTATTGTTCGTTTGACAAAGATCATTATTAGATTTTTCCATTTTATTATGAGCTAATATACATTGTTGGTTTGACTACGTAACTGATTTTTTAATGTGAATATCATTATTTTCTACTTTCGTTTACCAAAATTATTCGTTAAAAAAAAACATAGAGACTACTCATTGCAATAGTTTAAAAAAAAATACTCATTCAATTTGTAAGTAATATGCGTAATTAACAATTGTTTTCTTACTGGGGCTGTGGAAATATTTTGGGAGAATGTTCAAGGTAAAACGGAACAATGTCCTTGGCCGCTAGTTGAGGCCGTCCGGTCTCGCTCGGTACAGTTAACATGGCAGTAATGAGACCACCGGTACTAGTCCCTGCTACCACGTCGAAATAATCAGCTAGTCTCGCCTCTTCTCCATCCATCTCCTATAATATATATATGCATATAATGGTTAATGATTTACGCTACCATCTTTAAGAAATGTCAAATATATAGAATCTTGGGTTTATAAGATACAAACCTGAAGTTGTTTTTCTAGATAATCAAGGATGACTCCTGCGATAATTCCTCTGACCCCGCCACCGTCTAGGCTAAGGATTGTTACGAGTGTTCCCAACGACGGCGGTTTGTTTCCCATAGAGGACGAGCCATCTTCCATGATAGCTGATCCTTCTCTTTTAAGCTAGAAGATAATAAATCAGAATTTGGTTTTGTTATTGTATGATTGAAGCAATTATATATGCGATATATATTCTCGTACAGATATAATAATACACGAATTTACTTTTAGCATATTCTAAAAGATATATGTTTGTTTGGTGAGACTTTTTATTCATACATTTCGTGCTATCATGATTCTACTTTTTCTTCGGGCCATCGTACTGTTTACTGTAATTTATAGACAATGTCGATGTCCATCTTTGGCTGTCATAAGCTTAACTTACTATAAATTATTGTAATAAGATACTGTTTGATAAGAAGGAAATATTGTTCTCGTGGACTTTCCAATATCTAACAAGACCAAAATCAAAAGATTCAAAACTTCAATTATTTGATTTTTTTAATAATTGAGTTTCGTACTTTTTGATTTGTTAGTACACACATCCTTCTCTATCCAGACTTGTTCTACGTTCTAACTAGTAACTACACCTGTCATATAACCTGGATTTGATTGTGCCGTTTCATCTACCTTACTTATAAAACTAATTTTATAACCATTATCAGGAATTCATGTTTCACCACTTCCCTGCTATTGCTGTAGGCTTTATCTGTTAGCTTTAGATTTGAATCCATAATCAGATCGATCAAAAGTCAAAAAAGTATTTGATAGAAACAACCTAGTAACCATATCCGGTTTGATTTATAAACATTGTCGGTTGGATGGCCGGTAACGTGTATTCCAAACTTTATCCAGTTTAGTAATTGGGCTTCATCATTACTTGGGCCTCTATGTAACAAATTAAGGGCCCATAGATATAAAAATGGATATGACCCACTTTGATTGATATTCCTAATCACGTTTGCTAATTAGTAATTACGAAAAAGAGCTAGTGAACATTAGTGTGATTAATCGCACATTCCGATTTAAGGGAAGCTGACGTTGACCAATGACCACAGTACTCTTTCCTTGTCTTTGGTTGTTCTTTATCACACCGAGACACTACAGCTTTATGATAAAGATGTACCTTCCTTCCTTCATTTATATCTAAGTAAAATTTTAACCTTTTTTTATTTTTATGAAAGGCTAATTTTAACCATTTTTTTATAAAGGGTTTAAAATTTTAACATTTATTTGTTTAATTAATTAATTGATATTCACAAAGTCATAATTATTTATTAAATTTTCAGAAATGTATAAAATATAAAAAGATTTATGTCGATTAAATATAGAAGCTTAGAATAATATATATATATATATATATATATTATAATTTAGCAAAAAAAAAATATTTATATTTTCATACATTACAATTTTTGAAATGATCAGATTTCTAGTATTTCACATAACAAAAAGGACTTTATTGTTTAATCAGGAAAACAACTGACACATAAACATCCTTTGAGCCTAATGATACAAAACAATTATTAATTATTGACAAAATAGGTGATCAATATATTTTTGTATATCAGTATATATATTGAGTCATTGACAACGATATATGTATATATATATTATATATATTATGTACAAGTGTCTTTTTATTATATACAAGTGTTTTGACAAGAAATTTCTCTTGCATGCGCTCATAAGTGATAGTGAACATGCGATATACCACGTACGCTAGCCCTAAATGGACCCTATTCACTTGTCTTGCTGGACCACAATATTAGTTAGCAAACGAAGAAAAATTGACCAATCATTGAAAACTTGGGGACCGATCAATGGAAAATAGCTAATTTTATGTGTATAAATGTAGCAAGAGATAAAAGGAAAGGGAAAAGGAGCTATATAGGTCCAAAATGTTACCTTATATGAAATTACAAATTCACAGGAGCAATTTTATATGTGTTTAGCTGTGTTACCATCCTCTCACGAGATGTCATGGTTGTACGTTACTATCAGCACCACATAGATCCATTAATGGCATTGGCATGTATGGGAAAAGGCTAGATGATCAGAGAGGCAAACAATTATGTGGTATCTAGTATATTTATTGTGTCTATATAAATAGCATGTTATGATCGATCATACAAAGAATGATTATAGTAAACTGATAATGTTTTATTTCATTGATACTCAAAAATTTGAATTATATTTTGTATGAAACAAGATGACATATGTATTGGAGAGACCGAAAGAGTCTTCGAATTTTTCAAAACAAATGCAGAGTTTTGTTGAACTTTGGTTCCAAACTTCCAAATGTGCTGATGAGTGAATCGAGTGATGATGGTATCTTTTGATGTTAATTAGATTTATAGTACGATACTACAGTGTGATAGAAACTGATGATGGTCTACGTTTGCATTCTCCAGTAGGTAGCTTAACTTGTATAAGAGTCGAATTCTCATGTGAGAGATGAATATGTAGACTAATAACACCATCGAGAAAGAGACAACATAATTAGCATGCGTCATAATATCGAAGGTGTTGGAAGCGAGTCGTGTATAGAAGATGGAAGACTCAACGAATAATTATTGGGTTTGATGAGTAGAAAGTCTATAACTTTACATTAGAATTTTGTTATTCATAAAAATATATCATTACTTATCTTACAATTTTCAGTTTGTAGTGGTAATGATTCTAATCTTACTTATCTTACAACTGTGCTTGTTCTCGTCTCGGATGACTGATTAGAATATATATACTTCTTCCTTTGTTGTCAAAGTAAAATATCTACTTTTCATATACTCGGAATTAACATTGGAAATGGATACAGTATTTTGTTAAAAAAAAAAGGATACAGTATATGTACGATTATTATTACATGTATAAGCTGTGCAATACATTAAATTATCAATTATAAATTAGTTTTAAGTTGAAAATTCAAAGTGTCTAAAAGTAGAAAGAGCAAATATTTTCAATAAAAAAAAAACTAGAATAATAATCTTGTCACTTATAGAAGACAACTGCAAACAAATCTATGCATTTTGGATGCATTCATAGTAATTCACTTTACGTTGAGAATGGTCCATAGAAGGAAATTGACAAAGAAATTTGTCTAGAATATTTATTAAATTCCGAAATTTTTTGTTTCGATATGTAAATGCGAGCAGGAAGTTCATAACGTTGTTTTTTTCCAATTTGAAAGAAAAGTATAAATAAACAGTTTTTTCGTCACCGTCTGTATAATAGATAACCATAATCGTTGTTATCAAAATTGTAATATAATTCATGTTTCTTTGATCCGTAGGGTTAAATCTAGGCCCAGTTTATGGGGGACCACAGTGTCTAGGTCCAGCCCAAAAGTAGAGCAAAGTAAGCGGAAAAGAAAAGCAGAAGGTTATTATTTATGTGGAGTTCGGACCATTTGTTTATGTTTACAGCGGGAATTAATTATTGGTGACAGACAGATCGGTAAAACAGCAGTAGCCACAGATACAATTCTCAATCAAAAAGGTTTTGTAAACCATTTCATTGATTTTGTTATTAATTTTGCATTTATCGCCATTTGAGATGGAATGTTCAAGTTTATGATTGATGCAATAAATAGCAAACCATAGTAAATGTGTTATAAGTTTTCTATAATATTATAACTCTACAGTTTACATCTTTATATGATACATTTTCAGTTGTCGTCCCATAGTGTTTTCAGCTGGCTGTAATAGATGTATTGTTATAAACTTACATCTACTTAAATATAAGTTTTCTATTTTGATCCATAAAAAATAATTCTATAAATTTTCTATAATATTATTTGAGTTTCTACGAAAACTTTGTGCACCCTCGGTATACAGTATATATTGGGGTAAGTTAAAAGACTTAATATGTAAAAGAGTGAATAATGATTTGGATGGCGAGACGCATGCCTTACATTGTATTATCACTCTTTTACGATTGGATGGTGCACGTTTGAGTATTTTTTTATTTTTTTTTATTTACATGTGCATTCACTAAACATTTTTTCTAATTACTATGATTTTTTAAAGTTAGATCAATGGGTTGCTAACTTGATACTTAATCGATATTCGTGTCTAAATACTTTGTGTGTTTATACTAGACACGTATAGTCAAGTCATAGTACATACGAATTTATTAATTGTTTTGTTATAATTCTTTTTATATGAAAAAATATATTGTATCACTAGAGTGTAATAGCATGGAAGAAAGTTGAATTCCGTAACTATGTACCGTTTGCATGCATAGAGTATGGTTAATGGGACCCTGCCCACTAGAGAAATGGAAGTATGAGTTAAAAAGCTAAATTTTGCTAAGCTTTGTCACGTGCTAATGCTGTCTGCTTTAGTAGAATCTGCCAAAGTATCATTTAATCCCGTTTCATAGTTTATACCTAATCCACCGTTTCTTTTCTCGTCATTTAATATTAATAATACTACTAATAACGTCCATGTTAGTTGATTAAAGTAGTCAAAATTGTATTGATGCTATAATACTACCACGCTTAGCCTCGGCAAATGCAATCTCTAAACTCTACATATATTAAAGTTTCCCATTGTTGAAATAATAATTGTAATCACTTTTAAGTTTTTTTTTCCTTTTTTCCTTGGTGTGACATTACCACTTTACTCGAGTTTTCTTTTTGATCTCAGGACCCAACATGTTCCATCTAAATCTGGTTTGGAGCATGATTTGTTTAATGAGTTTGTTAGCAAGTGTTTTAGAAAAAATTCAAGTAATTTATTATCAGAAAAGAGGTATTTTTTTTTTTACGAATAAATTAATATTATTCTGTTCAGAAACTTTTTATAGGGATACTGAGACATATATTTTCATACGTGAATATTCAAAACATTATCAATTTGGAACAACAGATAAATCTTTACTCTTAATTTCACATTATCTTAATTACTTCCTTTTAGGTGGATCACTCGATTTGACAGAAGAATAAAGGAGAAATGAAAATCAAATGTTAAAAAGGCAATACAAGTGAGATGTCAGCATCTCTCGAGTTTTTTTTTTCTTTTACTTTATTAGTATTTTTTTCTTTTAACATCATAATTAACAAGCACGTTATCTTTGCTTTCTCTAAAAGGTATCAGAATTTAACTCTGCAGAAAACACTAGAGTTTAAGTACAGCCTGCATAGCTGATTACAAAACCATAACTTATATGGTTTAATATTAGTCCCTAATCAATTCTCTAATCAATTGGTTATTTATAAGCTCCAGTTAAACTAATCAACAAATGTGAGATTGGCTTTGTTTTAGAAACGTATCCAGATGTTGTTTGTCTTCCGAGTGACAGCTTTGAACTTTACTACTATTATCAATTATCAGAGATACTAGTGACCAATATTTTTGACATTTCCACATAGTTTTTTTTTTTGGTTGCTCATCATATTACTCACAATGTAAACTCAAAACAAAAAGCTGGAAACCACCAAAAATACTCCACTATTTTTTTTTTTATAATTTCTTGAAACAAGTTCAAATTTCATAAAAATCATTCGAGTTACATTTTTATATTTAAACGTCTACTATCCAGTTTTGATTTTTAAAGCAGTACTCAAAAGGAAAAAAATATATTAAAAATTCAAAATATAGCTTAATAAATAATTCTGACAGAAACCTATGAGTAAAATAAATAGATTCTATTGTTTTTTAGTTTTTAAAAGAGTGAATAAAACAGTAGTATAATTTCTTTAAATGGAAGAAGTGAAAAGATTGAGAGAAAATGAAAGCACCAAAGCCACTAAATACCAAAATTTAATAAATAAACAGAGAGAAAAAAAGGAAGAAGAAGATAAAGTCGCTCTCTTTCTGGTTGTCCTCATCTCACAACACAAACAACAGCTCAAGAGAGCTCATCACTCAGATCTCACATCTTCACTAAAAAAATGATATAATTAATTAAATAGCAGAAATGATATGATTAAACGTCGTTATGTGAAACTTCTTCACCTCCAATAAGAGATTCTGTAGCTCTTTCTCCATTCCTCTGTTCAAGATTGTCTGACCAAACATACATAAATATGAATTAAATATTATATAAATTGGTAGATCTTTGGGGAAACATAAGATTCAAGTAAAACACATGCCAGCCTTACTCTGCTTCTGGGTTGCTTTATCTTCAAGTTTTCCCCGCTCTCTGTTTCATAAACCCAAGAGGTAGTAGTTGTACTAATATTTCTATTACAGTCAATATTAATTAATGTCAGAAAAGGTTTAATTTCTATTACAGCCACTTAAAACTGTATCTTTCTTTTTACTTCTGTTTTGTTTTTAAAAGATCTTTGATGGGGTCTCTCTCTCTCTCTCTCTCTTTCTTGGGTTTATATCAGATAGAGTGGAGAGAAAGCAAAAGTTGAAGGAAGATAGAGAGAAGCGATGAACACTAGTGTTCGAGCTGCTCTTTCCTCCATGAAAGCTCCTTCAAAGCATGACACCAATCAAGTAACTTTTCTTTCCTTCTCTCTCTCTCCCTACCACTTTCCACTTTTGTGAATTGCTTTCTTTGTAGTGCTTTGGAGATATTTTTCTTGGTGGGTTATGTTTAGCTTCTGAAAAAGTGTCTTCCTTTAGATGAATACAATCTTTGATTATAAATTCTCTTTGGATTCTCAGATTATCTTGTTTTAAGATTCTTGGCTTCAACATTGGACTATTTTCACAACCGTATCTTTTATTTGCTTTATAGAAAAAGTTATTCTTAAGTGAAATTAATGGTCACAGTGAAAGTGATCGATACTCAATTGTTATCTACAACTGTCTGCGTGTGTGTGTGTGTTGTTTTCCACTATTAAAGGCTGAGAACAATCTAGTGTTGTCTTTTACAAACTCCATTTTTGCTTCTCTTCCTTTGAGTGTATTCCTTTTCTTTTTTTTTCTGTACGAGTAATGATGTTTCGTGGTATTCTAAAATCTGCAAAGGAGGATAAGAAGAAGAAGATGGAGTCGTCTCAAGGCAATGGAGCTGTAACTAGTTCAGGGAAATCTTTTGTTAATCGGCGCAGAGCTAACAGGGAAAAGAAAATGGACTTGCTTCAAGATGTATGATGATTTAGTCTCTTTGAGTTTAATAATTTGATTGATCACTAAAAAAAAATGCTTAATGTGAATAGGTTGATAAGCTAAAGAAGAAGCTGAGACATGAGGAGAATGTACATAGAGCATTGGAGAGAGCTTTCACTAGACCTCTAGGAGCTTTACCTCGTCTTCCCTCTTATCTCCCTCGACATGTAAGACCTCAATGCTTTTTTTTAATCATACTTGTTGTTCTCTGTGTCTGATCTTTAGTTCTTTATCTGATAAAAGACACTGGAGCTTCTTGCTGAAGTAGCTGTGCTTGAAGAGGAAGTGGTTCGTTTAGAGGAACAAGTTGTAAGCTATAGACAAGGGTTATACCAAGAAGCCGTTTACATTTCTTCTAAGAAGAATCTAGAGAGTCCTAATAGTAACAGCAACGGTTTGAAGGAGAATTCTCCTGTTAGAAGCAGTAAACACCATCGATCTAAATCCATGTCGCAACACGAGTTCAATTCTATGATCACTCCTCCTAAAAAGCACCAACAGTCTCTTAGTTTTAGCAGAAGCATCTCAACTAGGAAACTCTTCACTACTGATCAGACAGCCAATGACAGAACTGGTCAGAGAGTGGTAAATGGCAAACAAGCATCGCCTAAAACGAGTCTGAGCAGTGTTACTAAGCCAGTAGATGTAAGAGGGAAAGAGAATCAGACCTCAAGCACTGCTTTAAAAGACAAGAAGGATAAAGAATCACCTGAGAAGAGGCTTGGCAGGTTCTTGACATCTGTGAAGAAGAAGAAACCTTTGATTAAGCCAGAGGTTGCTGCTGTTCAGCTAGATGATAGATTAGAAGATCAAGACAAAGCGCAGGAGAGTGTCTCAGGATCATCTTCTGAAGACAAGTCGCTGCAGAATGCAGCAAACAGAGTTTCAGAAGATTTACTGAAGTGCCTTGTGAGTATTATCTTGAGGATTAGCTCGTCGAAGGAGATTGTGTTGGATCCGTATAGTAACTATTCAGAGTGGAGAACAAGAGAGCTTGGTGCATATAAGAATCTTTGCTCGGTTGATGCATCTTCAATTGATCTTGGAAGAAGAACCAATGCTTCATTTCTGATCCATCGTCTCAAGTAAGTTTCTCATTTAAACTTAGAATGATTAAATACTTCAAACTCATGTTTTGTGTTGCTATTACCAGGTTCTTGCTTAATAAGCTTTCCGTTGTAAATCTAGACGGTCTTAGCCACCAGCAGAAGCTTGCATTCTGGATAAATACTTATAACTCCTGTTTGATGAATGTGAGTTTTCTTTATATCATAGATTGATAGAGATATGTGTTGTTTCTAATTTACATTGATAGGCATTCTTGGAGCATGGGATCCCTGGGACAGCTGAGATGGTTGTAGCCCTGATGCAAAAGGTTTGTACTCAAACCAAAAGATTAATACGATTCTGCTTCATTGTATTCATCTTCTGGTTGTTGTGTCAGGCAACCATAATTGTAGGAGGACACTCACTAAATGCTATCACAATTGAACACTTCATCTTGAGACTTCCATACCACTTGAAGTTTGTAAGTTCCTTTTGTATCTTCTTCTCTTTGAGTTGTGTATATGCTGCATCAAATTTTTGATTCATTTATCATTTTTTTCTTCTATTGGGAAAGACTTGTCCCAAAACTGCAACACATGAAGAGATGAGAGCTCATAGCACATTTGGTTTGGAATGGTCAGAGCCTTTGGTTACTTTCGCTCTCGCCTGTGGAAGCTGGTCCTCTCCTGCTGTAAGTTTTTTGTGGAAACTTTCAAGTAGTTGTCATACATGAGCTTGCTTGCAACAACTTTTTTGTTTGTCATTTTCAGGTAAGGGTATACACAGCAGCTAATGTAGAGGAAGAGCTAGAAGCAGCAAAGAGAGATTATCTTCAAGCATCAGTTGGGATATCAAAGAAGAACAAACTAATGCTTCCAAAGGTATTAGATTGGTATCTCCTAGACTTCGCAAAGGATTTGGAATCGTTGCTGGATTGGGTTTGCCTTCAGTTGCCTGATAAACTGAGAGAAGAAGCTCTAAAGTGTATGGAGAGAAAGAACAAAGAATCACTTGTGGAGTTGGTTCAAGTAGTACCATATGACTTTAGTTTCAGGTTGTTGTTACTGCATCAATAAAATGAAACAGGTTTGATTGTTTATGTAGTGTTTTTAAGAAAATGTGGAACATTGTATAGAATTGGGAGTGTAAAGTAGAGAGAGAGAGAGCATAAGTTACAATTTGTTATTGGTCGGCTGAGAATATATACATATAAGTTTCTCTTACTATAATATAAAGTGATAGTGATTTATTCAGTTGACCTTTTTATGTGTAATGCTAAATATAATTATGTGTACACCAATCTTTTGTTGTTTAAGAGTAGAGTTTTGTGACTTTTGTCGTATTTGTTTCTTTTCATGTCTCTTACCATTTGCTGTTGTCGGCATTCTTGTCTCATATATTTTTCTTTCCCTCATTGACATCTTTTAATCTGAAAGTTATTAATCGAAACCTAGGAGTGACAAACATAAGTAGTTAAGATTTAAAGAATGACACAAAAAAATAACCAGTTTCTGTATAAAAAGTTAAAAACCTGCATGAATGGCAAAGAAGCAAAAAAAGACGCTAGAAGGAGGGGTCGAACCTCCGACCTTGTGGTTAACAGCCACACGCTCTAACCAACTGAGCTATTCCAGCTTCCGTTAATAATGTTAACTCAATAGATATTATTCATTTGTATGTCATAAATGGGCTAACTGAAAAAGGCCGTAATAAAAGCCCAAAAGAAGCCCATGATAAAGAAGAAGAAGAGAAACAAGTGTCTGATAAGAAGAGAAGAAGGAGAATTAAAAATCGTCGGTTGTTGGTGGCGTTTTGGGAATTCGCGGTAGCCGTTAAACCCTAGTTTGGTGCTGTCTAAAGGAGAAGAAAACCCTAAAAGAGTCAAAGAAGACAAATAAGTCAGATGTCGGATAACAAAGACCACAACTCCGATTCAGACTCGGACGGTGCACCCGAGGAGTTCACCCAGGAGCAGGTTTGTTTCCCCCACTCTTTATTTTGGATATTACTCTAAAAATATATCGTCTTTTAATGGGTTTTGACTTTTGTTTCAGGCTAAACTGGAAGATGCAGCTTTGAGGAAAATACAGAGAGAGAATAAAGCTAGGTTTGTTTGTTTATATCCTCACTTATGTGTAGTGTTATGTTTTGCACTTTCTTTTTGAAAACTTTTGTGAATTGCTTTCGGAGTTAGATCATTAGGGATTGGCTTTCACTGTGTTTGAAGATAAAAGGGTCTTCCTTTGATAGTTAATTATCACTTTGATCTTAGTTTAACTATGTGTAGTCCCTTCCTTAGACGTTAGATTATATGATTTCAATAATCAGTTGTGTTTATGTCATAAGCTCTGTTTGTTTGTTTGTTTCTCTTGTTGTGGAACTTGTGATCGATCTCTAAGCTTCACTTAGAATAGAAGGGTGGTTTTTCTAAATGAGATTGCTTTCGCTGATTCTGTAGGGTTGCCCGGGAAAAGAAAGAGAGTCGCAAGTTTTTAGCAGAGAAGATAACGCCAAAGAAATCACGAAAGATTGAAACTTTCGACGAAGAAGAAGAAGAGGAAGAAGACCCTGAAGCTCTTGCAAACAAGGGATTCCTTTCCAAAGACATCATTGACTATCTTGCACAGCAGAAGAAGTAATTTAACTTTTTGCTATCCCTTTTCTCTTCTCGTTATGCATATAAACACTCAACTAGAAAGCAAAAGATCTTAAGATTTGGCAATGTCTTCTCATATACAGGCAGAAAACCGGTTCTGAAACTGAAGAAGAGGAGGCCAACAAAGAACACCCGAGAAAGAAAAAGAAAAAGAGCTCAGGGTACTTACTGCTAATGACCATCTTCTTATATGTCTTTATACACTATCTTCCTTGGTTTGATCTGATTGACTTTCTATGTCTTGTGTGGTGCAGTATTGAAACGGTTATTTTCAAGGATATTCCACCACCGGAATGCTTGAAAACCGGTCTAGATTTCTTGAAGAAGCGTAAAGCTCAAGTCCCTAGATCTTCTTCAGTCCTCAAGAACTCCAGCCAAGCTCTACGACTTGTCACCGGTGCTGCTTCAGCCAAGACGCAGCGACAGAAAAAATGAAACTCTTGAAGATTCAAATCCTTGTAGGCTTCAGTGCCATTTCATTTTTGTTTTGGTCAACATTAATCAGCTGCTTATTTGCTACTTAAGTTCTGCTACATGATGTGTTAGATGTTTACTAAATTATAAAGTTTCTCCAGATCTATTAAGCTATTAACACGTATCAAGTTCAGGTGTATCAACTAGAGAATTTAAGTTTCCAATCAGGCGATCTTGGTACACAGACAACACTGAATTTGAATGTATATATTAATCTGAATCAGTTTTGTAGAACTTAAGAAGTGCTACAAGTTTCTCACCCAAAAACACACACAACAACAAAAGCAAATTCTTTAGATCACCAAGTTCTGCTTTCAGATTACAAGCCATACCAAATATCTCCATTCATAGTTCTTTACCTTCTTTCCATCTCCAGGGAAGAGACTGTATAATGGCTCAGGCGTGTAATTCTCTATTACAATTCATCGGTTATGTCAGCCTCTCTGAGTCACCTTCTAAAATTTATGGCTCTGTGCATCTCTACTACAAACTCACGTCTCTGAGTCCTCTCCTTCTTCTTCTTCTACAGTAGGAAGCGAACCTTCTCTGCTGAAACCAGGGTTTAGGAACTTGGCTACAAAACCCCAAAGCTTGTAAACATCTTCAAAGTTTGTCAAGAAGCTAAGAGAAGCTGTAACAACCTCAAATCTTATAAACCCGTTTCTCCCAACTTCATTAGGCAAGTGCAAAGAACTATCTTCTTTACTCCGAGCTCTATGGTTTCTTGGTTTATTATCCTCCACTATACGTATGTGACTCAATATACCAATCCCTAGAGATATACCTTCTCTTTCACCCAGTCTCTGAACAATCTCTGGACTAACAAAAGAACCTTTGCTTCTATCTCTAACATTAAATGCAACCGCTGCTCCTCTTTCATATTTGATCTTTGGTCCATATATCTGCACAAGATTCATGTTCCTTCCTCCTCCTCCTGACTCAGCCACTTGTAGCTGCAGAAACGATACCACAAGCCAGTTTATCAGAAACCTGAGTCTTGTCGTGGTTTTATTAAGACCTAACATATTCACATGGTCAATATGTCTGCAAACAATCTCTGTTTCGTTTTCTCTCCTATCCCATTCATCATCTGCACCACCTTCATCATCATCTCCATTGTCAACATCACTCGTGTAATTGTACTCTTCATCGTACACACTAGCTAGAGAAGCTTCACCATGTTCTACTATACTATGACTAATACGGTCCACGTTGAACGAAACCCGTCTTCCTTTGCTTGTGTGTTCATCCTCCACACCCAAAAGTCTGCTTCTACCTCCATCTCTCCCTCCTAGTAACCTGAACTCTCCTTCTGTTTCTCGTCTAATAGCACTCTCTTTGATTTCTGATGAGCCATTTGCAAAGCTATGGCTGCAGTTTTCTTCCTGTATCTCTTGGACATGGAGATCATTACCAGAACTTCTCCTGGTACCTGCTGACATAACAGCAGCATCGAAAGAGAGGACGTCTTTACCATCATATATTGGATTACTGTAACTCTTTGGTCCTACTGGTTTAGGCGAGTGACGTTTTTGTTTCTGTTTGGAAAACCAAACTGGTGGCAATGGAAATGCAATCTTGTTCTGCTGCTGATCAGAACCACCAAGAGGGCTTTGACCAAGATCAATCCAAAACGAGTTTTCAGACGACTCATCTTCACTATAAACAGGGCTTTTCATCAGTTCTCCAACAGAAACACTTTCTGTCTCTTCGAAAATCGTTGTGCTATTAGTTCCATCTCTATCAGAAGAGATGTTATCTTCCAAGAGATCTGTTTCAAACACATCTCTCACTTGTGCTGAAGTGTAAGCTCCAGAGAAAGCCGGCATCTGAGTTCCTTTGCGATTAGCTTCTTTGGTGGTCTTATCATCATCTTCAAAACCAACTAATCCATCAAGACCATCTACTGAATCACTCAAATATAACGGATACTGAGGAGTGATTTTCACTATTCCTGAACCTGTTTTGCCAGACTGACTCTGAAGACTACCCATCACTGACTTTTTAATCAACAGACAACCAAACCCTGTTGGATCATGTCCAAACACACGGTAGAACGAAGTAATAATAAACTCAGGCCGGAACAACGACAAACCTAGTGAATCCATATCTTTAGGACCTAAAGAGCCAGCATCAAGCAACACATGCCAATGATTCTGCTGAGCTAAAGCCATCCACTGGTAAGAATACTTAGCACCAGTAACTCTCGACTGCGCAGGAAACACAAACAGCCCCACCGCAGAGTCTTTCTTCTTCCTCTTCTTATAAGACAACCTCTTCTTCAAATCAGTAGAACAAAGCTTCAAACTAGGCCACTTGAACCAAGCGTTATACGCCTTTGCTCCTTTCTCCTTAGCCGTCTGCGCCATCCAGTTCACAGACTGGCTCTCGTGGTCAAACATTGTCAAAAGCCGCTTGTTCGTCTGAAAAGGATAAGACTCAGCTAGGAGTTTAAAAGCTGAGCCTCTACTTACAGTGAAGACAAGACCATACTCATTCTCAGGGATGTTCAAATAGTCCATGATCCTAGTTTTGATATCATGTTCCACAGTTCCACTCTCAGCTCCACCGTAAAGCGCGTGGTTACTCAAATTAGCAGTGATCTCAGAGAGGCTAAACGTACAAGTATCCCAATAGTGAAGAGTCTGAACATACGAAAACAGACCAAACCCACAGTAATCAAGACATACCTTGGAACCTGACAACAAGTGACTATACTCTTCAGATCTCAACTTATCAATCTTCTCTGAAGCTTGGTACTTTGGATACATGGTGAGGAACTTTGTGAGAGCTTCAACGAGGTCAGGGATGGAGTCTTCTGATTCAAATACATGCTCAGCTGCTAAAGCGGTGGCGCGTAGGAAGTCACGCTGCGCGTGGAGTCTAGCTAAGGATCTGGAGCGTACCACTGCTGCTTCGTCTTGATTGTTGCTCTCTTGGTCGATGACTTGGGATTTGAAGAGTGACCCATTCTCGGAGGCTTCCTCTAGAGCTTCCCTGAGCTTGTCTTCGTAGAGTTTGCGAAGCAAGGTAGCTTCTTTTCTAGCGTTGAGTGAAGAATCTGACGCATCTCTGTTTTTTCTCCTTCTTCTGTTTCCTCTGTTCTTGCTCTTGTCTAAGATGAGAGTAGCACAGTGGTGAATTTGCTTCCACAGAGAGAAATGCATTGGAGAATGATGATGATTCGGTGAAAGGGAGGATCTTTAAGGAAACCCTAAGAAGAGAGACTCTAAAAATGGAAACTTTATAAAAATTAGGGCTTTCAAATTAAAGAGTGAAGAGAAACGAAATTTGACAGAAGAGGAAAGTAAAAGAGAAGAAGTTGAAAGAAGAAAAGTAAAACCAGAATGAAGAAGGAATCCAAGAAAGCTCAAATCCTAGGACCAGTAGTAAGTCTCTCTCTCTTTCTCTTTTGCACACTGTTGAAGAAAAGGCATTGACTTTCATAATATTCAGAAGAAGCAGTAGTGGTGGTTGGTTCATGAGCTAAAACAAAACAAATCATGTATGGTGGAATCAATTATTCAAGGCAAAGGTTTCAAGTCAAATAACACCAAACAAAGACTTAGGATATATAAGTCAATAACAGAGAAAGGACTGTATTTTAGTGGGAATATTAGTATTAGCATATTCTATTTGGCATTTATTTATACTTGTTTTTACTAAAATTTTCTTATTATCAATCTGAAAACAAGACAAGAAAAATGACTCAGGAAAACATATTTGTTGTTGTCTTCTTTATCGTCCACCGGAAGAAATGGATTAACTAGTCAACTCTATTGCGGAATTGTTAAGGTTCTCTAATCATGTGATTAACAAAACTAGCTAACTCTAATAATTCAAACCTTTTTACTTTTATACAGCAAATATATCAACAATAAGTCACAGGTTTTATTTTATGATTACTATATGAATGTATTATTATGTGGTATGTACATGGACCCTACTATTATTAGATATGTTGGTTGAAAACAGACGAAATTTATATATGCCTATTATAAATGTAAGGTTGGAGTGTGGGGATGCTTTTGCCTGCTTTGGACTCTATACATTTTCTTTTTCAAAAGTAACAGTAAACCTAATTTATTGTTGTGACATTTGCCTTTATTTGCTAACAATCCTAACAACATTAATCGAATCCAAAAAAGAAGGCTTTTATCTTCATTAAGATAGACATTGGCCAATCACATATCATGGTTTCTTGTACTACGTTATAGATATAGATAAAAGTTTAGCTGTATTTAATAGCAACTCATATAGCTTTTGTTTTTTCATGTCAATTGCCTATATGGATTTTGTTCTATCACGAAACTAAGACATCTTTGGCAATGCACTAAACGTATTCATCGATAGAGTCAAGATAATAAATACTCTCTTCCAAAAGAAAGGACAAATACACCCTATTTATATCGTTTATTATGCATTAAACACAATGTGCTATTGATTGAACACAATGTGCTATTGATTAAACAAAAATGCCTTCTGTCTTTAGTTATCTCTTCAAGAAATTTAAATAAAATAGTTTAGTTATTTGCTTGGTTTCAAAATCTGTCATTTTCAATGAGACAGAGCACGTAGAATGCTTTCATTCTCCTTTTTTGTGTTTATTTGATGATAAAACAGAGCGTTATTGTTAAACTGCTAAAGGTACTCCTTAGTCCACAAACGAATATTTGAACTTCTAACTTTGAAACTACAAATCTTAATTTAATTCGAGAACTCCAGTTATATCAATGTGGTGCAGTGGTAACTAGATCGAATAGTTAGGGAACATAATAATCTAATGCAAAACTAGCTTGCAATTAAGACCAAAAACAAAAAAGATTGAAAAGAGATTACAAGATCCATGGTTACATAAACATTGTAATGAAAAGGAAAAGATATTACATTTAGATTTGCCTAAAAATGCATCAAGCAAAAAGCACATGAAGAACTTAAACATTTAGAGGTGAGAGAGTTTCTCATTCATATCCATCTGAACTTTTTTTATCTAATTCAAGCTTGACTCTTACGACGCTGCCTCAGTCTTCCACCAATACTATTTGGGTCTGGCTGAATAGACTTTTTCCTCTTGTTTTTTGTTCCTCCCTTCTCTTTCCCTCCAGAAGAAGCCGCCACGACATCAGTCATCATCACAGGAGTTGCTGAATCCATCTCCTTCACATCTAATGGCTTGACATCATCACCTACAGCGTGAACACATCATCAATCACTGAAGTTTGATTGTCAATAGCAGACAAGAAACTCAATGACTTTCTACCTGAATCCGGACTCTTGTTTGTGTCTTCATTATCATCGTCAATGTGATTCTCCTCCTGAACCGCACGCCCATCAGTGATCTGGAGGATGATATCTTCTTCTTCTTCAGAAGACACCTTTGCTTCTTTGAAAGATAGCGATCTCTTTGCAGAAGCTTGGGAAGGAGTTTCTTCAGTTTCATCATCCTCGTTTGTTTCTGCCTGCTTGTTGTTTTGAATCAGATAATGTGCAACAGACTTGTACCCTAGCTTACATACCTGATAAAGAAACATCAAAAGGAAAATCAAAACCGGTGACAATGAGAGAATAATAAACCAAAGTTGTTGCTACCTTCTTGTAAGCTGTACCAGTTGGCAACCACCCTTTACGCTTACGACAGAGACTGCAGTTGCAGATTCCGCGGCAGCCAGGACAGATCCAGTCCGGATTTTCCAGAGTTTCAAGCACATGTTCTCCATATCTATGTTCAATCACCACAACATCATACTCTTAAAAACATTCCTCTTTTGGCACAACACAACAAGATCTTAAACTGCTAACTGCAAAAATAAGACTCAAACATAGAACGTACCTCATGTACAAACAATCACCACAGAATTGACCTGTGACAGATGGGTGACACTTGCTGCATTGTGTACGATAACCAAGCGTCTTCTGCCTGTAAATAGTCCATAATAACTAACCATTAAGCAAACTTGTTCTCAAGCGTTAGACAATAAAGCCACAATCTAACCTGCACTGGTGACAAGTCTTTCCTCTAACAGGATCATAAATCCGCTTCCCATCTTTGGCATAACCATCAACAAAAAGCTCCCAAGTCCGCTCAGTGTTACCTAGCAGCTTCTCATGTTCATCAGTGTAAATCTCTGGCCTTTCGCCTCCTTCTCCAATCCACAAAACCACTTCTTTAGATGCTTTACCCTTCTTCCCTTCCGCTTCCTCGAAGTAGGTAACTGGCGCTGCATCCTTCAACCTGAAGATGACAGCAACAAAAAAAGGAATTGACTTTATACTTCAAAACCCTAGTTTCTTCCAAACAAAATCTCATTCAAGCAAAAGAGAATCTTATGCTTAAACCCTAAACACTAAACCTTGATTTCAACCTTAAAAACCCTAGCTTTTTTCGAAAAGCCCTAATTTTGGAATTGGCGAGAGAGTACCTTGAGGATCGTCTGGTGGAGACGGCGAGCTGAAGAGAAGGAGGAGGGGTGTTTCGAGCGGAAGATCTAAGATCTGGATTCGAATCAGCAGCTTTAGTGTAGCGCCTCTTCACGGGTCGGGTCTCGGATTTGAGCTTGAGGGAGAGATCGATGATGCCGAGATTCTGCATCCTCTGGAGATTCTCCTTGATCCTCTCTTCTCTGCATTTCTCGTAGATCGATACGTTCGAGGCTCCACCGACGACGGTTGGATTAGGGTTCGTCACGGCGGGTACAGAAGATTTCGCCCTCGTGCTTATCGCAGGCATTGTGATTGACTCTGCGACTTCTCTCTCTCTCTGGTTTTCTCTGTTGTTTTCTGGATAAGAGGAAGAAGAACATATGATTTGTTTCTTTCAAGGTGAGATTTGTATATTAGTAGAGACTCCTCATGTCTGAAGATGAACAGAAACAACGGTCTGATTTTTTTATTACTCCCCCCTTGAAATTCAAAAGGTTTTTTTTTTCTAGATAAGTGTGCTTAATTTGCTAGCAAGTGTTTGAATGGACTGGAATAAAAATGGAATGATATATTCTTTACAGTTGTAATCTATATTGATATAGAAGGTGATCTGTGGAAAAATGGAATGATATTTTTTCCCTAAATATAGTGTTGTAATATATACTGATATAGAAGGTAAATCTGTGGAAAAAATGGAATGATATTTTTCCCTAAATATAGAGTTTCTTATTGAGTTAGTCTCTGCCAATATAATTCCATTATTAGTGTTTGAGTGTTTTATATTTTGACTTGTGGTTGGTGCCATTTTTACTAGTTTCCTCATAGTCTATTTGCTTCCTCTGATCTTTCCTATATTTAAAAGGAACCATAAGTACCCTTCAACATAAGAAAATCCATTCAGATAGTGAAACAAGTTGTATATTTCAAATAGATTCTGAAAATTGTGGATCCTGGAAAACAAAACTATAAAAGCTTACACTGAAACTATGTCACATAGAATGGGAAGCAGGTACGGAGAAACGAAATCATATGACAGTATAGAAGCGGAATCTACCAAAAGATCCAGAAGCGGGTATGTGAAAACATATATATTTATTTATTAAATATAAGTTTTTTAATAAAATTTATGACTAAATTTATATGATTCAAATAGAAAGAAAATATCTATTCATTTATAATAATTTTAAATGATTTCATATTATATTTTTGAAAATATAAATAAATTAAGTTTATAAAAACTATTATCCAGTTAATTATTTTTAATATTTAATAAATAATTGAGACAATATATTTAAATATATTATATATGTTATATCTCTAATAAAAATTCAGTGCATAAAGATAATTTATGGTATTAGTTTTAATATTTGCATATTTCTATTCTCTATATTTTAGTATTATTAAATATTAGAAAACATAAAAATATAATTTATATTTTTTATTTTTTATAATATTGTGTTTTATAATGGAAACGTATTCCAAACGAAATCGTAAACTTCCAACGTATTTTTAAATATGATATTTTTGAAGCGTTTTGAAAGTGATTTTGTAAGTTTTTATAAAGTTCTGATTCCAAAACGGGAAGCGAACGTTTGATAAAATTTCTGTGCAACATAGCATGGAATCATGTTTTAAATGGTTTAAACATCACTTGATTTAAATGGCACTAAACTAATCTCAAAAGCTGTTATCTTCAACATTTCTATACTAGAATGAAAGAGCTATTAGATATTAGGACATCTTCAAACTTATTTCATTTTTGTTCAGAAATCAGACTTCAATTAAAAATATAATAGATTTATAACCGTATTTTATTTTAATTATTTTCAAACAAATGAAAAGTATGATTAGCCCAAAAGATAGCATAATCCATTTGATTACTAAAGGAGTAAAACCGAAATAATGTTATATTTTATTTTTATGGAATAAATAATGTACTAGAAATACTCATATATGACCCCACTAGTAAAAACACAACAGATAAAAAGGCTTGTTCTCTGTAAAATACTTATATACAAAAACTAACACTCTATATTTGCATAAAGAGCCCTTAAAATTTGTAAAAAAGTGAAATATAGATAATAAATAATACTTTCTACCTTTTCTCTCCACTTACTGAGTGTTTAAAGTTGGGCTTTTAAAATCTTTTCTTTTCCCTCGACTCCGCCGGCGACAGAAGCCCTAGATTCGATTCATCACCGCCGGATTCTCCAACCATGTCGTCGTTCAATCTATTCTCCACCCCACAACAACAACAACAGCAGCAGCAACAGCAGACAACGACTCCTTCTCCTTTCCAAACGCAGCAACAGCCGTCGTTTCAGCCGCAGACCAATTCCTTCTTCCCCCAACAACAACAGCAAACGCCGTCGTTTCAACCGCAACAGTTCCAGCAACAACAACCACAACAACAACAGCAGCAAGTACAACAGATGTATCTGTTCACTAACGACAAAACACCGGCGAGTTACAGTACGAAGTGGGCCGATCTTCATCCCGATTCTCAAAAACTCCTCCTCCAGATTGAGTAAGCTTATAAAGTTGCTTCCTTTTTATGATTAGGCTTGCTCTAGGGGTTAATGCTATTAGATTAAGTGATAAATTTTGAATCTTTTTTTGTTTGTGTGTAATCCTTTAGAGAGAAGATATTGGAGTCAAGAAGTGAGAGTCAGAGGTTAGACCAATGCAGCAGACTTTATGATTCCTCTGTTTCCACCGAAGGTTTCGAGTTTGATGCAAGCCGCATTATTCAGGTTTTTGTGGATGAATTTTACTCTCTCTATTGTTATTGAGTTTTCTCAAGCTTGTATTAAAGTTTGGTTCTTTATAACATGTAGGAGCTTGGTGGGATTAATACTACCATGGACAGACAGAAAGCTGTTCTCCATGAGCTAATGGTGGTTGTTAAAAACATGCTGCGTGATTCAGAGCTTGTTGTTCGTTCTTTCATGATGCTACAGCCGAGGTTCCCTCATTCTAATCCTGGTGGAGGAGGAGCTGTTGGTATTGGTGGTTCTCAGTCGTCTCAGGCGCAAGGAGCTAATCCTGGTGCAGCTTCCTCTGGTCAACAACAGGCAGTTGCTTCCGTTGTTCAGGTTTCTGACTTTTACCGTGGGGTTCCAAGGAAACCGACTGTTTTTCTACAGCAAACTGTTGCAAGGTTTGAGAAGTATCTAAGCGAGTGTAGACAGTGGGTTGAGGAGTTGGAGCAGTTGCTTGCTTTGGATTCTGACAAGTATAGTCGAAATGCTTCTCTTTTGGAGTCTCTTCCTAAAGTCATCTCTAATGTGCATGACTTCTTTGTTCATGTCGCTGCTAAGGTAACTATTAATGATTGCCTCTAATATTGTAGAAACCTCTTGTGAAAATTGGTTTGAATTTTGCTGTGTTCTTCAGGTAGAGAATATTCACCAGTACATTGAATCGATGAGGACAGCGTATCTTGCTGACCAGCGCCGGAGAGGAGAATTCCATGATCCGTTTCTTGAGGCTGATCGTAGGGAAACAGCAAAACAAGAAGCTGCTGCTAAAAGGGTCCACCCAACTCTGCATCTACCTGCTAATACTACTACAACCCAAGTTGCTGGATTGCTTACCAGCTCAGCGACTCCTGGGGCTTCAAATGCTCCACAAACATCTGCAGCCATTCCAACACCAAACCCTTCTTCAGGAGCTGGCTTGTTTAACACCCCTGCTTCTGCTCCTTCGAATTCTCTCTTTGCTACACCATCTTCTGCTGCTCCTGCCTCTTCTTTGTTTGGACCAGCAACTACTCCCTCGCAGACATCACTCTTTGGTTCTACTCCAGCTCCTGCATTTGGTTCTTCTTCATCTTTGTTTGGCCAGCCAACTCCATCACTTTCTGCTACGCCTTCACAGTTTGCAGGTACAAATGTCATTATATGTTTCCCAAAATTCTCATACGATACAATTTGCATCAAGTTTGTTTGTGTCTGTAGTCTGAAGTTGTGTTATCTGTTTCCTCTTAGGTATTACACCGGGTTCAGGAGCCAGCTTCGGTTCTATGACTGTAAGTACATGTTTGGTTGCATCTATGTTACTCAGTAAAAAAAAAACTTTCAGTGCATGAAATGTCTGAAAGTGAACTTCTTTTTCTCTTTCAATGCAGAAATCTTCAAGGCCAAAATCTAGAACTTCACGCCGTTAGCCGCTGGATTCACATCATTGCATGCCTTTTGAGTTCATCGTTTTCAATTGGTGATGTTTAGTTCGGTGAAAGTGGGAAACAGATAAATCTTATGCAACAATTTGTATCTACTGCCCGTTATTTATTGAATTGATGATTGAATGTTCTCAGAGGCAGTCACTGGGCGCAAAAGTGTATCATCTTTTACTCATATCATCTGGATTCTGGACAAATATTATTGTTATAGTCTTGTAGCAATGAATTTTTTCTTTTCAATTTCATATCAGGAATCTTATTCATACAAATCATCCTTCCCATGAAACATGTAGTCTATCATGGTGGTGGAAATTGAACTTCTTTTACTAATATTATGACAATAATTATATCATTCTTATGCTTTGTTTAAGCATATTTATCAGCAATTTTAAGTAGACGGTCACAGAGCTCAAGTGGCTTGGAGAACATTGGCATATGGTCTGCATCTTTGATCTCCATCACCTCTTTAACCGGAAAATTCTCAATAATCCATTGCTGAAATTCTTTGGTTAAAGCCTTGTCCTCCCCACATATAACATACACACGAGTAACCGAACCATACCCTTCTTTGGTTAAGCTTTTTGCCCCCGTCAGATTACTGGTAACCGCCGGTCCAACTCTCACCAACATTTTCGCCAGTTCAAAATCCTAATAAAGTAATAATCAAACATAAAAAGGTGAAAAAGTAAATCCCAAGTTGGATCTTGAAAAAAGTAAAAAAACAAAGAGCAGTTTTTGTGGAGTCTTACTTGTATAGGTGAATGTTGGTACATGTACTTGGCCAAAAACTTGGTTCCAAGAAGTACAGACGTTAGAGGAAGTTCATGTGTTCCGTATGTCCTAAACTCCATGTTTGAACTTTCTTCTTCCGTAATACTCTCCAGATACTGCCCATAATTACTCACACAAGCCGAATCACAAACCATATATGATCATATGTTTTTGCAAAATATAAAAGAAAACTATACATTTCCCTATATATTCTAGTAACATTACTCTCTTAATCATTCGAAAATATTTTACCAATAGAAGAATAATTAATCGTTTTGGATCATACCTTTTCGAAAGGGTAAGAAGGTGGATTTGTTATGTCCGGCATGAAGGACGTAACAAAAACAGCAACAGAGATCTTACTAGGAAACATGTCTGCTGCAAGACCAACCGATGGTCCTCCAAGGCTATGCGCGACTAGGATGGCCTTATCATCTGAGCCAAACGACTCAAGAACCTTAAGCAATGGTTTGGTGTAATCCTCAAGAGACTGAATCTCTCCCACTCTGCTCATGTTGACACCAGAAGCAGTCAGATCCACAACAGTCACACGGTGTCCTGAAGCTTCCAGCACTGGCTTGACCTTGTACCAGCACCACGCGCCATGGCAGCCACCGTGAACTAGCACATAGTGCTTCATTTTTCTCTATTATTCTTCCTCTAACTGTTGTGTTGTGGGGTTCTTCATTTATGGTTTGGGGACAGATTCACATTGAAGTGTCACTTTCAGTAGGGTCTATGATTGATTGATTGATCCACTAAAGATAAGGCATTACAACCTCGTGTCTAAATTCTATAATATTTTTTTTACCTAAGGAAAACTGTACATAGGACCTCGTGATTCCTACAAAAACAAATCTTGGTTTGGTCTCTTATGACAAACCCGGTTAATTATATACACAAACCCGAGTGAGTTCAGAATTATGTTAATCACCACCATTGACGTTATTGAACTCCCATATTTTACAAAATTTAGGTCTACTAATTCGGGATTGTTTGGTTACGTTTTTTTTGCTTGGTTAAGGCTTCGGTTATGCATGTTCTGTACAATTGATTAGTAAGGTAAATTTGCTTGCTGTTCAAAAAAAAAAAAAAAAAGGGTGAGATTTGTTTTGTTCGTTCCCTCTAATTTGCTGATTACGTGAGGAAATAAATTACGTTAACATTTTCTCAAGATGTGATCATTAAATATATTTTTATCAAACAATATTTAGATGCATGAACACATCCGAAAAATATAAAAATCATAAGACCAAACCGGGTTGACGCCACGATGTAATAGTCTCTCACTGAAGCTTTTAAAGTGACAAGGACGGTCACGGACTGACCAACGTGGACGTCAAGCGACTCATAGCAATGAAACCGAGTAGTGTCTCTCACCAATAGTCTCTACAAGAACATTGTCCATTTTCAAAGCAATGAAACCGAGTAGTGTCTCTCACCGTTATCTTCCTCTTCGTGATCTTCGATATGAACTTAATAGCACTGTGACAATCAACACAAGACCTCAAGTTCTTGAACACCTTAACCCCCGTTCCTTCTGGTGTCGACAAAATAGCAAACGCAACAGCGAGTTTCTCGCTATGATACACAAGATTCTCTTCTTTCTGCTCATCTTCTACATCGTGCAACACAAGATTCGTTGCTGGAACATACCCTTCTTCTTTCATCTTCTTCCTCAACTCACCCAAGTACCCAACTATTTGTTCATGCGTTGGATGTGAAGTATCCCCTGCTATAAACACATGACGCTTACGTTTTATCTCTGTCCAGCTTGAACCGGGCCTTTTGGTGACTCCTATCTCCCTCATTCTCTTTCTCATTCTTCCTTCTTCTTCCCATTTCCCTGCTGCAGCATAGATGTTAGCCATTGTTACATAAGTAGCTGGATTCTCAGGTTCTATCTTGAACAGTTCTTGAGCTGCTTCCTCTGCTAGATCAACGTTCCCGTGAGTGCTGCACCCACCGAGAACAGAAGCCCATAGAAACTTACTCGGTTTCATCGGCATTTCACTGATAATGTCTTTCAACTGTTCGAATCTTCCAGCCCGAGCTAATAGATCAACAAGACAAGTGTAGTGATCATCCGTATGAGACAACCCATGCTTCTCTGTTATCGAATAAAAGTATTCGAGTCCCTTTTCGACCAGCCCTGCATGAGTACAAGCAGAGAGGACGCTTACAAAAGTAATGTGATCAGGTTTAGTGCCAGATTCAAGCAGCAACTCGAAATACTTCAAGGCTTTTTCAGGCTCCCCGTTCTGAGCATACCCGCCGATCAAAGCAGTCCAAGAAAACAAATCAGGTTTAGAACATCCATCAACAACGTGTTTCGCACTCTCCATGTTTCCACATTTAGTATACATATCTACAAGAGAGCTCGATGCGAAAGAGTAAGGATCATACCCAACTCTCGTCATGTATCCATGAACTTGCTTCCCTATCTCCTCTGTTGTTAAATCAGTGCAAGCGTTCAAAACACCAGCAAAAGTATACTCATTAGGCCGTACACAACAAGAACCAACCAACTCAGAAAACAAAGAAAACCCTTCTTTCCATCTACGTGACTTGAAATACCTATCAATCATCGACGTCCACGAGACAACATCTTTCTCAACTATCTTATTATCAAAGATACTCCTCGCTTCATCAACACATCCACATTTCCCATACATATCCATCAACGAACTCCAAAGAACCTCATCTGAATCCAAACCACTTCGAACCACATGCCCATGAATCTCTTTCCCTCTACGAACACACGGAACCTCAGCAGCAGCAGACACCGCGCTAGAAACCGTAAACACATTACCTTTCGAGTTCGGCTCCTTCTGCATCAGACTATACAACAACAACGCCTCTTCAGGCTGATGTCTCTTAACATAACCCGTAACCATAGCCGTCCACGAATAACTATCTCTCTCAGGCATTTCATCGAACAACTTCCTCGCTTCCTCAACCAACCCAGCCTCCGCGTAACCATTCACCATCACATTCCACGAACAAACATCTCTCTGCGGCATTTCGTCGAAGACCTTCCGCGCATCGACCAAGCTCCCACATTTCGTGTACATTCTCATTAGACGGTTGCAGATAACGACGCCAGGGACGAACCCGGAGGTTCTAATGTGTTGATGCACTTTCTTGCCTAGTTCAAGCGCGCGTCTTTGTGTGCAGATTTGGATTAGGTTGCAGTAAGTAGAAGCAGGTGGTCTCTTTGCTCGACTCAGAAGCTGAACAGCTTCGATAAGTAGCTTCTGTGAGCACAGAACATCGATTGCTTCACTAAATCTCTTACCTTTACATAGTCTCTCGACGACACCAACGTCTTCTTGGTTTGAATTGAAGAACTTTTTCTCGGGGAATCGCTTCACTGAGGCGTAAGAAGATGATGACATGTCTCTTTTGAATATCAATACGTGAAAAGTGCTTAACTTCCTCAAATTCGATTGATTCATCTTCACGAAGATACTAAAAAGCAAAAAAACAAAGGCGGAATGTGATTCAATTACAGACTTGTGAAGAAAAGATCTCGTCGCCGGCAACAACGGCATCAAAACGGCAAAAAAGGCTCCGATGCCGGGTATGGAACCCGGGTCTTCTGGGTGAAAGCCAAATATCCTAACCGCTAGACGCCAACGGATCTTTTGTTGACTTTTTAAATACACTGTATATAAATACATGACTCTTTCTTTTACCCTTTGAATCACTTTTTCTTATTTTTTCTGTTATACAGAAAGTGGAATTACTCTTTCTCTTTGTACCTTTGTTTGTCACGAGAAACACAGCATCTTTATTAGTCATTCATCTTTACAAGATGAAACTAAGACCATCCAAACACATTCACCTTTTTAGTTGTTGAGAGAATAAAAGAATCTTTGAAACTACATGTATCGATTGTTTACCAACAGTATCTTCAGAGAGTTGAAGTGGTTAAAACATATGTGAAAATCATTCACAAAGCCTAGTCTTATTGATGATTCAGTTCTTTAGATTCCCCAACAAAATATAAGTTAAAGTTTATGAGTTCTTATAAGTTTTAATCACTTTATGGTGATCAAGTTGCTATAAAGGATTCTGAGTTTTGTACTCGATCTTAGTTTTTTTTTCAGTTATTACATCATGGCTGGTTAGTTAGGTTGACAAAATTAACTAATATTTATATAGGTCCTATACTCCATTGATTAGTATGGATTTCAGTTCAAGATTTCCAGTTATTTTCTAAAAGATTATGTGTGTTTCTAAGATGTATTTGGATTTTATTCTGTAAGTTGTGGAAAAGTGTAAGAATTCGTTATGTTATATAGAGGTTTTTGATAAATCCCTTAAGATTCTTAAAAACAAAATTTACAGCATACCATCAAATTATTCCCTGTATGATTGATGCCATTATAAATAACAAGATTTGAAACGAGAATTATTAGAAGAGTAGTGGGGTTGTCTTTGCTTATTCGCCGAAAGATATCATTGGATTCTCGCAGATAGAAACGACGAGAACCTTATCTTCAAATGAGATAGACAGAGCAAAAAAGCTATCGTTTGTTAGAACTTTGTAATAAGAAAAAATAAAAGGAATGGATATGAAGAACAAATACAAAAAGGTTAAGGACACGTTTCGTGTACCCACAAGAGAGAATCTAATTAATTAATCAATGGTATCACTATCTCGACGTCCTTATAACAACTCGAGGAGTTTCCAGTGAAAAAGCTTAGCTTAGTTGGACACATGTCGTGCAATAGTTGGCTCTAAATAGCGGTTTCTTTATGTCCGTCCGTTAGATTCCTTGTTACATGCATGCTATGGTGTGTTCCGAAATGTTTTCTTTTGGTTACAGGAATCAAATTACTTCGAAAAGTTAAAATGATAGGATAAAACTGGTAGATATTTGTGTATGGCTAGTAAGAAAAAGTGTCGAATAAAGTTGGTTTGCGTCGTGGGATCTTTTCTTTTACATAGGTTTATGCGAAAGATCCTTGTTTGTTCATTGCTAATTGGCCAGTGTTTTAGTTTTTTGAAATATTTATATCCCCTTTTTTTCTTCTAAAAGTCACAACTATTATAGAGATATGAACTCACGTACGTATGTTTTTATTAGTGACTAGCACAATGTGAATGTAAATGGACGTTGTGTATATATATGGTTAAAAAAACTATGCCGAGTTCTTTTGACCACTTCGCTTTTCTTACAATCACATACTTTGCACCGATATGTGTCGGTTTGTTAATACATCAAGTAGTTTGTGTTATACCCATTGCTTGATATAATTCTTTATTCAATAAAATGAAAATTAAGGATTTCGGGTAAACTAAAGAGGATATGTTATGCTAAAGATTATTTATAAGGTTGTTGACTTATGTAGTCTAGTGATATATATATATATATATCTAGTGGTGCAAAATGCAAAGCACGAATCTATGTATCATCCGACATATATTTATATATATAGCGCGTTTGTCAATCTGAGAAAGATCGTTTGAACACAAGTGTTGAACTAGTCTAACACGGTGTTAGTAACAACTGATATTATATAACGAACGTTTATAATTCCATTAGTATAGCGCCATGTTGAGGTAGAAGTGTAGATCCGTAGAAATGAGTACGAACATAATTAAGTTTTAGGTTCAATACTTCGGTACATGTTCAATCAAAAAAAAATTTTGGTTCAATCAAGATTGGGCTTAACAGATTTTCTTATTGTCAAATTTAGTCTTGCATCTGGCTGACTTATGACTCTAAACTTGGATTACATGTGAAATGTGAAACATTTGGTTAATCATTACTTTTCTCAGATACACATTCCTTTACTTTTCTCTATGACGATATAATAATTTGTTTGCACACTGTAAAAAGAAAATCCATAGAATAAAGATACGTTTTATTTTCATTTAACTTTAATATTTATCAGTAAAAAACAAATTACTAGTATTACATAATTTGAACAATCAAAAGTCATGTTTATATTTTTAACATATATAAACGTAAATTCAAACATAGACGCAAAATACGTATATCCACGTTTCAATTATTATTTTTTGTGGTCAAATCCATTTTGCTAATTCAAACATAAAATCATAAATGAATAGATAAACACCTAATAAAAACTGATGACCATGTATCAAAACATTGTAAATCTGGTATTTGAAACTCCTTGGTCTACAAGAAAAAAAAGATCTCACCCATTGAAGATATGACCAAATAATTTATTACCACTTTTACAAATAATAATAATAAAGTATATATTATATGATTTCATATTTATAGCTTAAAATTTTAATATATTTTTAAAAGAACATCTTGTTAAAAAAATTTATCAACACATAAACTGCTATAATTTTCAACATCTATATAGTAAGTGGAACAACCTCAACCATTGCTTGTGCATAAAATAGTATAGAACTATTCATTCTTTCAAAACACCACATTTCTTTTTCTAGTCTAGAAAACATTAATTATAGGATAAAGAATATGAGAATCTTGAATGAATGGAGGAAGCACTAATACAAAAACAATAACAACTTTCCCAAAAATGGATATTTGTGTATTTCTATAAATTAAAGAGAAAAGGAAATAAATCAAAAATTAAATAGAAAGGGGGAATAAATATAGAATAAGTAGAGTGTAACGATTCGCCGCGTGTGTACGGGCATCACAAAAAGATTCTTCGTTCCATTTTTAAAGATAATCTATTTAAAAACACTTTTACAGAAACGCCCTCAAGATTCCACATAATTACAGCGGCTGCGGTTCACCGCGTCCTTCATCTTCTTCCCACAATCCCTTTCTTTCGTTCTTCTATATAATATTCTCGTAGCTTCTCTGTTTATCTTATTGTTTTTTTTTCTCTCACTCTCGATGGTTCAGACAGATACAGATAAGATGGGTCTTAATTTGAATCTGTGTATGTACTCTTTGGCTAAACCCCTGTCTCAATTCCTGGATGAAGTGTCGAGGATCAAAGATAAGGACTCGAAGTTGTCTGAAATCGATGGGTATGTCGGGAAATTAGAGGAAGAGAGGAAAAAGATCGATGTTTTCAAACGGGAGCTACCTCTATGCATGCTCCTATTGAACGAAGGTACCTCTCTTTCGAGTTTTAGATTCTCACTTTTGTCTTCATGGATTTGTGTTTTTGATTGATAATTACGAAACGGATTCTATGTGTAGCGATTGAAGCGTTGAAAGAAGAGGCTAGAAAAGGGTCATCAGTGATGGCATCAAATGGTAAATTCGATGTGGGTGAAGGGGCAAAAGTGGAAAGTGATAATAAGAAGAACTGGATGAGCTCTGCCCAGTTATGGATCTCAAATCCTAACTCTCAATTGCAATCGGTAATCAAGAGTAAACAAATAAAAATCAAACCTTTTCATGTTCTGTTTTGTGATTGTAACTTTTGATCATTGTGAACAGACAAACGAAGACGAAGAAGAAGAAGATCGGTGTGTGACTCAGACCTGTAATTACCCTAATCAGGGAGGGGCATTTATGCCATTTAACCTTCCTCCACCACCACCGCCACCTCCTCTGACTCTCAGGACTCCACCACCATCAGAGATACTGATGGACTATAGGAGAATTGATCAGAATCATCATCAGTTCAGCAAACCTATACAGAGCCATCACATTCAGAAGAAAGAGCAGAGAAGGAGATGGTCACAGGATCTTCACTGTAAATTTGTGGATGCTCTTCACAGCCTTGGAGGGTCACAAGGTTAGTACCTAAAAAAGGAGTTGAATTTTGGTATTAATTTTGATGGGTTGTACTGAGATTATGTTTGTCTTATGTTGTTGATGTGAGACCAGTGGCAACACCAAAGCAGATTAGAGATATGATGAAAGTTGATGGTTTAACCAATGATGAAGTCAAGAGCCATTTACAAGTACAAAAGCTCTCTCTCTCTCTTTTTATTTTACAAACTTAGAACTTTGATGTGTGAATGAATGACTTGACAGTTTTTGAAATGATATTCTTTTGCAGAAGTATAGGATGCATATCCGTAAGCAACCACAGAATTTGCCATCCTTGGAGCAGCCTGTTTTGTTAGATAAAGAAACACAAAGCTTAATAAGTTTGACGAGGTCGGATTCACCACAAAGCCCGCTTGTTGATAGAGGTTTGTTCAGTAATAATGGTGGGCACAGCTCAGAGGAGGCAGAGGATGAAGAGAAATCTGATGGACGTAGCTGGAAAAGTGAGTCAAATAAGAGGAGACAAGGGTTGTTGGATCTTGAGCTTTGAAGACCAATCATAATACATATGCATAGATAAAGTTACCAACTTATGTTGTTATATGCTCAAAAAAACTTGAAAGTTTGCTCCGGAGTTTTTGTAGATGTAAAAGATAAGAGGGAGAATATAGATAGAAGAGAGAAGAGATCAAACTCCTCAGGTTTGTGTTAGTTTTTTTTTTTTTGTGTTACTTCATAAGAAAGTGAGACTGATAAACCGAAGATTTTGTTCTTTTTATTGTCTGAATGTAAAAGTCCTTTTGTTGTTTTTACCAACTTATGGTTCTGTTTTTTTCTTGAACTCTCTGTTTGCTACTAGTTACCTTCAAAAACAGAGGAAGAAGGTATATAACGGTATATAAAACTACAACCTTGTCGGTGTGTAAAGACATGGTTTTCTTCAATCTACCTAATATGAGAATGATTATGGTGAAAGAAAAAAGAATCTTTTGTTGACAAAACAAAATCGTAGATAAAAAGATAAGATTTGTTTGGGTCTTAAAATTGACAAAGACAAAGATTTGAGATTTTCTTTATTGAGATGGAAAAATTGATTCACGGATATGAATTATTAGGATGATAGAAGTTGTTTAAATCCCACGAGATTTGCATGTTTGGTGGAGTGGAACAGCTTCTTGCGCCTTGTACATATACTAGATAGAGATAGATACTTTATCGTCGACATCATTATTCTCTCTGAATTTCATAATGGGTTTAGGTTGTGACTTTGGGCTCGGTCGATTTAGTTCCTACTCACTATAGCTAAATCATATGAGTATCAACGATATCTTTGGGCTGAGTCTTCAACAGTCTTCTGATTCAGATTCATATTAGAGTTTTAAGTTATGTATTAAAAGGAGACCAAACATATCAAAACATTTAGTTACAACTGATCAAAATATGAACCATTGCTACTTTCCACTTGTTTCCCCTTACTTGTCTACTTTCATGCACTATAGAGTTACAAACAACTCTCTCTCTATCCATGGCTTAAGGGATCAGTAACCTGATGCACCTTACGGGCTTCGGCGCTACTGTACTGTCCCACAGCTCGAGCATGAGGAATTGATTGTTTTCCGGCTGCAAGGGCATTGACATTCTCAACTAGATACTGTCTCGGAAGCCTACCAACCACATTGCCTTCCTCGTTCCCTTGTCTATCGAGGAATGCGAAATGAGGAATACCTTCAACACCAAACTCATCTAGCTCTTGCTCCCATTTCGTGTTGTCCACATTTAGCATCACAAAGTTAACTTTGTCCCTGCGAGTAAAAAAAACACACAAATGATTAATGGTTCGGTTCTGCAACTAGAATCTTCAAAGCTTTAGCTTGTTCATTAACATCTAAAAGAGTTACAAATCCATTCCTAAACAAGTTCACATATATATATATATATTCATTAAATCAAGCTCTAGCTTGTAGTTCATTAGCTTCTACAATAAGCCAAATCCAATTCATAGACAAGTTCCTAAATCCATTAAACCAACGCAACACAAGATTTGGATCTCTTCTGCAATAATAATAATAATCTCCAAAGCTATAAATTGCCCATCTTCATTTCCCAAATTCTAATCCATTAAACTAACACAAGATGATGCAACTAGAAAAGCTCTCGCTTGTTGTGATAAACACACACACACACACACAAAAGAGCAAGGGATTACTTGTATTGCTGCTCGATTTTGTAAACATCAGGGGCTAGTTCTCGACAAACCTCACACCAATCAGCATAGAACTCCACCACTGTCGGCTTCCCATTCGACAAAGCCTAACCAATCCATTTAAAGAATTCACTAATCATTCGAATAAAGTTTAATAAGACCAAAACCAAGATAAAGAAGCCAACCTCCTCGTAAGGCAAGGCAGAAGCGGTTAAATCCTTCAAGGAGATCCCAAAATCAAGCCTTGTGGACAGAAACAAGGCCAAAGCAGCAACAACAGAAGCAGCAGCGACTCTTCTATTGATATCCCTGTTTGGAGATTCTGGAAACCCTGAAGAAGACGACGAAGCTTGAGATGGTTCCGCCGCTACTTTCGACGCAGCTGAAACTTCATTGTCCACTGACAATTTCTCCTGAACCACAAAAAGAAAAAAACGATTACTTTTCTCTAAAATTCGCCATCGACCCAATTTTTTTTTTTAAAAAAAAAAATCGAAACTTTTTTTTATAAAACCTGGGGTTGGGAAGAATCTGGAATTGATTGGCAACGAAGAGCAGCACGAAAACGAGGAGGCGGTCCAAGGAGAAAAGGTTGATTGATTCCATGATTAGGAGTAGATGGAAGGCTTAACGAAAACACTACTAAGCGAGCTGCCATCAGAGACAAAAGGTTTCAACTTTTGAGATTATAAGAACACAAAAATGATCATCAAAGATGACTAGCGTCTTCGTCTCTCTAAGCTATTAGCAACCACACATTTTATTTTTAAACAATAATATATTAATTTTCTTTTCTAAATATTTAATTAATTTCCACCATTTTTACTAAATCCGCCAAAAAAAGCGAAGAGAAGGGTTTTAGAGTACTACAAGTAGAAGAGCGGTAACGCTTCTCTTGTCAGCAACATTTCGCGTTTTCTATCCCCTAATTTCAAATCAAACCCAGAAATTCAATTCTCAAACTTTGAACCATGGTTGAAGACAAAGCTTCAGCTTCAGCTTCAGCATCAGAAGTCGTGCAAACCCTAGATCCTAATCAAACCTCGATTGAAGCTACTGTTGAATCTGTAGCCACTGAATCCACCTTCAACAACAACGGGGAAGAGAGTGCTGTAACTGATGATGAGGGGCGTGAGAAGACCCTTGAGTTCGCAGATGAGCTGACCGAGAAAGGCTCCGTCTTTTTGAAAGAGAGTGACTTTGCTGAAGCTGTTGATTGTTTTAGCCGTGCCCTCGAGATCAGGTTATCCCCATTTCAAAGTTTCGATTTCTATTTTATTTTATTTGAGAATTTGACTAATAGAGTCTGCAGTCTAATTATTTATTGCTCAAGTGTGCTTGTAGATCTGATGGGACTTTTAACTGTGTTGGGCTTGGTTATGTGTTGTCAGGGTTGAACACTATGGTGAGCTTGCGTCTGAGTGTGTCAAGGCGTATTACAAATATGGATATGCTCTTCTGGAGAAGGCTCAGGCTGAAGCTGATCCGCTTGGTAACGTCCCTAAGAAAGATGGTGAAGGTCAGCAAGAGTCTAGTGATAAGAACACTGCAAACGGTGAGTCTGTTGCTGCATCTCTTGTTGTGTCAAGTGATCCAGAGAGACAAGGGAGCTCAAGTGGCGGCCCAGAAGGTACTAAAATTTTAAGACTTGTCTGTCATCTATGCATAATTTGACTTTGCTGCACCTTAAGCTTATTTTTGGAGATGCAATTTGTGTTTGTTGGTGTCACGTATATACCCTTTTGTAGAGGAAGCAAATGAGTCGTGTTGTTACGTTGTAGTATTCTTTTCGGTTCAAGTGTTCTCGTTCTATTTTTTTTTTTTTAGAAAAATTGGTGTGTACAAGGGCTGTGTCTGTAAATGCTTTTGAGCATTGCTATCTCTTTTTTTGTAGGTTCTGATGGTAAAGAGCAAGGAGAGAACGGTGAAGATTGTCAAGATGATGACATATCTGACGCTGATGCTGATGAAGATGAGTCTGATTTGGATATGGCATGGAAAATGCTCGACATTGCAAGGGCTATTTCTGAAAAACAGTCAACTGATACAATGGAGAAAGTGGATATTCTCTGTGCCCTTGCTGAAATTTCTCTAGAGAGAGGTTCATTTTCTCTCATTTCACCTTATTAATGTCCTATTTTCTCATTTGAAGTGTTCTCATTAATTAAGCTTGGTTGATTTTTATTTGTGTTATTTAACAATGCAGAGGACATTGAGTCTTCCCTGAGTGACTACAAGAAAGCTTTGTCCATCTTAGAACATTTGGTTGAACCAGACAGTCGACACATAGCCGAGCTGTATCCTTTACTGTATTGTTTTCATTCTCTTCTTTTATGTGCAGTGTGTTGTTGGTTTATATGAACTTAACTTAAACGTTTCAGAAACTTCCGCATATGTATATGTCTAGAGACTGGATGTCAGACTAAGGAAGCAATACCATATTGTCAAAAGGCTTTGTTAATCTGCAAAGCTCGGATGGAGAGGCTCACTAATGAGGTCAAGTGTACATCTGGATCAGCTACTTCCTCAACTGACTCTGATAAGTCTGCTTCAGAGAAAGAAGCTGAGATCAGAACTTTATCTGGTCTCGCAGAGGATCTGGAAAAGAAGGTAAGCGAGCTTTAACTATCGTTTAACATTTAAAAAAAAAAAGACTAAAAACACAAATGTGACCTTTTGTTTGCTGCAGCTTGAGGATTTGAAGCAACAAGCAGAGAACCCAAAGCAACTTCTTGCTGAGCTAATGGGCATGGCATCATCAGCTAATGCAAGTGCTAGTGACAAGGCTGTTGCTACTGTTGTTGGTGAAATGAGCTCTTCTCGGATGGGGAATGCGAACACCGGGAAAGACTTAGAGTTGCCTACGGTCTCAACCGCTCATACAGGTGCAGGAGGGGGAGGAGCGTCATCAGGTGTTACTCATTTAGGTGTTGTTGGAAGAGGAGTGAAACGAGTTTTGTTGAATGCAACATCCGCAGAATCAAGTCCAGCTAAGAAACTAGCTCCTGAGTCTTCAGACAAAGCAGATGGTAACTCTTCCTGAAAGATTTTTTAAAAAAACTTTCCATTGGTAGTGAATTTTAACAGAAGAAACAGAGAAAAACGTTTGGTACCTCCTCATGAATCCTTTAAACTATATGTTCGAGTTATGTATTGTAATTTGAGTCCGTACTTGACGCTTTTAAACCTTTACTATTATTTTTAATCTGTCTTATAAACATGTTTTATCTGCTGAAGAATGCAATACCTTAACTTCAAGAAGTGGGTTACTTGTAGCATTAAAAGCTATGGAATATTATATGCTAACCCCTTCTGCTTATAGCCAATCAATCTATGTGTTCTCTTTGTGCCTGTAAATGTTATATGCCTCTAAAAGATTATTGCTTCCAGATCATTAGTACATGTGGAATGCCATCACTTTTTTTTTGGTTTAGCTGTTCCACTTTTGGTTTTAAATCACAAGCTAATTATTGTGACTAATGGAATAATTATTAGTGATTAAGATATCATATTTCTAGATCTTGATAATTGCTTGCAACAGCAAGATGATGAATTTTGGTTAAGAAATAAGAACAAATCCATAATTAAGCAAAACATTTTGCCTTTATGAGCCTTTGACCCCATTGTTGTCACATCTACTTACCTCTCCTGTCTGAAAAAAACAGAGGACCTTTCCTCTGTTTCTTACTTTGTCATCTCTGCTCTATCAAGTTCAACTCTTATAGAACCATGTAAGAATGACATGGAAGTGGTTGGAACGGCGTCGGTTGGAACCAGGTCAAGCGTTGGTCTACGTCTTGGACAGGTTCTGTTTTCTTCTGCTTCACTTCTTTTCATGTGCTTCAACGATGATGACGACTTCTACGCTTACACTGCCTTCTGGTAACAAAAAAAAGTTGAAAATATTTACATTTTAAACTATAAAAAACAGTGTTTTGAAGAGACTTATTATGACTGTTGTGAAGCAGTTACTTAGTTACAGTGATGGGTTTAGTAACACCATGGAGCGTGACGTTAGCCCTAATTGAAGCTTACTCCATCATCGTTCAAAGATTTCCTCTGCAAGCAACAGTTTTATCTGTCATCGTCTCTGGAGACTTTGTAAGTTATCTACACTTCTCTATGTGTATGTAGAAGAACCTTAGCTACATTCTTATAACACAACTCGTTCATTTGATTAGAAACGTGTTTTTTAAATGAACCAAATGCTTAAAAAAAGGTCTTACAAAATTAAATAAATCGTGTCTAGTATACTAGACATAAACAGTGGATATAAGATTATATTTTGATTGGTTGCTATCAAAAATACAATCCAAGAACCATTTAATCGTAACACGTTCCACAACTTTTATATTAGCTTTTCTGCAATAACATCTCCCACTATGATGTCTGTAGTGGACCATATGAGAAAAAGATGGATATCCACATCGCATTAGCCATTGAAAGGATAATGCTTTAGTCTATACACCAACTTAGTTATCTAATAATGGTCTCCACTGTAAAGAATCAGATCCGTTGTTCTAAATTTCACGTTGTTTCTTTCTTGTTTAACTTGGAATTTACTCTTTGTTTTCTTTTTTTGGTAATCGCGTTTGTGGTGGAATCTCAAAGATATAAAGCAATAATAGTATTCATATAGACGATGTAGTTTACTACAAATTATATATTTTATGTTATGCAGTTTACTAAAAATTAAACTGCATAACATTAGATCATGTCGAAATTATCATGTATATTAAACTGGCTCATTGAAAAGAGTTATACCAAAGCTAAGATAAAGTTGATACAACTCGACAGATCATAATGTGAACATCTAGTATATTGCAATTATCAGTGGAATGTCGATCACTTGCTTTGCTTTAATCAAGATGGAGAAATCACTAGATTACATCAACTTGTACATCGATGTTGTCGTTGTTGGTTGGTGGTCGACTCTAATTTTTTATGGCTCTTCAAAGAACCTCCAATGTAGTTTTTTCTTATAATTACCAATTAACACAAATACACATGCACACACATGGCTATTTAGAAAGCTTTGTTAAACTTCAAGAAAGCTTTTATACAACCAATATAGCTTTCTTTAGATTGCCACACTAAAAATTTGAACTTAAAATTTTGGAAAATTATCAAATCGACTTGAAGAAGGCTTTTAGGGTTCTACCTGTTTGATGTAGTTAAGTTATCCTATCATTTAGCCAAAAACAAAATATATAAAGCAGGAAATTAATAGTTGCTAACTACATATGTCCTTTTAATAATCTCTGTGTTTATTCAGGTTTTGTCGTTTTTATCGCTAGGAGGAGCATGCTCAACGGCGAGCGTGACCGTAATTTTGATCGGCGCTGGAGAGAAGCATTGTGATCGGTACAAGTTATCGGCAACAATGGCTTTCTTGTCTTCGTTTCTTTCATTTGCTTCCAATTTCTTTAACTTTCGTCTCCTTCCTTTTCTATTTTCTCGTTAGTTTTACTAATAGTGAAGTAATCATATCTTTTTATATAAAAGTAATCATATTCTTTTTATATGCAGTAATCAGATTCTTAGCAAACAAGTTTTTTCAAACACCCAGGCTCAACTGTGAACCATTAGCTAGGTTGAAGTCTTTATAATCAAATCGTTTCTATGTTTTTTTGCTTATATTTGGTGCATATAGTTATCAGTTTTTTTTTTCATATAGTTATTAGTTACAAAAAAAAAATCATATTCAAATTTTAAAGTAAAACCCAATAATAATCATTTTCAATTAACAGCATCTATTTAATAAGATTAAACTATGATACGATCATTTTTTTTTCTTTTGTTTTTAAACAATTCAGATAAGTGTATATTTCTCATACAATAAACGGGAGGGAGGCATATAGATCTAACTATATCCTAAATCCTAAGTGTCTGACTCAAATCGCATCGGGTTTGCAAATATATGGATTTGAAATTTTAAAATATGCACATCTATTAGTATACATACAGATGAATCTAATTAATTAGAATACTAATCGTACAACTTTATTTATTTGCTTATAGAACCGATTTTTGGATATTAAAATGCTCGTATTTATTCATTAAAGCCACCTGCTAGTTCAAGTGCATGCACATACAGTTCATGTGATCCGTACGTAAGTTCCTATAGATTTTCTTAGATACCAAATCACTAAAAAATTAACATCATATGAAACCTGTTTGTGTAATATTTCAAATATTTTGTAAGTGATCAACCAAATGAGAGGAACGGAACCCATTTACTCAACCAAAATGAGAGATTGTTTTTAAATGGCATTTTTGAAAAGAAAAAGTAGCAATTAAAAAGTTTAAAAATGAACACTTGTTATTTTATATACTACTCTAAATTTTACATATCAAATTATTGATATATCCATATATAATGTTCTGAAAAATCAAGACCAAAACAATAATAGTTGATACTCTATGACCCATTAAATCTACAGCGCTCAGAGCTAACTAAAAGATAGAGGGACCCGAGACAACCTTGCATGATGATGAAACTTTGATTCTAAATTTCTATGAAAACTATAAGGTGGGAAGTTTCATCGTAATGAAGAGTATGAGTTTTTTCAATGTATCTAAAACAGAAAACAAGAAATTATTGGAGGAAAGGGAGTCCCACTATTGTGTGAACAAAAATATTAACAAAACAAGACCCAAAAAATCAATATATTCCATTTCGTATGAAACATATCTTCAAGCTTTAAAAAATAATTAAATTTTGATCATATGGATATTTCAAGTACTTTAGATAATATGAAATTCCAATCAATATTTGTAATAGTATTGTAAATTATACAAGTCGACATATAAACACATGCAGGGACGCGCCATGATCCGTGCTGGTTGTTTTTAACTATATTCCTTATGATTAGTTATTCTGAGTACAAATCATTAGTAATCTATAAAAACACAACCAAAAGAGTACTGATGCACATGTTAAACGGGAGCTTTCACCTCTTCGACCCACACCAAAAGAGAGAACAAAAAACAATCATAATTAAAAACACACAATGAATGGAATCCTAAACAATATCGTGATGCAGCTAAAACTTTCACATAATTTTGCAATCGGAATAAAACTCTTGTGGACTGAAAATGTTGAACTGTTATACGGTGGGAAACAAAAAAGAAACCATCTCAATTCAAACATGACTGGTAACACCTAGAAGGCTTGTAACTAATCAAATAGAATATGCTTCTTTATTGAGATATGTGTAATTTGGTGGTTCGATATACTGATGTAAAAACTATATTATAAGAAAAAGTTTTGGAAGTCCAAGAAAGCATTCTTTTGTTGGTCAAAGAGGTGATAATTGATTCGATCTTCTCATTTTGTGGGGTGAGACCGCGAGAGGAGAGCACCCATGAAGCTTCATACAAAAGCATGGAGCATGTGACATTCTCTTTTTCCTCTACATAACAAACCTTTCAAATAATAAATCATTATTAAATTTATGGATGTTATTTTAGAATTTACAAGTAATAAATGAAAAACAATCACACGTAGTTAAGGCACAAAGTATCTATAATATAGAACAATGACATTATTATGTACAAAATATCAAAACACAGATTATGAGTGTACTGCGACTAACAAGCATTGCTTCGACAGTCCAGCTTCATCTTTTTCATCTGATTTTATGTAACATAGAGTGGACTGCAACTAATTAGCCGATAGCCAAAGCATAATGTCCATAGTTTATATCAACTGAGAGAGTTTAGATGATAGGTTTCAGCCTGTAACCATCCATTATTAGGCCATAGTCAAATCGCTTTCTTTATTATTACAAAAATCTAGAATGGTCGTTTGACTCAAAAGAACGTGAAAACATTAGTAGTATTAGCTAAACACAACTTCATTTCTGGCTGGCATCGCTGTGATAGTTGACAATTAACCACCTATTGACCGACGCATCATCCAAATTCCAATTAACAAGCAAATAAAATTTGAATGCTACACATAATTCTGAACCATAGACACCGATTTCTATATATTTTTGACTTGTATATAAAAATCATACCAGAGAAAGCAACAACAATAACAAGTTTAACGTCAACTCCCTTAGATTGTCGGACTATTGTGGCACCCGATAATGGTACGTGGCATCTCATGCTTCAAAAGTCGACACGTGGCTATAAGACATCAGGCCACGTTGTCCACTGGAACCTTCTTCTCTTGTTAGTCTTACACTCCCTCGTTTCCGTGGACTCGCAGCGTTTACGTAACCTGTTACATAATCTACATAATTCATTACGGTCGAGTTTTCTCATTTGTGGTATAAAACTAAATTAAAACTTTATAAACAATGTAACATTCTAAAGAAAAAAAACTTATGATTCAGAACGAAGTTTAACCTAACCTATAGGTAGTGGGTACGCCTTATAAGGACGTGAAACATTGAAGTTCAGTAGCTCAAGACGCAGTTAATGTAATTATGATCGAACGGTTACAAGTTATACCAACAAAACTAAGGAACTAAGAAGGTGGCGATCAAATATTAGTAGTACTATTTAATTTCCCAAAAACATGCTCAAAATCTTATCACCTAACTCGCACACTGAATATATTCTCGGAAGTGTAAATCTATACATCGATCAGCACATTTAAATCATGATTTTTCTTACATTCACAATCAATTCATTTTAAAACATAGCTACTTGATAGTATTATTCTCTCTAGCTATCGTCTCTATTTGAATTTGTTGTTTCCTTTTTCTCCCACCTTCATGTTTGATTGGGTAAATGCATCTACGTGTAAATTAGAAAGGTAAAACACTTGTACGTAGTCCTTACGCAACTTGGTAAACTAAAAACCGCAAACAAGTCTACTTGCAAGGAATATGTAAAACCATGGTCGCAAAAGAAAAGTGCTTACTCTACTTATACCTTAAGTCATATGACCACTTTGTTATATTCTTTATTATCAAAGTACACTATTTCAATACGCTTCATTAACTACTTTGTTTTAGAAACAGACCACCAATTGCATTATAGATGTATTACTAAGTGAATCAAATAAAAACACAAGACAAAAGTTATAGGGAAAACAACACATGTTATATATCTTGATGAGTATAAACTTAAAGGTTCCGACAGCTTATTCCCCAGTCAAAATCATAGATTTAAAAGTGACAAGAAAGTTCATAATTATTCATACACAAGAAATCAATATATATCTAAATTTGTAACCTAGTCATAAAGGGCATCAAAAATGGACCCTGTTGTTTATATCGGATAATTAATTCTGGATCTTTCAGCTTAAGTTCGTAAACCTACCGCTCTACCCCACACACATTTGTATCAATGTAGTAAATTGATAGTTTACCTATCCACGATACACATAATATTCACAAAATAAGTGTGTTCTTCTTCATGATACACCATAAAACCAGCTATTACACACATATATTTATTTTCTTGCAAGATTTCGTGGAGTTTGTCTTTCTAACTACAATTTTTTTGAGATTTCCACAGTTATAAAGAAAAATAAATATTATTAATTTCCTTATAGACCTCACATATCTATTCTACTCTATACACATTGTTAAAAACAAATGTTACATGTATGTACGCGCGAAAATAGTTCTACTTAAAGCTTCAAAGGTAACTGAATCTATAGAAGAAAGTCATAATGATTAAGTGCAGTCACTGACATGGTAATTATACGTAATAATAAAGTGGTAAAAAATAATATCTAAACAAGACAAAGCTGTCATCCGATCCCCACCACTGATACAGCCTGTCATCACTCCTATTGGTCTCAAGACGACAAAATCCTACGTGGCATCTAATATTTTTCTTACACACAAACATAAACTAAACTCTCTCTATTTATATCACAACTCTTTTGCTTTCTCTTCCCACATTATTATCACCACTCCTCTCACCGGAAAACGAGTCACGACTTACGAGTCCCCTCAACGAGTTACCACTAATCAAAAAGAAATACAATAATGGGTATATGCAGTTCTACCGAGTCGACTCAAGTGGCCACGGCGAAGCTGATCTTGCTAGACGGGAGGATGATGGAGTTTACAAAACCCGTTAAAGTCGGATACGTTTTGCTTAAGAACCCTATGTGTTTCATCTGTAACTCCGACGACATGGAGTTCGATGAGGCTCTCTCCGCTATAAGCGCCGACGAAGAGCTTCAGCTAGGTCAGATATACTTCGCGCTCCCTCTTCGTTATCTTCGTCAGCCACTTCAAGCGGAGGAGATGGCTGCATTGGCCGCTAAAGCTAACTCTGCGCTCATGCAAAGTGGTGGTGGTGGTGGAAGCTCTCGCCGGAGACGTGTAGATCCTATTGTCGCCGGTGATAAATATCGCACTAGAGTTGCCTCCTGTGATGATACGGTGGGTTCAGGCTTCGGAAGGAGGAAGGAGAGAAACTCTGACGGTGGTGGTAGCACTAGTAGTGGCCGGAGGAGGGAATGTTACGCGGCGGAGCTGAGCACGATAGAAGAATGAAGGGTAGTTTTAGTAATTTTGTTGTTGATAGTTGTAATTATGGTGGGGGTATTTTAGTCATTTAAAAAGCAATATATGCAAATTAGTCAGATGTTAGGAAAGTTATCTTATTGGATTTTAGTAGTTAGTACTTTAGTAGCTAAGCTTAGTAGAAGCATCTCTCATTGATCTGTGACATTTGTCGAATTAAATTATTATTCCTACACTTCACTTTTTCTCAAGACGACTAAAATTTCCAACAAGTAGTATTGGTCATAGTAGATTAGCATAGTTAAGCATACAGTATTAGATTTAATCCTCCGTATGTATATACAGAAATGTACTAACTAATATTATTCCAAAAATAATAAGAAAAGAACATGTGACTTGTTCCAAAATCTCGTAACGCAGTATTGGATTGCAAGATCAATTTTTTTTTGTCAACATATGCAAGATAAATTAAAATACAAGGTTATGCAAAATAGTCAAAATTCATAAATACATGCATACGTGATATTACATTCGTATGTATCTGGCTTTATCTTGTCATGGTGACAAAAAAAAAGAAATGTGCTTTCACGTGTCTAAATGTTAAGTTATACTACAATTATTACTTTTTAAGATATTTCATGTCAATTTCTATCACGTTAAATCATTTATCATATAATACGTCTTCTCTCTATTATATGTTAAAAATACAAAACTTGGATATATGTTTTATGGAACATCATTTTAAAATGACTAGAAACATTGGAAACAAAAAAAAAAGGAATAGAAAACAGAGTTACATGATAAACTTGGGACCATTTTATTTGAATTATTGTATGCTTACTGGATAGATGCAGACAAAGAATTTGATAGATGACCTCGATATTCGATGCTTACTCCATAAGTTTCTGACATTGAATTCTGAGTAAGTTTGAAAATTAATTATCTATTTAATTACTCCATAGTCTTAGTACGAATCATAATCAAATTTTATATATGACAAAACAAAAAACTCACTTCGATTCGTTCTACAAACCCCACTAGCTACTGTTTGAATGTGTATTGTTTGTTTTCTTTTTAAGAAATAATCTAAGCTTTCTGTGATATTGTTTTCTTGTCTTTAGCCCGTAAATTTAGCTTATGTTCGTCATATCTTGTTTTCTTTCTTTAGATTCTTTGCCTTTGCCATTTCCCAAGACCTATAATTAGTTTTTAAATTGTTGTACAGAGCATATACATCGATTGTAATGAATTATTTCAAATGTTGCATGTTACACACACAAAATGCTATACACAGATTTTAGATCCGACATAACTGAAGCAGTAGATTTAGTCGGTTGATAGCCATATGTCAATAGATTCGCCATTCATTATTGTAAACATTTAATGATTTGTTGATATTTCATGTTGTAAAAATCATAATTATGTATCGTCCTATATTTTGTAATTACAAAAGGACGTTGATATCAATGATATTAACGAACATAACATTGGAAAAGTTTTGATCAAAACAGATAGTAACGTAACTATAAACGTCCTATACATTATGACGATCACTTTGAAGGCTCATCATCGATTATATATGATTATCAGAAAAATATGAAAAAGGTCTACGTCCACCTAATAAAAACCAAAAGGGAAAAGTTAAGACAAGATGTTTAAAACATACTACAGTGTCAGTAATACGATTATAAGTGACTATTGATAAATTGTTTAATTCGTATTATAACATGATTACTGGTCTAGCTTAAATCCATTAAGCCATTCCATGAATCCTTTTCATTTCATCTTTCTTCCATTACATACATATATGCATCCATTATGTTAGTATGTGTGCATTGGTCCAATTTGAAAAGAGTAGGGTTCTAACCAATTTTGTCGTGCAAGAGACCTAGACATAATCATTTTGCTTTGCTAATATATGTATACAAAACCATATAAAACCAAAACAGAAAGAAAAAAGTCGAGGGAAGAAAGAAGAAATTACTAGTAGCATATACCTATCTATTCCAGACATAAAGTTTGCTACGTACCAAATGTCCACTAAAAAAATTGTATAATATACCCACTTTTTCCAAAAGAAAAACTTTTCATAATAAAGTGTGTTTATCCTTTATATGCACTCTTACTTATTTCCTTAAAACTTTCGTATTAATTATCTAGTTCTCTTTATGCATTCTAATGAGAGAATACATATAATAATATCTCCAAATGTTAGGATGTGGATTGGACAACCGATACTATTAATCTGTTTGTAATACTCTCGAGGACAGTGATTGTCACAGTCTTTTTGTCCACTAACACGCTAGGACTATATAAATATAGTGGGCTAAAACAGAAACAATTATGGTAAAGTTGAATCAACCCTCTTTCTCAATACTGGTGAAGTGATATTAATCGATCGTTATCTTAATTAGCATAACTGATAGTATTTAACAAAGCATAACTCATCAATCTGCTTTCAAAAAACAACTTAGCTATTAAAACTTTTATTCTTTCACTATTCTTTACACCTACCAGAAAACTAGTCACTATTCTTTCAGTCGCAAAGACAAAACATCATCCCGGTATAGGAGGAAAAAAAACGGCATGCAGTTTCATAAATCTGGGCTTTTAAATAATATTTGGGCCTTTAAAATATTACTGGGCCTATATTTAATACAATACATGGGCCTATTCCCTCTGTCTACCAAGGTTTTACTCTCGTCCCCTTCACCATCGTCTTCTTCCTCTACAGAGTCTGGAGCTGCTGCAGCCGAAGCATCGCGACGACTCTCTCCCCATCTGAAACTGGTAATCTTCCCACTAAGTCATTTAGTAGCAATTGAGATTCTAATTTTTTTTTTTGTATACTTCGTTTGGTTTAGGGTTTATTCGATGCGTTTGTTTCGATTTTGAATCTGCACGATCTCTAAATCTCTTAAGAAGCTCGAAAATGGCGGAAACTGGTTCTTATCTCATGAATTAAACCTTTATAACTGTATTGTGTTAGCTTCGTCATGGCTTGTAATTCATCTGGCTGTGAGTCCGGTTGCAATGGCCGTGGCAACGAAAATGGAAGCAGGGTAGAGGAAGTTATTGTTGTTAAGGAGAGTGTATGCGTCAAGTGTAAATGCAATGAGCCTATGATATTTGGAGATGGAGGCTCAGACGACGGAAGATTCTGCTCAGAATGTTTCAGGAGCAATATCTATGGGAAGTTCCGTCTCGCTGTTACTTCACACGCAATGATCACTCCTTCTGATAACGTCCTTGTTGCTTTCTCCGGCGGTTCTTCTTCCAGGTTTTTTTGCCCTCTCTCTTTCTCTTTAGCTCCGAATAGTAACAAGTAACAAAAAAATATAGATACGTAGGTATATGTAGAGATTTTTGTTACTAGTCACGGCCGCACCTATATGTTTTGTTTTTGATTATTGTTTGTATAAACGTGTTGATTGATGTGTGTGTTAGGGTTCTTCTTCAATTTGTGCACGAGCTGCAAGTCAAGGCGTTGAAGAATTACGAGGCGAGTCGTGATAGGTCTTTACCTGTGTTTGGTGTTGGTGTTGCGTTTGTTGATGAGAGTGCTGCTTATCCTGCTCTTTCCAGTGAAATGGGTGGTGCTATTGCGTGGGTTCGGTCCACTGTGTTGAGTATGTCTCCACCTGAAAAGGATCTTCGTGTTGTTCCAATTGAGAGTGTGTTTGGTTCTGACTCTGTTGAAGCACGAGATAGGCTTGTGAAGCTAATGGATTCTGTTAGTGATGAGACTGGAAAGGAAGACCTTTTGCTGCATCTGAAGATGTTGGCTTTGCAAAAGGTTTGTTTGGCTGTTATATTGTTTTTTTTTGTTGGATATGTCTTTGATGTAATGTTGTTTGGTTATTTTTTTTTTAGGTTGCCTCTGAGAATGGGTACAACAGATTAGTGGTAGGATCATGCACGTCGAGGCTCGCTTCTCATGTTCTTACGGCCACTGTGAAGGTGTGTTGCTTACTTTGTCGTGCTGGACATCGTCTTTTCTCTGGTTTTTTTTTTCTTTTTCTGTAGATTTGCATTGTAGAGATATTTGCATGCCGAATACAATGGTTACATCAATGAAAGTAGATATTTAGTGTCTATCCAATTACATCTATAAAAATTGTATCTTTGTTTGGACATTTCATACAGACTAGCTTCTACCGAAATTGTGATTTTGAATTGCATTTCTTTTGGGACAGGGACGAGGTTATTCACTATCCGCAGATATTCAGCATGTTGATGCGAGATGGAAGGTTCCTATTGTACTGCCACTTCGAGATTGTGTTTGGCAGGAAATAACTAGACTCCGCCATTTGGATGGGTTCGTATTTTCATCTGATTTTGTACACATATTAACTGTTGAATGACTTCTAACACATCGTGGACAGGACAGATTAAAGACTGTGGAGCTGGCTCGTCGTTCTCAGTCAGGGATCAATGAATTGGTGTCTTCATTCGTTGCTCTGTTGCAGGTGGCAAATCAAGTTCTTGGTTTCTTGTACTCCATCTTTTATCTGGCTGTTATGAACAAACATACTTGTGTGTTTGCGCAGGATGAGAATCCTTCTCGGGAGTGCACAATTGTACGGACAGCTGCAAAGCTGACTCCATTTCACTTCAACAAAATTCCTGAAACGGACGACTCTTGTGTTCCTATGGCCACTCAGAGGCGTCTAAAGAAATTCAATCTCAAGTATGACGGTTCCATGACTACAGAATCATTCTGTCCTATCTGCAATGGCCCGCTAAATGAATCAGACTCGTCTGATTTGAATACTATTGATGGATGCCATGAATCTGATGCTCTTTATGCTGCTTGCTGTTCAAGTTGCCGGTTTCAAATACTTCCACTAGATCGTTCATCTCTTGAGCATTTTGGATCCTTGCTACCACATCACATGATCTCCCAAGTAAAGCATCATCAGATGGTTGACAGTCAAACATATCTGAGGTGAGCACGTAAATAGTTAACTAACTAGTCAAATAGCAGTATACACATCTCATATCTTGAGGCCTTTGGTTAGAGACTATTTTAACGCTGTTGCTTTCCTAATTATTTTGTCAGGGAGAAGATAAAAGACTGCTTGCTCGTGGACGATGAAGAGTCTGTCTAAATCTCCAATGATTGTGCTCTTTCAAATATCAATCTTCCCAGAGAGATATTTAGAGTTTTTTGTAATGTTTCTATGCTCATCTCTCACAACCTCATTACAGTATGCTATTTATATTGTTATGTTCTGTTTGCAAGAGGAAACTTAATAGGTCTTGAATCCATGGGTGTGACAAAAGAATAAGAAAGACTATATAGTTAATTAATCAAATAAATGGAGTAGCAAACTAGTATCCACCAAAATCTCTAACGTAGAGAGAGGCGTTCTTAGCAGGCATATTGCCAGCATGGCGTAGACCAAGCGTGAGTGATACGTCACCAGTAGGGTTTGTCCCAAACCTTATAACATTATCACCATCCATGTCAGCATCATCAAATCCACCATCACCACCTTGCTGGCACGTTGCAATCGCTGAAAACGCGGTTGAACCACCGTAGTTAGAGACTACGGCGGCGTTGGAGTAGGAAGAGGATGAAGGGTCGTTTTCGTAAGCATTGATATCGGCACGGTGGCCTGCGTCTGGTGGGGTTGGTGCTGATTGTGCAGTTGTCATTGGAGTTTGTGACGTGGTCCGAACGGCAGTGAAGTTGCTATCACTATTGTTGTTGGATTTTGTGCTCTTGTCGTTGTTGTTGCTAACGTTTTCTGTCTCTTGATCTTCGTGTTCGTTTTCTTCTTCTCTTTCTTTTGATTCTTGTTGATACATTTCTTCCACCATTGGTTTCCATAATCGAACCCTAGCATTTATGAACCAGTTTGATACCTGAAATAAAAAAGACAAAAAAAAAACGTTCACCAAGTTAATAATTATTATAACGTCGAAAGAAATTGTGGGCTCCTTGTTTATTTGTCATTTGGTTATTAAATGTATGCAAGAAATTGAGGGTTTCTTCGGGACAATTGAAAGCTGCAAACTTTGATGTACTTGAGAGCAATAGGTCCCTTTTAAGTCTTTAATGTCGATCGCTTTCTCTTTCATATCATGCACATATAAACATACGCTCTCTCTCTCTTCTATGTTTGTAATAATAACAAAAACGAATCCCAAGAAAGTTTACTAGTGAATGGAAGGCAAACACATGGTTTTCCTCTGTCATATACCAAACAAAGGAAAGAAACAAAAGATTTGCCTCAAGTTAGTTACTAGTTACATGGTTAGTCTACTCAGGAAATAAGTCAAGTTTATCTACCTTTCGGGATGTTAACTCATTGTAAACACTAACTGTTGTTTGTAATAAACATATGTTTATGAAAATGGTCAAATTCTACATGGGTACGTAAAATGTTAGCCTAGCTCTATTTTTATTTTTTTTTTGTTATGCATCGTGAAGTTTGTTTATAAACAGGACCATATTACTATTGTTTAAAATGTTAGGATCATATTTTTAGAAGAAGGCAAACGTACGGGACTATTATTTATTTTTCGTATATAATTTTCAAACAAATGTTTTGATACCATGTACTATAACGCAAAGGGAAAAAAAATTAAGTGTATATACAACTGTTTCTACGTGAGAAAAAATAGGACCCCTAATTCTAAGACATGTTACTAAAAGTACAAGGTAAGCGCAATAGGAGTCTACATGTTATTACAAAGTAACTCGTTAGGAGTGTAGACTCTTACCAATACCATCAGTTATATATCTAGTAAAAGTAACCACGATATCAACTAAACACTAAGATGATCGACAACACACAACTTGATTAAACATCAACAAGAATTTAATGAATACTTTTATTTATTGTGTTAAACTGGTAATAATGAATATAAAGTAGATATATGTCATATTTATTTCCTGTATTATATTTATAGACTGACCTGATTTCTGGATAAACCAGTCTGTCGAGCCAAGAGGTGCTTATCTGCATCGCTTGGATACCTGAGAAAGAGACCAGAAAATGACATCACTCTATCTTTGCCCTAAATTCTATCTAATTTTCCTTTCTTTATATTATTCTCTATAAACAATACAATCAAGTATATGCAAGAAAGTACAGACTTTCACCTTCTTTTTGCCAACAAGGGCGTGAGAATCTAAGAGACAAAAGAAAAGCTGATGATTACATTAGCATAGATCCAGTTCTTTTCCTTCTTTTAACTTAGATTTCTTTTTCTGTTTTGTTTTTACTCATAAAGCAATTGACAGAGAGGTGAAAAAGTACCAAAAAAAACACTACTCTTTTGCTTTATTTCCATTTTTTCGATAACTCTCCCTAACAATAAAATAGCCAAAATTCCACAAACACAAATCTAACGAAAGCAGTGATGATATAACAAGAAATTAAATACTTTTGCTTGGCTTTTTTAACATAAGTGATAATAAAAAAAAAAATATAAGATATTCTTTTGACTTACGGGTGGAGGAAATGCTCGAAGAGCCAAGCTCTAAGGATATTAACGGAGCGTTCAGGCAAACCGCGTTGTGGCCGCCAAGCTTCTTGTTCCATCATCCCCATTTGATGAAACGCACGTTGCTGACGCAAACTCTGTTCTAACAAACGCAACCGCGGCGTTTCGCCTTTAGTTAAACCGGAAGAAGATATTCCGGCTGCATCTTTGTCCCCAAGAAGTTCACAGCTCTGTCTAAGCTGAGCTGCCACAGCATCTTTAAGGCATCGGAAATGCCTCGACATAGCCTTTTGAGCCAAAACGGTGTACGGTATCGCTGCACCGTGGCCCATTACTATGTCGAAAGAGTTCACAACCATCTGCATTTGCTCGCAGTAATGGTTATACCGTCTGTCCACCTGCCAACAAAATAACATTATACAGTCCATACATATTTACTATTTACTTTTTCATTTAATCAAAATGTTATTGCTAATCTGTGTGCAATATATTCACGTGATTAATAACCGTGTAGAGACTTTCTCATGGGGGAATATATCTGTGTGCAAGTTTCATGGAATCAAAACTCTAATGATAAACAAATTTTTATATTCAAATGAGATGGTAAGAAAACTTAAAGAATCAGAGAATATACTCCAAAGTTTTTGTTTTCCTAGCAATTGTACGTTTTATCATATCCTCGAGCATAAAATAAAAAGTCTTTAGTGAAAAAAAAGTCAACTAAAATAGAATAATTCAAATTCAACTATGGGTAAATAATTAAGTAACGTTAAGGGCTAGCTTTAGGAGGTAGGAGGGAGTAGCTTCCGTGGAGAAGGAAACGCCAATATTTAATTAATCGTAATGATTTTTCTTTGATTAATCAACTCCACCAAACGCTAAGCATCAAAATATTCCTCAACAAAACCTTTTAATAACATAGTAATAAAACGATTAAAAACTAAATTTTATATAACTGCTGGTATGATTGCGTAGTGAGACAAGCAAAACGATGAAACTATGACCAATTCTAATAGATTAATTGTGAAAAAAACAAATATTGTCAATCCAGTCCATATCATGTTTCTTGTTTCTTTGTAATAAGTTATTGGATCAATTGAGTATTTGACTCAAACAATATGAATTTATGAAAAGTATTTTTTTACGTAAAAACAAGTATAACACTAAAAGACCAAGTCAAAAGGTTGAAATTAAAGGAGAAGTATAGTGTTAACATACCTCTTCAAGCATGGTGAGTAACTTCACTTTCCTTCTTTGATGCTCGATCCGATCAGATGCCGATAAAGGAGGACGTTCCTTACTTTCTCCGGCCGACGATGGAGAGCCACCACCACCGCTATTACTACCGTCGCCACCGCTAGCATTAGGGTTTGAATTGTTCCTAACTTTATTTTTCTTGGAGAATCCTCTTCCAACGCTACAAAACTCCTCCAACAACTCTTGAGCTGCCTTCGTGTACCTCGAGTTTCTCAAGATATTGATTGCTCCTATGGAAGAAGAAGATGAAGAAGCCGCCGCCGGAGATGATAGGAACTGGTTTGATACGTGATGATGATGTTGAGAGGAGTCAGCAAGAAGAGTCTTGAACTCATTGTATTGATGGTGATGAGATGATAAGTTGCTTCCATAGTAAATTTTTCTATACTCTTCAGCTTTTGCTGCTGCCTCTAAAGACGACGAGAGAGATAAGGACAAGCCTTGTCCTCCACCGCTGTTTTCCACGTGGACGGCCCCGATCTCGGTTTGGCCGTTGTGATGGTCGGAAGAAGACTGCCACGTCAGAGGTTGGTGATGCTGATGTGGAAAATGATGAATAGACATAGTATTAGTGTAGCCTTGGTGATGAGATGGATTTGGTAGTAACATGTGAAGAGTTGAAGAACCGTGGTGACTTCTTGTAGACGGTGGCGGTGGATTCATTAGGAATAGCTGCATGGCGGCGGCTGACTCCGTAGCATTCATGGCCGGAATATTATTCTGATGTTGCTGCTCAAGTAATTGTCTATGTGACCGGAAAGAGTGGGAGTGGTCAAGATCTCCTCCTCCACTGCTGCTTCTGTGGAAATTAAACATCTCTGATAACATTCCAGCAGGTTCATCATAAACAGGAATCCCACTTCTGGCGACTGAAGATTCCTCGTCCATCTCTACTAGTACCCTTTGAATTTCTTGCTTCTCCTGAGTACTTAGATAATTAGGATAATCTGATCTGTTGAATCCATTAGAGAAGCTGAAGATTCCTCCTTGGTGTTGTTGTTGATGATGATGATGGTAATCATGGGACATAGAAATATATATTGCAAGAGAATTGTAGTAGTAAGGAGACGTTTTTAGGCTTTTAGCTATTCACATATGAATCTTTCAATCTTCTTCTTCACGATATAAATATATATAAATTATATATCTCTTCTGTACCTCGGATCCTGTAATGATTCAGACCAAAGAATTTGAAACATAATTACTCAGAAGGAGTGAGATGGTCAACTAGGTCGTATGCTGTTTTTTTTTTTAATCTATATATATACACATCAACTGATGAACAAACTTAACACATAGAGATATATATATATGTATGTATCAGATGCAATAAAGAGAGAGTGCAGAGAAGAAGAGAATACCTTTGGAGATTGCTGCATAGAAAAGAGAGAGAGAAGATACAAATTGAACTTAGGTATCGTTTTCTCTATCTCTCTGGCTTTCTCTTTCTGAACTCTCCTTTTCTTGTTTTCTTTGTTAGTAAGAGTTTGCTCAGGAATCCCTTAAATTAAAAATAAAACTGATTAGTCTCTCCCAAAGCGAAAGGAAGATAAGAAAAGATCTGATAGAGAGAGAAGTCACACTCTTCTATCTTCTTTGCCTCCCTTTTTACTTTTTAGCCTGCCAATCTCCTTCATTAGTTTTCTTACGTAAAATATTCTACTACTAATTTTGTAGTAATAATCCACTAATTCGTATAATTTAATTGGTACATATTTATATGAATAGATACTCCTGCAACAAAACAAAATAAAAACACAACTTTAGTGCAAACTCTCTTAATTATAATTTTCTGAAGTGTAAATCTCTTAATTATAATTTTCTGATGAGTATTTTTTTGTTTAACATATGAAATAGTACAATATATTTCTTCACGAAAATGTCGGCTGTCATCAACAAATTTAAGATGTTTATTTTGGAAACAAATTAAAAAGCACAAATAAATTAAAAAGAAAAAAGTTGGCAAAAAATATTAAAAGGAAAAAAGGTGAGTACAAGGTCACATCTCAATGATACGAACTACCACCATAAATATTAAATAAATAATGACAAAAATATATTTAAGATACTGCCATATTTATTTCCCGTAGTGCCCTCATCTTATCATTTTTTCTGATTACGCTGGGTTAACTCGCAGATAGGGTTAGTTAGGTCCATTCAAAACTGGTCCTCGTTGGTGCGTTCCATTCTCACTCCTCGTATTGCACTAACATAGGTTAGACCCTAGTGTCCATCGATCTTAAATTTTAACCCCACTAAAAACTCAAAAACAAACATTAAAAGGAAACGCAGATATTATTTAAAATGTATTAGAGTAAGCTTTTACATGTAATGACATTTACTAGGAAATACGATACATTTTCTTTGTGAAACAGTAAAAGAATAGTGTAATAAAATCAAACATTTGATTGTTTAAACTTGTTGCAATGTAGCTTCCTCCAGATATTTTAATTTTAATGTACGTTAGTGAATATGGATATTGGGAGTTCTTTCTAAACTGAATACTTATTTCGTATCGCGTATGTCTTACTAAAAACTAACATTCCCAAATTTGAACTGTCGTGCATATCCCACATACGGGTCGAGATATATTTGATACCGCAATGTAGGTTATAACTCCATAATGGGATAAATAATTAATGGAAATGTCGAAAGCAAAAGTGTAAGTCCACTTATACATTGAGATTTATTTAATGTGACATGACACCATGTTGGAATCTATCATGTCAATATCATATCAGCACGCAAATACTGGTTAACTTTTAGTTAGTAAATTTTAAATAATACAAGTGGCTTTTCCTCGGTAACACTATATATATATATATATAAATATATCTATAATTTTGGGGTCTAAATATATAGATATGTTCATCAAATATGTTCATGATTTTTTTTTGAGTTCCAACTTCAAACATGGAATGACGTTTGACAGCTTCTCTCTCTCCTACCACAAAAATTTCTTTTAAATTCGTTTTTATTTTTCTATTTTGAAATTAAAATAGTTCTCTTAAAAAAAAAGTTGATCGGGTGAACCTCTCACGTGAATCCTACCCTCCATTCACACGTACGCACAACCATGCCTTACGTGCCGAACCTCCTTTTTCGCACCGGTGGAGAGAATCTTCTTCTTTAGGCATTTATACTCTTTTACCCACCAAAGCGAACTTGTAATGGCTCCTATTGCTCTGATTTATAAATATCTTCAATGGTGTCAAGTCTCTAACCTTCAATATATTTATTAAATTAATTCTTCTTATACTCGTTTATCGCCTCTCGAACTTACTAAACATTCATCATAATCTCTTAATTTATCTCGGTCTCTTAGGTTTTATACTCTTGTAAGAAAGACTTAAAGACTTGTCTATGTAAAATATTTATTATTGAAACTCACAACTTCACAAGACATACTTTAAAGCATCAACATCAATGAACCCCTCTTGGGATTCATTGAATCAATTTTTTATTATTAAAATTTTTCTGTTTTTTTTAATTTTTTTTTAAAAAGAAAAGAAAAAATTTAGACCAATTCCAAACTGACACATGTTGAACCTTAGGAGAGAGAGATTCACCCGAGAAAACTTTAAGAGAGAGAGTGATTCATAGATTTTTATTATTTTATTATTATTATTTTTTGGTTTCCGTGTGAAACCCCCATTTGAACTCTCAATGGAGATACTCTTATACACTTCATTGTCCATCAATCGTTGGTATGGAAAAAGTTTATCTCCTAAATATTTTAGTTGAAACATCAACTATGTCATTGTAATGTTTTAGATGTCAATCCAATTCTTAAGGTAATTTGAACAAGCAAAGTGATCTCTCTTTTTAGGAAACTTGATATATGATGTTTAGCTGTTAAAAATAGATAAGAAGACAAATAAGTTTGAATTTTATTTTTCATGAGTAATGGGAGAGTGAGACCACAAATGCGATTTGTGAAAATGGAAGCGATGGTCCCTTCTTATTCCATTTCTTGTCCTTATGGTGTCTAATTGTTCCTTTCATCTTTCTTTTTATTTTAGTTTATCTTATCTTCTCCTCTGTTTTATTTAATAGACTTTATGATAATTTTTCGCTTTTGTTATGTTTTTATCATTGTCTTTTAATGCTGTTAATTTTGAAATTTCAGAGTGTTTTTGTTTAATGGTGTGACCACAAGCTCACTAGCTTTTAGGTTTGCCTTTGTGAATTATGCATTTATTTGTTTTAAATACAAACATACATATGCAACGTATGCGTGTCTACGAAAACTATCAAAATCTAGCCATCATGACATGTTTATTTAAAATTTTGCTCACTACTATCTTTATTAGTGGATTTGTCTTATCATTGTTCGATAATTTATTTCCAAAATATCTAAAGGCTTTAGACCAGTGATGGTATTTATGCTTTGGTATCAATAGTCTAGCTAGGTTTTAGGATTTATAATATGTCCAATGTTAGATTCCCACCAAAACGAAGGTCAGGACTTCTCGCTTTTAGCAGTCTTCCGCATAGTATGATCAGTAATTAGAATAAATTTGGTATATATACACTATAGTTCTAGCACCAGGTTCAGAGTTAGTAACCGGAAAAGCACGGTCTAGCAACACGAAAGAGGAAGTAGATTAACATTATTAAGTATTAACTATATATACACATGAAGCCATATGAAAAGATATGGTGTTTGCCTCAGTAGACAATAGTTGGCTTAACTAAAGCAAAAATTGTCATCAAACGAAGAAAAAACAAAAGAAGCAAAAATGGTTATGTGTGTGAAGGTCCAAGGGACCAACATTCTCTTTTTTTTTTTTTTTTTTTTTTGTAAAACAGGGACCAACATTATCATGGTCTGGAGCCTCTCCATTTTCCAAAATTATATTTGCATTTATTTTAAATTTCAGTAGTACAATATATACCTGAATAAAATGAGATAATCTCTGAGAGTTCATATAGTTTATTTATATCCTCGTTTACATTCTTTCATATAACACCAATATGTAGTTTTGGATTTACAATTTTCTTATAAAAATGTTTTCCGACAAAAGAAAACATTATACTAAACACTTAATTTTTGTTTTTGAAAGCTGACTAAAACACTTAATTTATACACACTATAATTAATTTTCATCGTCATATGAGCAATGGTTATTAAACTGTTTGTGAGTCATCTTATGTAAAAAAAGTAAGAAAGACCAACAACAAGTATTCACTACCCAAAAACAAAAAGTCTGACTTTTGACAGTCTATTATGACAGAAAAGACAATATATACCTCAGCGGTCTATTTCGTCAAATATAGGTTGAAAAATAAGATATTGTAGCCGTACCACATATTTCATGTAGAGATATATATATCTTAGATGAATCTCATTCCGTTAGTTTAAAATGTTCATGCATGCATGAGACTATTTACAAAAAAAAAAAAAAAAAAAAAAAAAAAAAAAGACTCGACGAGGCTTTGTTCACAATTCATATCTATAAAAATGGTCCAAGAAACGCAGAATATGGCCCACGTGGAAAACCCGGCAAGGGATGGCCACGGTCACGTGAGACTTGTGGTCCATGTCGAGATTAACGTGTCTCATTCTGCCACGTGCTTCAGTTGCTTAAGCTTGACAGCCTGTTTCATCACCTCTAGCTTCAAAATCTTGTTCACAAGTCTCCTTTTCAGGTATTGGTCGATGATAGGAAGAAAGGAGATAACCGTAACAGTGGGTTTGATTTATTGTCTTCAGACATAACAGTCTTGCAAACAATGGGCTTACATGTCCAATAGTGACTTATTTCTCAAACCCATTTACATATGGGCCTTAAGAAGCCTAGTTAGATTTTCTTTCTGAAACACTTTTTTTTTTGAAACACCTAGTTAGATTTTCATTACGTATATAAGTGGTATCAAATGTAAGATACATACCTTATTTATTTTATATGTATATATGCACATATATATTATTATACTTAGTATATAGTAATTCAAATTAGAGTCAGTGGGGAGTTTATATGTGCGAATAAATTGAATTTATTTTAAAGCCAATTGATAAATTTGATGACCAATTTGTAACAAATAAGTTTGTCTGTTGCAGGACTTTTACTCATTGCTTGCGTAAGAAGTGAGCAGGATAACAATACAAAGAACGTCACTTGGTCCAACTACTCCTAAAACAACCAGTTTCTTTTCTTTTTACCAAAACAAAATAATATATAAACGTTTTTCTTCTTTGTTATTTTGTTTTGCATAATTGATTGTTGATTGAACCTACCGAATTCTCTTGACCCTTCTAACCAAATCAAATATCTCTCAGCCACAAAAATAATATAAAATAATAATATACGAAACCACAATGTCACAATTCATTAATCTAGCAATGCCAATGGATGATCGTCTATCAATTCAGCAGAAATTATCCATATAATATCATCTACATTTTCCCCAATTCGTTTGGCCGTATGTAATAATGCATTAGGTTGAGTTAAATAAACTATTAGATGATGACCCTTACCTACTTAGCAATTTTCAAGTTGATATTTTTCTTTCTGTTTAAATTATGTTGTCTGTATTTTCGTGTAACCATGCTTGAGTAGTTGAGTGACATGCTAGATGTTAAAATCAAATGCTAATGAAGAAGGAAACAATTATATAATTATATTAAAAAGTATTGAAAAATAGGCTAAACAACAAGTCCAAAAAAAGGCTAAACAAAGAAGAAAGTATTTTTACTAATCAGAGTCAAAGATCATGTGTCAATAGTGCTAATGCTAGTAAACATCAACTCTCTCTTATAATTTTTCAAAACATTTGATTTTTGTTTTTACAAATGCCCCACTTGATTGACCTTAATAATCCCAAAACTTCATTTGTAACCATTCCCCATCATCCTCTCTCTCTCTCTCCAATAAAAGTTGTCACCTTTAAGTGTGTTCTAATGGAGATTATTCTCTACTCATCATCCTTCTCTCTTTCTATATCCTCTTCATTTATTAAGCCACTCTTTCACGCTTTTTAAGACAATTAACAGCCACGGGTCGTAAAAGCTAAAGCCTTTTGCTTTGAATTCAAGTGTCCCTTTACTTCCTCTCTCTGTTTTTTTTTTTTTTGCTGTCAATCCATTCCCTAAGTAAAGTCTTGATTTTTATCAGGTGATTGAGAGAAGTGGAAGAATCATGACTATTGGGTTTTCTTTTCTGATCCGATTCTTAATCTGATATTGTCAATTTTTCTTCATCTCTTTCAGGTAAACTTGTGATTTCTCTATGCTCTGTTCAGGAATAAAACAGAGTCTTGTGTTTAGAAAGCTTCGATTTTTGATAGAGGGTATTTAGAAATGATGAATGTCTCTGTTCCCATATGAGCTATAGGTTGATTGTTTTGATGAAAGATTTGGATGAACCTTAGCTTAGTGCTTACATCTCTGTTTTTTTTTTCTGGAAACTATGAGAAAAATGGATACTTTGTGTTGCTTTGGTTACTTAATTTGAAGCCAATCTTCAAGATTTGGTAACCCTTTTGATTCTGATGCAATCCCAATGATACCTTTCTTCAATTGCTGTTTTCCTGGATAATCAGTTTCTTTGTTGGATTTTCTTTTTCTTTTTATCTTAGTTTTATTCTTTGATTGAAGAATACTAAAAAAAAAAAAAAAGAGAAATTATGGAGTTTCTTCTTCTTCTCTTCTTTGGATACGTTAAGAATGTGTTTCTCTTTGCAGGTAAGAGGTTGTTTGTGACAATGGGGTGGCTTACTAAAATCCTCAAGGGTTCTAGCCGTAAATGTTCAGACGGACAAGTTAACAGAAGATACAATAGAGAGGATAGGAGCTTGGAGTCCACTCCTCGTTATTCTGCGGTAATTGAGAGTTGTTTTTTTCTCCTCTTTATGTTCTTATTTTGATGTGTTATATAGAACAAAGATGAAAAGAGTTTCTTGGAATGTTTGAGTTCAGGAAGGATCTGATTTTGACAAAGAAGAGATTGAATGTGCTATTGCACTCTCCCTTTCTGAACAAGAACATGTAATTCCACAAGATGACAAAGGAAAGAAAGTCATCGGTAAGGTTTATCTACTCGCTGATTGTTTGTATGGAGAGAAACAATAGACACACAGAAAAAGAGAAAGTTGTGTGAAACTGTACCTTGCTAAGCTTTATTTTCCTTTACCTCATGTTCTTTTAGAATACAAGTCTGAAACCGAAGAAGATAATGATGATGATGATGAAGATGAGGATGAGGATGATGACGAAGAATACATGAGAGCTCAGCTAGAAGCAGCAGAAGAAGAGGAGAAAAAGGTAGCTCAGGCTCAAATCGAGGAAGAAGAGAAACGACGAGCTGAAGCTGAACTAGAAGAGTTAGAGAAACAGCTTGCAAAAGCTCGGTTAGAAGAGGAAGAAGTTAGGCGTGCCAAAGCTCAACTAGAGGAAGATGAACAACTCGCAAAGGCTCTTCAAGAAAGTATGGATGCTGGATCTCCTCCTAGATATGATTCTGGAAGTATGTTTCCATCATACCCGTTCCTTGTTCCATCTAGGTAAATACTTCAAAACATACATCACTTAGAAACAGAGACACTTAGAATAAATGAGTATTTATTCTATTTTTTTTTGTTTATTGTTTTGGAGGATATGCACTGGTTGCCGAGCTGAAATTGGACATGGAAGGTTTTTGAGTTGCATGGGTGGCGTTTGGCATCCTGAATGTTTTTGCTGCCATGCTTGTGATAAGCCCATCGTAGACTATGAGGTACCAAAGACAGTTGTACTACATTGTCCTGAATCTTGTGAATACTAACTTGTTAGAGTTTTGTTTTACAGTTCTCCATGTCAGGAAACCGGCCTTATCACAAACTATGTTACAAGGAGCAGCATCATCCAAAATGTGATGTTTGTCATAACTTTGTAAGTGATTCTCACCTCTCATTGATCTCTATATCTTATTGCAAACTTTTGATACTAAGGTTTAATTGAACTTCTGTAGATTCCGACAAATCCAGCTGGTCTCATTGAGTACAGAGCACATCCCTTTTGGATGCAAAAGTACTGTCCTTCACATGAGCGTGATGGAACTCCTCGATGTTGTAGCTGTGAGCGAATGGAGGTCAGTTTGGATACGACATTTTTACTATGTGGAAAATAGATTTAAGAATGTGTGATGATGTTCTGTGTTTTTTTTTTTGCTCATGGAAACAGCCGAAAGATACAAAGTATCTCATACTCGATGATGGTCGAAAGCTGTGTCTTGAATGTCTAGACTCAGCCATTATGGACACTCATGAATGCCAACCGTTGTATCTTGAGATACGTGAGTTTTATGAAGGCTTACACATGAAAGTAGAACAGCAGATTCCTATGCTGTTGGTGGAGAGATCAGCTTTAAACGAAGCTATGGAAGGAGAGAAACATGTAAAGCCACTGCCATATACTGATCTTTATGTTCTTTTCTCTAACTTATTGATTTCAACCTACTTCTATCTCATTTTCTGGCAGGGACATCATCACTTACCTGAAACTAGAGGTCTTTGTTTGTCTGAAGAACAAACTGTCACAACGGTAAGGAGCTACATTGTGTTTAATTAATTGTTATCCACCACAAACAGTGTGTTGAATCAGAGAATATTTGTCATGTAGGTGTTAAGGAGACCAAAGATTGGGGCAGGCTACAAGTTGATAGACATGATCACAGAGCCTTGCAGGCTGGTGCGCCGTTGTGAAGTCACTGCCATTCTCATCTTATATGGACTTCCCCGGTATGAAAAAATAAACACTTCTAAAGCGAATGATTGTCTTGATGAGACATCTAACATATTAGTATTACACATTGTACAGTTTGTTAACTGGATCAATCTTAGCACATGAGATGATGCATGCATGGCTTCGACTAAATGGTAGTTTGAAGAATCCTCCCTTCTCAGTAATTTCAAAATAATTTACTCTTTTTATGTGTTTTTTTTTATATTCTGTATGTGTTTTGAGTAGGGTATCCAAATCTTAGACCAGAAGTGGAAGAAGGGATATGTCAGGTTTTAGCTCACATGTGGTTGGAATCAGAGACTTATGCTGGCTCTACATTAGTAGACATTGCATCTTCTTCGTCTTCATCATCATCCGCTGTAGCCACTGCATCGTCCAAGAAAGGAGAGAGGTCAGACTTTGAGAAGAAACTTGGTGAGTTTTTCAAGCACCAGATAGAATCAGATTCTTCAACTGCATACGGGGATGGGTTCAGGCAAGGTAACCAAGCTGTTCTTACTCATGGTCTGAAGCGAACTCTCGACCACATTCGCTTGACCGGTACATTTCCTTGATGGGATTTGAAACTATAAAAGAGATAAAACAAATAGTTTTTTTTAGAGTATAAACTGAGAGAAAATGGGGAAAAAATGTATAGTTGCAATACACATTTAAGAGTCATAAAGTTTCTACCTCCAAGTGTACTTTTAAATGCATTTTAAAGACTTGTTACGCCCACTACGTTTTCACATCGTCAACGAGAAGTGGACAAGTCAATAATGTTGTAGAAAAGTTAAGGTTCAAGAAGATCCTAATGGATTGCATTGTTTTATATTCCAATTTTTTTTTTCTTTCTTGCTCAAAGATATGTTAGTTGTTATATGGAGAAGCTTATGATTATTACAAACGATGCTTCGGCTTTATTACATTTGTGGACCAAAATGGATAGAGAATCAATCAATATATGTATGAAAATTTGAGAATGGATAGACTTGTATATCTGCATTGTATGTACATCACCACTCTAGATATTGTGGCTCTTCTATTCCCTGAGAGGACGAAGGCCACAAAACGTAGAATGTATAAATCTGACTATCTAAAGATTAAAATATTAACAAGTATTCATACATGCATGCCATCTATTATATGAATTCTCAATGACTGAACATTCAAATATAAAGAAATATTATCAACAAATAATAGATAGTGAAAGTGAGGAAGAAAACCAATGTGAAGATATGAAGAATTGAAGATAGACATAAGAGATAGAGGTGAAGAAGACAAAAGAGATAGGAAGATATGATCACACGTGTTCCCCACTCACTCTTACTACTTGTCGCGGCGCCTCGTCGCCGTTTCCTTCTTTCTTTCTTTCTTTTTTGTTTTCTAGATTATTTCAATTTTTCTAAATCTCATTATATCATTTAGAATTATTGCTAATGAAATTGATCGTTAACGGTGACTTGTCAAGCGATGCAAAGTGGCGACATAGCGTACTAAACTTTGTTACTGTGACACAGTGAAAGTAGTCTCAAATATGTTTTGGAACGTTCGTACCGAACCAGAATAATGATTTTTACTGCCTCACATGAAGTATTATTGTTATAAATTATTCCAATAGCCACGCCAGTAAAAATATCATTAAATTCGAAAGTCAGGGTTTATGAAAGATGTCATCATCATCGTAACATGATGCCACCACTCAGTCTACATGGCACCTTCGTTTATATTTCTAAAAAATAATTATTTTGATAGGAAAACTTAGGACCGTTCTTTTGATTCAGCCAATCGTACAAATTTACAAATTTACAAAAGTTTGTCGGAGTTTCCAAAATCTATTACCAATAGGCAAGGAGTAATTATTCGGAATCTAACCAATGCTAAATAAAAGGGCAATGCAACAAAAATAAAGAGTCTAACAGTAAATGTAATCAATAATCAAATGCAACTAGGTCGTCTAATAATGTTTTCATTTTTTTACAGCATTTATATATACTTTTACAACGTCAATATCATGGAGTCTAGTCCATTAATTTCTCGTACACTTTGGATTTATGCATTGGTAGTGGACAGAACAGAACTAACTAAACCGGATTAGATTTGGTTAAACTAAATTTGAGTTTTCCAACCGAAAAAATTACATATATACATAGATTTTTTGACAAATAAATGAAAAAACAATCAAAGGAGATTGTACATAACATCTCAGACGATGACGATTTTTCATACATAAGGCGTTTTATTATTAATGAGACGACACTCTTTTGGAAATTATGCTTTGGCTCACGTAAATGTATATATATTACTCAATCAAGTGTTGAAGGATCATGAAAAAGAATATACCTAACAAGCGTACTACAAAGGCTGAAGATCTAAGATTCAGCAGAGCATCAAATATGTAAAAGAGAATATGCTCATTGATCATACCTGGACCGTTTTCTTCACTCTCTCATACTAATTTTTTGAAAGTAATTTTTTTTGTATGTACATGATTAGGTGCATGATATTATTATCTTTCCTTTTTCCTTCTTATGGTTGCATTTCTTCTGGACAAACTACCGACCACAGTTTCATCCGGTCATTTAGTTTAATATTCTTTCTAACGATGTAGAGACGATTATTATTAATCTCTTGACATGTTTAGTTTGGGTTCTGAAAAACAGTATCTATCGTCACATTACTAAGCTTTTGACCTCCAACCACTAAAGATTCGGAAACATATTCTACATAATAAAAAGTAACAAGCTTAGATTTGGTGGCTAATTAATATAGTTTTCCGAAGACCCGGTATACAATTCATCATGTAAAAAATAAATGGTCCCCATATATATGAATTAATATACGTAATATCGTTCTCTCCTATCTCCTTTATACGATTTGTCATTTTCCTTACCCATAATCCTATAAAATAACCAAGAGCGATAGAGAAACATACACACACAATTACATACATAGAGAGAGAGAGACAGCTAGATAACACTTTAGAGAAATGGTGTATGCAGGTTACTGTTTGAAGGAGAAGAAGCCATGCGTGAGATGGGTCGAGAGATACTTCGATGACTGCCTTTGTAACCTGAACGACGACGTCTCGTTTGCTCTTGGAATCGTTAGCCTTATCTGCTGGGCCGTCGCAGAGATTCCTCAGATCATTACTAACTTCCGTACAAAGTCCAGTCATGGTGTCTCTCTATCTTTCCTACTCGCTTGGGTCGCTGGGTCCGTACACTCATATAATCTTTAATTCTTATAATTATAGATTTATGAACTCTAGATCTCTCTAACGTTAGTTATTTTTACGACTTTTTATCAATCGGTGCAGTGATATCTTCAATCTGACCGGGTGTTTTCTTGAACCAGCCACCGTAAGTTGCACAACCATAATAATACTACCACTATAGTTTTGTTTAAATCTTGATTGTTGTTTTCTCACTTTGTCTTTTTCTTTTTTATTATTGTAGTTGCCGACTCAGTTCTACACAGCCTTGGTAATACCGCTGTCTACTCGCCGCATAAACATCTGTCGCCATAAAGCTTACGTGTCATTTTATTAACTCATAGTACTATTTGTTTAATTTTTATTAACTCTTACAAAATTATAATTTTGTAATTATCTCAATTTGTTCTTTAGCTTTACACAGTGAGCACCGTGGTATTGGTGATTCAGACAATTTACTACGACTATATCTACAGACTTTATACCCACGGACACACTAAGATCTGTCAGAAGGTACTAATTATATTAATTTTAAAAATTAAAAGCTAATTACACTATTAGGTATAGTATTGTAATACTCTGATACGGGTGTGAAACTATGTTAAGGAGGAAGAAGATGAAGAGAAGAGACCGTTAAACCCACCAAAGACGATGGGATCTGCCATTTCCATCCCTGGAGAATCTTACAAAGCTTCTCCTCGGAAAGAATTCTATTACACGTACGTACGGATTAGTAAAAATACTCATTATTTAATTCACTCTAACTTGATTACGACTTAAGTTAAAGGCTGTGACAAAAGCAAATCATTTATGAACTTATGCATTATTTTACTCCTACATAATATGCGAATATGTTAATACAACTTATTATTATATTTTAGTAGGATGTAATTATGTAACACTTTACCTTGGTGCTGGTTTTTCTTTTTTCAGGTCAGCGAGATCATTAGCTGGAAGCGGCACACCGCCTTTAAGGACATCGTATTTTCGGGTGGCTAAGAGTGGACCTTCGGCCATGACAATAGATAGTGGTTCTTCCTCGGACGAAGATGAGACATTGTCAACGATTCCTGTTGTAACGGCTAAGACCATTACACAGCCAAGGCCAATCCTAAGACAGGTTTTTGATTTTTTCTTTGGGAACTAGAAACCCATTTTAGGCAAAAGGAACAACGATTGACACGTTTTGTACTTGTTCCTATCAGGCAGGTTTTGGAACGTTTTTAGCCGCATCCGTTAGCCTTCCACTGCAGGCCACGAGCCTAGCGGAAAAATTTGCACATGCTTCAAGCAGACGGCTTCTAAATGTGTGTAACTACTTATATAATATTTCCTTACTTCTTGTATTTTTTTGGAACACTGTTACAGTGTTACTTTTTATTGTATAAATGATATTATTTCAAAACATTATTTTGTTATCTCGATATAGGAAAGAATAGTTGAGCATAGCGCATTGGGACAATGGTTGGGATGGCTAATGGCAGCCATTTACATGGGTGGTCGCCTCCCTCAGATCTGGCTCAACGTAAGCTGCTATTTTACGAGCCTTGATCGATCCTTAATTTTCAATTTCTCTACTAATCTGATCTTTATTCGTCTGATACAACTAGATCAAACGAGGAAGCGTCGAGGTAAATATCTAAACAAGACAAAACAAGAAACACTAACTGTAGTAAATTTTATGATTAACATGTTTTGATAATTGGCAGGGTATGAATCCACTTATGTTCATCTTTGCGCTTGTAGCAAATGCAACATACGTTGGTAGTATTCTTGTCAGAACAACTGAATGGGATAGTATCAAACCAAATCTCCCTTGGTTGCTTGATGCTATTGTCTGCGTTCTACTCGATCTATTTGTATCCTTTTATACCATTTTCACTACGCCAAATTTAAAATGAGTCTAATGACATCCCATTCTTATTAAGTGTTATTTTGCTACCTTAATTCAAGACAAATAAAACAGATCATATTGCAGTATATCTACTACAAGTATCGCAGGACGAACAGCTCAAAAGGCGAAGAAGAAGAGTATGGCTATGGAGACTATGTGGAAGCAAGCAAAACTTTTGTTTCGTGAATTACTCTTTGCGTTGCAGTGATTTTAAATATTGATTCGAGAGTGTATGTCTGTCTACGAATCTATTTATATATGATAATATAGTTCATTTACCACCAGAAGAGGAGATATACAATCAAAACAACCTTCAAAATAACAGAAATGTTCCACAGAACTAATATATGTTAATTATTGAGAGAAATATAACATAAAACCTTGACCCAAGGTGTTCTACTGCTTCTACTCTTTAAATCATACACATATACCATTGTTTAAGATGACCACACACAGTATTCCAAGAAATAAACAGAGTTCAACAAGATCATGTGAAAATAAATATAACTTATAAAACTAGATTGTGTATATACAGTCGCAAAATCAATAATCGTATCCAATATACAAGGGAAATTAACACTTGAGAAATGAGAGATCATATGCATGAAGATATTGTTGGAAATATATATATATATATATATATGATAGTAATAGTTTTTTTTCAAGTTTTTAATACATAAAACAACATTCAATATTCTATTCCTCTCCAAATGTTTACATAAGCCGCATCTATTCGAAAACTTTTTCTCTTTAGTAACTACTCTTTCACACAATTTTTGGTTGTTAATTCATCTTTCTCAGTTTAGGAGACAACGATACATCGAATCGAAAAAGATGCCCCCTTAATCAAAGATTAATTATGTAAAGCTCCAAGAATCTTGGAAACAGCAGCTGAAGAAGGCTTAGTATTAAACATCTTCTTCAGCTCATCATACCTCCCAACATCAAAATTTTGAGATTTCATCAGTTTTCTCTGTTTAGCCTCAAACCTACTCTCGTAAAACCCTTCAAAAGACGGCTCTTTCGCCGTCCTGAGGAAAAAAGTGTAACCAGCCATGAAGTATATAGATGTGACATAGAAACAGATTGGCTCCATAACGTCCCACGTGAGTTCCCAGAACGTTAGCCTCATGAACCCTGCGGTTTGGAGTATCAAGTAACCAAGACCAGCCCAAAGCTCTCTTCTCACCAATGAATGTGCTTTCTCGTCAATGACTTTCTTTATAGCTTCTAGCTCTTTCAGCTCTTTTCTTCTTGGATCGTTTGGGTTACGGATCTGTGGTAAAGGAAGCAAACCCTCGATTGATTTTGTTACCTGATCACACACACAAAAAAAAAACAAAAAACGTTTCATTAAATAATTCATCTAAAACAGAGAAACAAACGCTCCTAAACACCAAAATCAATGATTTTTTTTGTACCTGATCAGGTTTTAAGCAAACGTAATCTCCCAAAACGATGACGTTTCCTGAATCATCAAGCATCTTAGCGATCCAAGGTCCCTGAGAAGGATTCAAACAAGAATCATTGCAGACGCCGACGAACTCAGAGTAAGGGATCCAGCTTCTCCCTGTCTCCATCAGCTTCGTTTTCACCACCTCGATCTGCGCAGCTCTAAGCAACTTCTTCGCGTCTTTCACAGTAAGAAGCCCCAACGCCTCCGTCTCCACCGCCGCCGCATGTTTCACCGGAGGTAAAAGTCCGTCTAATCGAATCCGGTCGTTTTCTCGAAGCTTCTCCCTCAGACTCTCCCCAACCGACATCCACGAAAACGCTAAATCACCAGGCTCCGGATCAACGGTGGTGGCTTCTCCTGGTTCTTTAGGAACCCTGGTTCGCACGACGGCTAACGAAGAAGACGAGATTCGACAGTTCATGAGACCTTGCGACGCCGTTTTCGAAACATTGAACAAACGCTGCGACAAAAGCTTCCTCATCGCCATTGACAAAAACGAGAATAAAATAACAAACGAAACTGAATTCGATGTACTTTGAATATATGAATAAGCTATGAAACAGAGCTTTATATAGGTTTAGACAAAAGTCCTTGTTTTAATTTAGTTTGGTTTCTTGTCTTTAAACAATAGAATTTAATCAATCAAGTGGACCCCTCTACACGTCAGCTGATATCTATCACCAGCAATTCAATATACGCTGCCTTTTTGTGAATGCTTTGGTTGTTTACAACCGTCCACGTGGATTGATCTTGGTTGGTGATAGCTTGCGGTGCCTCCATAGCCGTCTGATTAATACATTTACGCTTTTTTTCTAATGTATCCTAATAACTTCTTTGACTACAATGGAAACTCAACAGAATTAAAAATAAAGTCACGAACGTGTCGCCACATATTTCTGTTTTATCCCTTTTTACGTCTGATTTGGTTTTAGTCAATTTGTTTTTGTTTTATGGTTTTAACTGATTAAAAAGGAGACAAATATTTTATGATGTGATCTTCTAAAATTATAATGCTAGATGGGATGATATTTATGATGTAAAGTGTTTGTATATTTGCAAATCTGGTAATATTGAAACAGTGACGTGTTGCCACATTTTTTACATCTCAAAAGAGATATACAACCAAGAAATTGTTATGGAATGTGTATATACATCTATATTATTAAAATAGAAGTACCCTATTGAAATGCCCCTTAATGTTCAGTGTTATTTACAATAGAATGCCACTGAAACTATTAATTACTCTATCTTATAGGATTTTTTGTCTTTTTCACTTTAATTAATGCATTTCCAAAATCAAATTTTAACTAAAAATAATTATGGCAACAATAATTAATAAAAATAATTATTTTCATATATACATTTCATAATTAAATAAATAAATTATATAGAAATTGTTTTACTAATTCAATATACATAATAATTAATTCCAATATTAATTAACCTACCTTTTAGGATTTTTTCTTATTAATTATCTACATATCTTTAAATAGTTAATGAACTATATCGTTTTCAAAGATATATAATTATATTTTTATTATTTATAAGTAATAACTAAAATAAATTCACAAAATAAACATTTATATAATATATAATACATAGATTAATATAAACATATTATGTTATGTATATTTTTATATAAATAATAGTTCAATGTAAATTCAGAATAATAAAAGTTTAAAAAGTAGAAATATATAGGACCATATATTTTAAATAGTAGATACAACAACTTAGTTATACATTATCATAAAATTTTGATCTATAAAAAAAAACATTTGTGCAGATATACTGGTCATATTTTTAAAATAAGTATGACACAATGATAGTTTACAAGGTAAAATAAAATTACTTAATATAAACTATAAAATTGTGTGTTTAAAATATCGTTTTAAACAAATATTTAAACGGGTAAATTTAGAAATATATATTAATCACTTATAAAATATATAAAAACAAACACTTGCGCGGATCAAACAACAAACTTTTCGGTATTCTTCTGTCATAATTAAACCCATAAGTAATTTGTAACTATTTAATTGATACTTCATTTTTTATTTTACAAATTTCAATCCAAATGTTTTATATATTAAAAATTTAATATAATTTGAACATCAGTATTTTTCTTAGAAATGCTATAACTAATTTATCATTTTTTGTATACCATATTAACTCTTACTTCTCAAGATTTGATGTATCTTTAACTGAAAAATATTTTCAATATATCGTCTACATGTTAGATTTGTTTGTATAATACTCAATATTTTTGATACAATAAATTGTTAACACACACACAAAAACTTAATGTAATAATTAACTTTTACGAAAATTTTATTTAATATAAAAATTAAAAAATAAAATTAATATCCGTGCGGTCGGTCGGGGTGAAGATCTAGTACATATTGTTACTCAGTAAATTTCAACACAACGACGTGTCTCCGCATTTTCTGACTTATCTTCTTCCATCTTTAATGAGATCCAAGTTTTACTGATACGCTTTAATACAATCTTTTTTCTTTTGACCAAAGGCTTAAATACATTTAAATAGTACATCCCTTTTTAAGAACTCTTTTTTTTTTTTTTTTTTTTTGGCACACCCCTTTTTAAGAATTCTTGTTAGACGAATATATGCACATGGATAAGAAAAAAAAAAGTGAAAATATCAAAGTTAATTAGATAAATCATGAATATAGTATTGAGAAAGTGAGAATACAAATCCATTGTTGTTCACGCTGCATGTACCAAACACCATACGACACGAGAATTTTAGATATAATGGAAGCCAGCACCCATAGATTATACAGCATACATAAATTTAATTTATTAAAATAAAATAAAATGGGGACTTGTCTACGGAGTTTGGTGAGGTCAGGTGCAAAGATAGACAATCCATCGTATATACTCTAAGATTCGAGTCTTAATAGAACATGATTCAAACAAAAGAGTAGCCAAAAAGATTTTTAACCGAACTTTAAATCTCAAAATGTTGAGATTAAAGACTTGTGAGCGTACAAATATGCTTGTTTTTAACGTCAAATTGGCGGTAGCTACATCGTTCTTCGAATACACGAAGGTGGACCGAAATAAGGGAAAAATAGAAAAGCTTTACAAACCCAATATTTCGAGTTAGATCTTGGGTTGTGAACTAATATATAGGCTTGGCCCATCTTCAATTATTTTCAACTACGCTTTACTTGTTGACTTGAGTGGTTCCATGGTGCAAAAAACGACGACTTGGTCTTCTCGTACCTTTAAGATCTAATCAGAACAATTAACGGATCTAGTAGATGAGAGAGATCCAAACGTATGGTTCTGTCCTATAAACACATTGTTCATCATCAACTTCAAGCATTTGACTAAACTGTCACAGAAACTCAGAATCACTGATCTCTTAATATTAAATCTATAACATAAAAAATCGCACCAACACGCGAGAGAGATCATTACAAACACTAGAATCTGTTTTTTACCTTCTCTCCAATATTTCTACAATTCAACCTCAAACAAGATCATAGAGATTCCGACAAGAACTAAGAAAAAAAAAAAGAAACACACAATATTCAGTTCTGTCTATTAGCAATGTAATTAGCCAAAGCCAACAAAGGAGCAACCTTGTCGGAATCAAACCCTAAAAGCTGATCACGAGCCTCTCTATTCAACTTCTCAGCGAACTCTCTCGATTTCTCCAAACCCATAATCTTCGGATACGTCAACTTATCAGCAATCAAATCTTTCCCCGCGGTTTTCCCCAGCTCCTGCGACGATTTCGTAACGTCCAAGATATCATCAACCACCTGAAACAACAAACCAATACACCTCGCGAACTTCCTCAGCCTCTCGATCTCCTCATCACTCCCTCCACCAACGATCCCACCCAAAACCGCGGAAGCCTCAAGCAACGCCGCCGTTTTATGCAAATGAATAAACTCGAGATGCTCCAACCCGACGTCGTTTAAGTCCAACCCTTCGCTGCTTATATCCACCACTTGTCCCGCCACTAGCCCTTCGGTCCCAATAGCTTTCGCCAATTCTCCGACAGCTCTGACCACTCTGGTCGGCGAAACCTCCGGACTCGTCGCCGACGCTAAATGCTCGAAGGCGAACGAGAGAAGCGCGTCTCCGGCTAAAACCGCCACGTCCTCGCCGAAGACTTTGTGATTCGTCGGTTTTCCGCGGCGGAGATCGTCGTTATCCATACAGGGCAAGTCGTCGTGGATCAGCGACATGGTGTGGATCATCTCCACGGCGCAAGCCGCCGGCATAGCGAGGGACTCTTGGCCTCCGACGAGCTCGCAGGCGGCGATGCAGAGGACGGGTCTGACGCGTTTGCCACCGGCGAGGAGGGAGTAACGCATCGCCTCGTGGATCTTGAGCGGTTCACGGAGGGGGACGGCGGAGTCTAGGGCTTTGTTGACGGAGTCGGCTTTGCGGAGGATGTAAGACATGAAATCGAAGGTGGATTTGAGGTTGTCTTCTTTGGTGATGAGGGAGGAGGAAACTGTGTAAGAAGAAGACGAAACGCTGCGTTTTGGGGTTAGGGAGATGGGTTTAAGAGAAGGAGATCTGGATCTGGGTGGTTTGGATTGGGTTAAGATAGTTGAAGGATGGTGATGGTGGTGGTGAAGAAGCCATGAACCTAGAGGAGTCACTGAAGAAGCCATTTGAGCAAATCTGTAATGTCAGATTACAATTATTAAAAATTTGTTTTATTTTATAGGACTTGAGGGAAAATTGGAAGTCAAAATGGGAGTTGGGTTGGCCATTAGTGGTCGCTAGAGTAATAGATAGGGTTGTTGTGTTACGGAATGGGCCTCTTCCTCTAGTGGTGGTGGAGGTGATGACGAATGTTTTGATTATTAAAAAAAAAAAGCATCTTCCTCTTTACTATTTTTGTTCCATTATTTAATATTTTTTTGTAGGACAAAATTTATTGTCTCGTTGTGTCTTTCCTTAAAAAATCAGCATAATCTTTTCTTTTTTGCTAAGAAAAAAATCACCATAAATACTTATCACAAAATTTTGATTTTATTATAAGTATAATCTTTAAAGATAATAAAATATCCTAATTAAGAGAAACGTTTTTAACATAAAAAGTCTTCAGGGGAATAAAAAAAGTCCATAAAAAGAAGAAGAGATCTTCCAATTGAATTGGGTTATCTCCATTTGTTGATCTTTGACACACAAAGATTAGTACTAAAAAATGGCATGAAACATGCCATACGCGTCACAAATCTTAATTCTTGACTTATTTACTCCAATGAGTTAATGACACTGATATGACATCCGTTAGGGTCATAAAAGACCGCCAAATTTAGCTGTTAAAAAATTACTTAAATGGATAATACGTGACTAATGGGCCTTAGTGGGTCTACATGGACCGAGATGTCGAATCCACGAAGAATCTGTTTATTTATTTATTTATTTAACTCCGCGTCGAGAAAAAGCTGTCAATTCAACATTTCTCCGCGTCGTTTAGCTTCAGAGGAGGAGAATCCGGTGGGAGAGAGAGATAATCGTCGGCGAGCTTTTGATTCAGTCCTCCGATTATCAAAGGTCTTACTCTTCGGATTCATCATTATGTAGAAAGATTCTGTCTTTGATCTCTTAAGTAGATTAATTTTTGTTCAAAAAGAAAAAAACACAATTTCCCCCTTAGTTTTGCTCTGATTTTGATTGTAAGATGAACCAGAAAAAAAAAATCATTACTTTATGAGTTTTCTAGTAAAAAAACTCTGAATTTCAGTCCAGTGATTTAATCATATCACTTTAGAATCAATGGATCGTTCATTTTTTTTTTGTGTGTGTGTGTTCAGTTTAGTCATAAATGGATCGTTCATTCTTTGATTTTGTGTCAGGAAGAAGAAGAAGAAATGATTGGGTTGTTTAAAGTAAAGGAAAAGCAAAGAGAACAAGCTCAGAATGCTAGCAGAGGTGGAGGAGCTTCTGTCAAGAAACAATCTGCTGGTGAACTTCGTCTTCACAAAGGTTTTTATTTCATTTTCATTGTTACAAAACTTGTTTTTTAGCATTTTGTCTCTTCTTCAAGTTTCATTTTTTCAATCTTTGATTGTGTGTAGATATATCAGAGTTGAATCTTCCAAGCTCCTGTACGATATCATTTCCTAATGGTAAAGATGATCTGATGAACTTTGAAGTCTCCATTAAACCTGATGATGGTTACTACCAGTTAAGTTTGAGCCTTTTTCTTTTCCATATCTCATGCTCACATTTAGAACGGTTAGGAAACTCATTTCTTTCTTTCTTTCTTTATTGTGAATTATACAGCAATGGTACCTTTGTTTTCACGTTTCAAGTGTCTTCTGTCTATCCTCATGAAGCTCCTAAAGTTAAATGCAAAACCAAGGTATGATTTAAGAATATGATCCTCTTTCACCTTGCATTACTTATAGCTCCATCTTTACTTGCTGTTTAGGTTTATCATCCCAATATCGATTTGGAAGGAAACGTTTGCCTCAACATCTTACGTGAAGACTGGAAACCTGTTCTTAGCATTAACACTGTTATCTATGGTCTCTTCCATCTTTTCACGGTAAAATAAAATATTCAGCCTGAGATGTACAGTGTTTGTGTTATTTGGTTTACTTCAACTGAGTTTTGTGTATTCACACAGGAACCCAACTCTGAAGATCCTTTGAACCATGACGCTGCGCAAGTGTTAAGGGATAACCCAAAGCTGTTTGAGACCAATGTCCGTAGAGCCATGACTGGTGGCTATGTTGGCCAGACCTTTTTCCCGCGCTGTATCTAACAAAAAGTCCTGGTTCGTTGTTCTTCAAGCGAAAAGATAAGAACTGGAACCCACTTATCCGCCATTGTATTTCTTATTCTCAAAAGGACCCTTGCTTGTTTGTTTGCTTCTGTAAAACCACATTCTGTTCAAGTTCGTGAGAGTTGACAAAGGAGACTGAAAGGAATTGTATAACATTATGTTCACTTTGATTCAGTCTTGGTTTCAATGTTGTTGTATTGAAAAAATCAAAACATAAGCAAACTCAGATCATTTCAATGTCTTTAAAACTAGCATTTTTCGCATTCTCTCGATCTTTCTTGAAAACGAAATGCAAAGGCGTGTAACAGAGACAACAGAGGCCAAAGGGAACAGCCATCATCGACAAAAGACCCTTGGAGAGAGCCTCAGCTTCACGCACAGATGAACCTTTCAAAGGATCAATACCTTTGGAGTCATACCCAAACATCTTTTCAGACAAGATCCCAACCAAAGGCGCAGCAAAGGACGAGAAAGACCCTTCAAAGGCTCTGTCAAAAGCGTAGATCATTGTCCGGTGCTTAGGAGGGACGACTTCAGCAAACATTGGTGCATTAACCGCTGAACCACACCAACTTATGGTAAGACCCATCAGGAAGAGCGTGATGGAGAAGATCAAGTAGCTCTCTCTGCTCTGTGGGATTGCTTTCAGAAGAATAATTGAGAATGGTATCCCCATGAATGCACTGAACTGCGCACACATCACTCTACCGGAGTTTGGAAAGATCCTTGACATTTTATCAGCGATTATGCCTCCCATTAAGGTTCCTATAGCGCATCCAGTGGCAAACACCCCAAGCAAAGCTGCTGTCTGGTTATGATCAAAACCTAAAACAAAAATAATAGTAAGCTTCAAGACAACGGTTCTTGACAGATAAGGCTTGTTCATTTACCAATAAGTTCAAACCACATTGTGAAGAAAACCATCGCAGTCCAAGGCAATGAACCAACGATTCCTTGCAAGACAATGATCTGGAACGTCCGTACTTTCACCACTGACTTTGTAGCTGCCCATGAATCATTCCAAACGGATATCTTATGAACCATTAGTTCCTCTCTACACAGTTACAAAAACAAAAACAGTTCTGCTCTCAAGTAAGTCTTAGAAGTAAGTTCACTAGTTTGAAGAGGTTCTGTTTTTACCTGTCAATGTGCTTCCTCGGGTCAACCACGAAGAGGAAAACTAGCAATCCGATCACAGCACTAAGAGTTGCCATCATGATGAAAGCACAACGCCATCCAGGTACGCCCCAAAACTCAGAACCAGCCATAACAGTTGCAACAACACCTCCTCCAATACCACCAATAGTACCAATGAGATTCAACAAACCGAAACCAGCTCCTCTAGTACCATCCTTGTAGCTATCTGCTATAAACGACTGAAGCGCCGGTATAACAATCGCCAATCCAAACCCATTCACTGCCCTCCATAAAGCAACCTATATCACATAATATACAACCATTCCACAAAACTTTATAACTTCAAAACTCATAACCATTGTTTAGTGGTTCTTTAAAACTTTAAAGAAGCATTAAACAAAACTTTATACAACTTTAAAGAACCCTTAAACAAAACTTTATACAACTTTAAAGAGCCACTAAACAAAACTTTATACAACTTTAAAGAAAATGTTTAAGAACAGATAAGACATTACCTGAATGAAGTAGTTGCTAGCTCCAACAGCAGCAGTTGACAAAGCCCAACAGAGAGTACCTATTGCAAGAACAATGGGACGATCATAGGTAATGACGAGAACTCCTGCTAACGGCGAAGCGAGTCCTTGAACAAAGTTCCTAACGAATGTTAAGTAGCCTAAATCTGATGGACCTGCGTTAAATGCTTCACTCACTTCTTTGTAAACAGAAGGCAATAGATTCTCGTCTGCTCGCTCCATGATTGCAGCTAAGTTTATCAGAATCAGTGATATCGAAACTCCTAAAAACTTTCCTGTCCTGTAATAAAAAGAAAACAGAGGAAAAGTTTGAAACTTTCAACTCTTGCAATATTCAGAAACAGAGAGACAATGAAACAGTTAATCATCCAACCATTGAAACAGATCTACGAGACAAGAACAGTAAAGTGTAAACTGAATCACAATCGAAGAAGACAAAACTGGAAAGAGAACAAAAAAAGTCAAAAAGGAGCTAACTTTATCTTCATGTTGTTGTTAGTGCGAAGATTGCGAGAAAACAGAGACCGGAAGAATCCGAGAGCGGTGGGGACGTAACCGGAACGAGTTCGAGCACGACCCATCAAAAAAAAAATCAAAACTTGAGCTCCAGTTTAACCGGCGACCGGAGCTGGAGGTTGGCTGGTTTTCTAAAATATCGGATCTTTTAAATTTAAGACACACCAGTCGTTTTTGGATATTAGTGATTTGAGTATTGAATGTTGTTTTTTGTTTTTAGATCATAGTTTTAAAATTTATTAGTATAGATTTTAATTTTCAATGATAATGATCAGAATGGATTTTTGTAATTAAAGGATTATTTTTACTAATTAAAAAGATTATCAGTTTTGGCACGTAATGGTAGTTAAGTGGGTGGATCGTTACTGGGACGAAGCGTCGGAGGAACATGCTTACATGAATCTGTAATATTTTTAGGATGTCAATAGGTTGTGACGTATACTATTGATTAAATAGATTATGAAGTAAATACACAAATTCAGCTCAGGGAGAGTGTATACAAAAGTTTGATGATGACGGATGCTGACGAATGAGGACGTGGGCAAGCTTCTTTTGTGGACGTATGGTTTGGATTATCAACATAATACTTACTGGTCATGAAGTCAGCTCTTATCTTTTTCATTCATGAAGGCAAGTGATGAGAAGCCTCTTATTTTTCTTATATTAGTTGACAATAGTAAGAAATTCTAGGATTGTAATGGACCTGACCAAGTTAGTTTCACGCCCAAGTGTACATCTCCAAGCAACCATGAGTGTAACATGTGGTTGGTCCATCTAGAGAAAATCTCGAGATTTATTCTCTTTAGTGTTACTGCATAATCTGATTACTACGGAGATGGAAACTTTTGTTGTAGGTTGGAAAATGTTTTTGTTGTCTGCTAACATGACGCTGGTTTAAGCATTTTAGAGCCTGACAATAAACCGATCTGAAACATGCAAGTCCACATGTTTGACTTCTAAACCGAAACGTCTGAAACACTTCACAACCACATCAACGAGGATCAAAAGGTACTGAAAAAAAACTTCATGGACAAATGTACATGATCACATCTGATTGAAATAAGTTTTTGCCTTCGTTACAAGATAGATATATCATATTGACAGCAAACAAGGCATTCTCACGATTATGCAGTGATAATCGATATACAGAAATGGAGGAATTCAATTTTGTTTTGTAAAGTCAGAATCAGAAACCGAAATATTTTACCTAACGTACAAATAATTAAAACGGAAAACACACACACAGAATTGACCGATGCATTGAACAATAATAGTGAGAATAGTTGGTTAGTGACTCAATGGACGCCGCACGATTAATTGAATTAATCAATTTAAATCAAAGTAGATTAAATGTACATGACCACGCCGTACCATTTGAAAACTTTGTTAATATTCCCCCACGTGAATGATTTGATCCAAAGTCACTGACAGATTGGATTTTTTTGGCATCACCAATTATTGTATTTTTCTTTTAAAACTTTAATTTTTTGTTGGTCTGTGAATATGAATGATAGGACGTGGTTGAATATGATAAACACAATAAAACACACAAACAAATTGGTCTCATTAAATTGCAAGCAATAACAAATGAAATTATATATATTGTACAACTTAAGATTGTGAAAGAAAATTCAATCGGTGAGTATATATAATTGTTTGATAACCGGGGAAAAAATAGAATTGTTTAATTAATACTTAGTTAGCTGTAAATAATAGCATGAATCCAGCTGGGGATTCTGCTTCCTGTCTTTGCTCACGCCTCACTGGAGCCGCACGTGCTCCGACCACGATGCCAAATTGTGTTTTACACTTATTTACTTTTCCAATTTTTATGCTAAAATATTCAGTTTTCCTAATTGCACCGATACATTTATAATGACATCAGATTTATCGTTTTTGATGCATCTTGATGACATAATTTTTTTTACTAAATATCTAATAGTTTTTTTTTGACTAAATTAAATATCTAATAGTTGACTAAAATATACTCCCTCCGTTTTATATTAAGTGTCGTTGTAGAGAATTTTTTGTGTTACAAAATAAGTGTCGTTTTCGGTTTTCAATGCAAAATTTATTAATTTTATTATGTAATTTGTTTTTCTATTGGTTAAAATATGGTTAGGTGTGTGGGTAATTGTGTTTTTATATAGGAAATATGTAAAATTAATTGTTTTCTTAATCCGTGTGCATAGCTGTAGAGTGACACTTATATTAAAACAGAGGGAGTATATGACATTTGAGTTGTCTGATCGAAGTTGATATTATTGATTTTTTAATTTTCTATGATCAGTTTGTAAATATTATCAATAGCTCAAAACGGTCATATTCAATTTAATAAAATTCTTTACGATTTATAGTTGGAGTAAATCGTAAAGAATTTTATTAAATTGAATATGACCGTTTTGAGTTATTGATAATATTTACAAACTGATCATAGAAAATTAAAAAATTAATAATATCAACTTCGATCAGACAACTCAAATGTCATATATATTTATTCATAGAGAAAAAATTCTTTTGTGAACTGTATAAATACGTTAATACGTTACAAACTCACAAGACGACGACATAAAATTATGTGGTCATCTTTGAAAGTGTGAAAACAATGCAAATTATCACTAGAACATCCAGTTTAACCTTTTTCACAACATTTTCTAAAAATTACTATAAGTTTACACAACTATGAAATAATTGATTAAAATGCATAAGATAAAAAAAAGGAAGATACCAATTCATTGAATAGTGAAAGGAAACAAGGAGGGGACCACTGCTCGTGCGTTACATTAATTAGACACGTGTAAGCTGACTTCCATAACCGGGCCCACAGTTAGACACGGATCGCACGTGCGGAGACAAACAAAAAAAAAGATTGAATTTTTATTTATAAAACCAGAGACAATGAAGAAAAGTTGCAGCCAATCCGCTTGAGAGTCACCAAACAAACTCTCTCTCTCTTTCTCTCTCGTCTCCCTCGTGCGCCAAAGACTGACAAAGACTTCAAAAAGATAGAGAAAGATCAAAACTTTTCAATGGCCGCAGGAGGAGGAGGAGGAGGATCATCGTCGGCGGGAAGAACTCCGACGTGGAAGGAAAGGGAGAACAATAAGAAAAGAGAGAGGAGAAGAAGAGCCATCACGGCCAAGATTTACTCTGGTCTCAGAGCTCAAGGTAACTACAAGCTTCCTAAACACTGCGACAACAACGAAGTCCTTAAAGCTCTCTGTCTCGAAGCTGGTTGGATCGTTGAAGACGACGGCACCACTTATCGCAAGGTCAAATCCTTTTGTCTCAATTCAATTCATAATCGATCTACGAAATATCTTATTAATTTTATTTCTTATTCATATGAATTCTTAGAGAAATTCAGAGATAAAACAGTAAAATTTGATTATTCCGACAAGAACTCTTTTACTTCTTGTCTAAACCAATCAAAATCATTGACTTTGACTTTTAAACTGTTCAACAGGGTTTTAAGCCACCGGAATTATCAGGAACTCCGACGAACTTCAGCACGAACTCATCAATCCAACCAAGTCCACAATCCTCTGCTTTCCCAAGCCCAGCACCTTCTTACCACGGAAGCCCTGTCTCATCTTCTTTCCCAAGCCCGTCTCGTTACGACAGCAACTCATCCTCGTACCTTCTCCTCCCTTTCCTACACAACATCGCTTCTTCAATTCCAGCAAACCTTCCTAGCCTCAGAATCTCCAACAGCGCTCCCGTAACTCCTCCCTTATCCTCTCCCACCTCTCGTGGTTCGAAGCGGAGACTCATCACAGAACAGTTACCAAACGGCGGAGGGTCTTTGTTAAGACATCCGCTTTTCGCTATCTCAGCTCCCTCTAGTCCTACACGCCGTGGTGGTCACCAGACACCGCCTACGATACCTGAATGTGATGAGTCTGAGGAGGATTCTATTGAGGATTCAGGAAGGTGGATTAGTTTTCAATCCACGGCTCCTCCTTCACCAACGTTTAACCTTGTTCAGCAGAGTTCTATGGAGATTGACATTAAAAGACCAGAGTGGGGGATGGCGGGAATGAATGTGAGGGGTTCAGAGTTTGAGTTCGAGAATGGTACTCATGTGAAGCCATGGGAAGGTGAAATGATTCATGAAGTTGGCGTAGAAGATCTTGAGCTCACTCTCGGTGGGGCTAAAACAAGATGCTAAAGAACATTTGATCATAACAGAGCATTGTACAGGAGCTCGTGTGGCCCAAAGCCAAAAGGGTCGAACCATTTTATATACCGTTTATACTTCAATGAAATTTCTTCTATGGTGATAATGTTATTGGAGGTATAATGTGTTGTGTTTAGTCACATGATTAAGAAAAGGTTTTTGGAGTTAATGTTATTGTTTTCTTTTTATGAAATATAACTGTGATTAGTTATAGAGTTGTGTTGAGTTGTGGACCTTGTGGATGTGTTTGAATAAAACGAAACCTCCACGAGCGGATGATAATGGACCCCTACCATGTGCTCTCTCTCGGTCTGTTTTGCTGGGACCTAATAAAACAACTACCTCTCTCAACCAATTTGTACTTTATTTTATAATTGTAGTATACTATGTAATTATTGTTCTCGCGTGTTGTAGTTTAAATACATCTTTTCATATGTCGTAACTCTCACGATACAAGACAACATTTCCAACGCCCACTTGATGAGGGAGGGAACTCTGAGACGGGCCACGTGAGCCAGTGTTTCTTTTTTTATCTATTGCTTTTCTAGTTTGGATCCAGAAAGTTTTTGGTCACCAAGAAAAAAAAAAGTTTCTCTGGATAATGGCTATGTCTTGTGACTCGATGTGATTACATTACTAATCTTATTCTATATTATCATAATCACACTGTTCTCATTATTACTTACATATCATGGCCTAGATGCCTCGCCCTACCGGGATGTGTGGGTTAACTAGCTCAGAATTTTCCAATAATCTATTGATAATAACAAATTCATTTTCTTTAACCGTTGACATCAATTTTTATAGAAAAAAATAACAATTCAAAGGTAAAATTATACTGAAAATATAATCTAATGATTTAAACTTTGTTTAAGATGAGATTATGACACCATTGACTTGCTTTATCAATCTATGTTTTCATCCTACCAAATCACAACTATACAAAGATGCTTCTTAAACAAGGCATCTTCTCGTAAGAGAAAATCTTCCCGCAAGAATCACATATTTCCAGTATTATTTAGTGAAGGAATAGTATAGGTTGTTAGATTTATTTGAGATTTCTTTTCACTACGTCATTTTTTTATCTTTCCTTTTTTCAGATTATTATCTTTCATATTTTGGCTATGTTATTTTCTGACATATTTCTCTACAAATACACCCTCGGATAAGTTTCTTGTGAGTTTACTGTCTCTACTAAGTTTTCCAATCTATTTATCTACAATTACTAAATTTATTTTTTCTATTGATTTTATATTAATATCTATAGAAACCACAATTCAATTAAGTCATTGATGCGCTTTATCATATTAGCCAGAAGGTAATTTTGCTGATGTTAACACTTGTTTTATTTTCTTTATGTTTTGTGCTAAATCATATTATACATATTTTTGTATATTAAATTATAAGCCACTTCACCAATTAAATTATGCCACGTAATTATCCATATTTAAAAAATTAATTAAAAAATAAAATAAAATACAACATAAAATTGTATCCCACGTATTTCCAGTACCCACAATCTTTTCTCTTCCTCCACAAGCTTTTTTTCCATGTTCCTATATATTTCTAAAACTCAGTAAAAAGAATGACAACAAAGTCTCGATCAATAGAAAATATATTAGGAAAAAACAATATTCGATTTTTAATTTCAATACCATAATACAAACTTGGAGCTGTATATAATGTTAAGAGTTTGTGCTTAGTTCTGTGAACCGGATTAAACCGGAATAAACCGGTTAAATGTCTTGTCTTCTTCAGAGCGACGTCTCCATCTCGCTCCAACAAGTCGCTGCTGATTTTTGCTTATTGGTTCTAGTTTGCCGAGCGACTTCCTCTTCTCGCTGTGCATAATCGCTCCAAGGTGTGTTGAGATTGCAGCGACTTCAACACCTCGCTCTAAGCTGCTCGCTCCAACTCTTCATCTCCATCGCAATTCTCGTCCGGACCGTCTCGACCCTCCGCCTTGCCGTCATCGTGAGACAGGCTTCTTCGGTCGCAGATACAGTCTCTCGTTCGGCTTAACAGCATCACCCCCGCATCTCTCATCGAATCCAAGCTCATACATGGCGTCAGGTCTCCATCTCCGCCGTTTTGCTCCACCACGAATCCAAGCGCCTCTCCTTCTTCAAGCTCTTGTACATACAATCCACCATGGCCGTGAACTTCTCCACCGTGTCGGAATCAGCTTCTCCGTCGTTCTCTGCTCGAGCTCGCGCTTCTCCGTCGTCGGGAACGTCAGGATTTACAGTGTGGAGAAGCTCGTGAGCTCCAAATTCCAATGGTGATTTCCCAGACTTTTGCAAACCAGGTCCTTGAAGTCTTGTGTATTCACGAATTTTCCCCAACTATTATAATGTGCAGTCAAAACCTCCGAATTAATCCCAAAGCTTTCTAATCTTCCAATCTGACCCATTCGACTATCCTGAGTTTGCGCATTGGTCCCTCCACTTTTTATGACTTTGTTTCTGACCCAAAACTTCCGTAATGTACAATTAAACCTTTGATTTTCATCCAAAACTTCCAATTGAGACTCCAAACCCTATAATATGCAAATGAGTATGCAAATGCTATATAATGACCTAAATGCAACCTAAAATGATTATAATAAGATAAAATATAAATCTTGTAACGAATCAAGATATATCAATCATCAAGATTGAATAGTTTTCTTTGCAACTCTTTTTCTTTACTGGTTCCCCAAATAGAAACGAATCTTGTAACCGAATCTTATACGCGTTACGTTACGAATCACATGGAGAGTTTGAGATTTAGGTTTTAATGGATGAAGGGAAGCTTCCAAATCTTTCTTTATATAGTTTGTTTTTTTTTTATTCAAACCAGGCGTGAATACAAAAGCTGACTCATCATCGTCACCAGGGGTCCACTTTTGATTCCCTTCGTCACACAAGAAATGATATTTGGTTCTGTTCGAAAATGGTTAATGTTGGTCTCCTTTAGCTTTACTGTTGTTATTGTTGATATGCCTTGAATCTAGATGTTGCATCTAGGCATTGGATGCTACATCACGTACATCATATTGACTCGGTTGCATCAAGAGCGTTGCATCAAATTATTATGGATGTTAATTTGATTGTGGGCTAAGGCCCATGAATCTGTTTAGTCTACGGTTTTAGATGCAAGATGTCACTATATATATCTTGTATTCGATGTAACCCTAGACTTGTACTCTGAAAGCTCAATATCGCCTTAAATAATAAGATTTCTCTTTGCCCGTGGACGTAGCCGTTAGGGGTGAACCACGTTAAATATCTATGTCATAGTTACATCGCTTCATTCATTTGTTTCCACATTTGTTCTTTCTCACATCCGTTACAACAGTTATGTTTAGTATGTTTCTAAAAATGCGAAAGAATCTTATACGCGTTTTCATACGCATGAGGTTTAGGTTTAATTGATAAAGGAATTCCAAGGCCTCCTTTATATATATAACGATGATGGGACAAGCGCTTGTTTGTATATTCTTCTTTTAACTAAGAAATCAATCTGAGTGAAGGAATGACGACAATTTTATGTTACTGTTTTCTAATTTCGGCTCTCGTGAATAACGTATGGTCAAGTATGGAGTCCGCTGGTGCAGTAGGTAATAATACTATATTCGAAAAAAATTCAAGTAAAAAATCGACAAAATATACACTAATTAAATTAAACTTTTTTTTTTTGTAGAATGTAGCTCTCTTCCAGAAACTAATATCTCGAAATGTTTCAAGATTCATCTCTCCAACCGTGGTTTAATGTAGGTGAAAAGTCTTTAGCTTTCGTTCGATAATGATACTATTGATACTATAACTTGTCTTATTAGGAAAGCTTTGAAAACCCTTCGAAGAGGTAGTACCCGTCGGGGACAAAAAGGTAGTAGGCGTTGGGGACACGGATCAGCGGTTTCTAATAATTCAATAAATAAGAGTATACACATAAATTTAACCAAAAAAAATTATGGGGAAAACCCAATTATGGTATGTTCATCGACAAGCAAGACCGTCTAATATCATGTGTAAGTGGAGTAGTCAAACATGGTCCCAAATATAAAAATAAAAAAATAAGAAAAAAATAAGAAAAAAATAAGGAAAAATTAAGAATTTTTAAGAAATTTATAGATAAATTATGATAATTTTCTTTTAAAAAATTAGATATATTACTAAATTAGATCTTGTAATTTTGAAAGAAACATCAAACATAGTAATTAACTTTTAAAAAAATTCATTAAATCATAAATATATCGTTAATTTAAAAATTAACAGGGTCTAAAATTAATTTGAGACGGCCATGTCGACAAGTGTCTAATGTTATGATGATATTCAGCCTTAATCTTGTTGTCTAAACTAAATTTCATAATAAAAGTGTCTATATAGTTTTAACAATGAGACTATGTTTCATTTTAGAAGTGTAGATCTTTCGGTAAGTTCGTCTTATTGTAGTTTAATTAGTTTGATTACTATGCTTATTGTTTTTTAGATTATTTATATTACATCTCTTTTTTGGATTATACAAATATTCTGTTTAAAGTTTTTATACAGATGTTGAATTTGTTCTTGAACTTTTTGGAATTCATAACAACTTACGTTTGAGTAATCCACCATATGTTATGAAAGTATTTAACCAAATTAGAGTTCCATTAATGGTTTTTTATATAACTTATCTTCTTTTCAGTTTAATAAATAATAACATTGTTACGATTTTCACAACTTAAAAGTTACAGATTTATCCTACATTCCTCCCCTATATATTCAATTCAATTCGGTCTAATCAACAAACACAATCCCATTTCACCAATTCAAGAAAAAGCAAAAAAAACTCACAAAAACATGGAGTTTCATGGAGCTTTAGTGGCTAGTCCAGGCATGGGCCATGCAGTACCCGTCTTAGAACTTGGCAAACGTCTCTTGAGCCACCACGGTTTCGACCGTGTTACTGTGTTCCTAGTCACAGACGATGTCTCACGCTCAAAATCCCTAATTGGTAAAACGCTTATGGAAAAAGAAGAAGAAGATACAAAATTCGTGATCAGGTTTATTCAGCTCGACGTTTCGGGTCAAGATCTTACCGGTTCGCTTTTAACTAAGCTAGCAGAGATGATGAGGAAGGCAATACCACAGATCAGGTCTGCGGTCATGGACTTAGAGCTGAAACCTAGTGTTTTCGTCGTTGACTTGTTAGGCACGGAAGCTTTAGTTGTGGCTAAGGAGCTTGAGATCACGAAGAAACATGTTCTTGTTACTACGAGTGCTTGGTTTCTAGCTTTTACGGTTTACATGGCGAGTCTTGACAAAGAGACGTTGTATAAGCATTTGAGTATCAACAGAGCGTTGCTTATACCGGGATGCACCCCGGTTAAGTTCGACCGGGTTCAAGATCCGAGTAACTATGTCCGTGAACTAACTGAGACACAGAGAATTGGGCTTGAGGTAGTAACCGCAGATGGGGTGTTTGTGAATACGTGTCATAGTTTGGAACCAGTGACGATCAGTTCCTTCTTGGATCAAGAGAATCTCGGTCGGGTTATGAGAGGAGTTCCGGTTTACCCTGTTGGACCACTGGTTAGACCAGCAGAACCGGATTTGAAGCATGAGATGCTGGACTGGCTTGACTTGCAACCCAAGGAGTCTGTTGTTTATGTTTCTTTCGGAAGTGGTGGAGCTCTAACAGCCGAGCAGACAATGGAGCTGGCTTCCGGTTTGGAGATGACCGGGTTTAGGTTTGCTTGGGTGGTTAGACCACCGGCTGAAGACGACCCGTCTGCGTCAATGTTTGACAAAGCCACGAACCAGACAGAACCACTTGACTTCTTACCCTACGGGTTCTTAGACCGGACCAAGGACATAGGTTTAGTGGTCAAGACATGGGCTCCGCAAGAGGAGATTCTGGCGCATGAAGCAACGGGAGGGTTTGTGAGTCATTGTGGATGGAACTCTGTTTTGGAGAGTATAGTGAACGGTGTGCCGATGATAGCTTGGCCTTTGTACTCAGAGCAGAAGATGAACGCGTGGCTGGTCTCAGAGGAGCTGAAGATCGCGGCTAGGGTTGATGTTGGCAATGGAGTTGTGAAGAAAGAAGAGATAGTTGAAGTGGTGAAGAAAGTGATGGATGAAGAAGAAGGCAAAGAGATGAGAAAGAATGTTAAGGAACTGAAGAAGAAGACAGCAGAGGAAGCTGTCAAGAATCTCTCCACTCCTCAGGCTGCTTACTTCAATCATAACTAATTAACCAAAAAAAAATCACTATTTTCTTGTAACAAACAACAAAAAGACACATTAACTGAGAATCTTGTTGGAATAAAGACATGTGTTGTTCAAGAGACATGAGCCTTTTTTTATTTTGTGAATGTCTGAATAGAAACTAAAGGCAAATAATCTTTGTCTGAACAGTGAAGTGAATAAGCCATTTGCTACACATCTAATGGAGAGACATCTGGCGAGTGATTTCAAACCAATACACTTACAGGTTCGGTAGCTTTCTCGAGCCATTCCATTTCGGTCTGGTTCATGAACGGAGCTAAGATGTCCTTGCATTTCAAATGGTATGTGTTTAACCAATCAATCTCTTCTCGTGTCAGCTGCTCTAAATTGATAAGTTTCACTTGATAGGGTGCCTAGGGAGAGAGAGTTACTCAGACATGCATATTGATAACAGAACAAGGAAGGTAAGCAAGCAAGTAAGTACCCAAGTGATATGCTCAAACTGCAAGTAGCCCTTGTCTCCAAAGTTAAATTCGGTTTCAGCATCATTGACAACAAGAACATTCTCTAGCCTTATACCAAAGTTCCCATCTTCATAATAACCAGGCTCTGCATAAGTTTAAAATAAAACCAAGTTCTTTTTTTTTGCATATGAAGTTAATTAAGAGATGAAGGTAAATAACGAGATTTTGTTGCAGACAAACCATCAGTAACAGTCATGGAAGCTTGAAGAGGAACATTCCTAGCATGAGGTCTGAAACTAACTTGGTGAGGTCCTGCATAATCTCAACACCAGTTGATATTTACAACTCCAAATAGTTTATAGTTTACATACATAGAATAAAAAAGGAGGCTTCTTATCACTTGCCTTCATGAACGAAAAGGTAAGAGCCGACACCATGACCAGTACCATGTCGATAATCCAAGCCATACTTCCACAAAGGAGCTCTAGCAAGAATATCAAGTGTATACCCTGTAATTTCAGATAATAGCCAAATAAGAAAAAATATAAAACATGTCAATAGGCTAATAACAGTGATTTGTGATCATAAGACTATACCGCTTGTTCCTTTAGGAAACCGAGCATTCCCGAGTGCAATATGACCCTTGAGTACCTGAGATGCATCCCATTAATCATATATTAGAAACTTTGTTATTCTAAATATATATATATATAAGAACGTTACAACTACATACCGCAGTGTAGCAGTCCTTTTCATGAGCTGAAGGTTTACCAAAGTGAACCGTTCGTGTTATATCAGTTGTTCCATCCAGGTACTTGGCTCAAAAAGACATCAATAACATTTGTATGTTAATATCAAATAAGTGAACCTTATAGTATTTAACTCAGATCATGTGATATAAACAAACCTGTGCTCCTGAATCACACAAGTAGATTTTGTCTGGATCCATCTCGGCACAAGCTCCAGCTTCTGGTGAATAATGAATAATCGCAGCGTTTGAACCAACCGATGATATTGTAGGAAAGCTTAATCCTCTAAAATGCTGCAAACCACATGCATGAACACAAAACGTTATATATTAAGATACCCTCACCTGACAGTAAATAAATTGATGTTAATATGTAAAAAAAACATTACCTCTTTGGCAGCTCGGAGACTTTCCAGCTTATCACTCACAGTCGATTCAGTAAGCTTAGAGGTCTCACTAGTTGGTTTCTTTTTGTTTGACTCTGCTTCCAAAAAGTATCCAGATGCTCCATATAGCTCTTGCATCTGCAGTTTCACAAATTAACGAGTGAACATGAAACTATCATCGATGTAGTATTATTGTTCAAGATCCAGTAAGTACCTACCTGTTCATCGAGCCAGGCAAGGTACTGGACAACAGCTGCACCATCACGCACATGTGCCTTCTTGAGCCCTTCTAGCTCAACATGATTCTAACATAAAAGAGCATAAGCAACAGAAATAACACGGTAAGAGAAGTCACTTTCTCATCTATTTACCTTTAAGGCTTTAGGGAGTGACAAAGGAGATGGTTGCAGGAGAAGCTTATCAGCATCCAATTTGGAATAAATTGCATAACAGCACTTAGCAGGATCCACCCATAACCAATCAGAATCAGTCTCCATGTCTTCCTTTGTACTTTTAGAGGAGAATGATGAAAAGAGTGTATCAGAAGCAAGCAACGCCACATCTGAGATCACATCTGTGTACTCCCTGACCTCTACACCAAGCCCCTTGAAATAATCACTTGCCTCATTGGATACTTTCTTCTTGTCCACGTAGAGGAACGCAGAGTCGATAGTAACAATAGCAAAGGCATGAGCAACGGGGCAGTAAGCGACGTCAGTGCCACGTATATTGTATAGCCAAGCAACCTCATCGAGAGCAGCAATGACATAACCACGAGCACTCTCTTGCTTCAGCTTTGACCTCAACTCTTCAAGTTTATCGGAAACAGAGCGGCCAGCAAACTCCAAGGGATGAACAACAACTGGACTCATCTGAGAATCCGGACGGTTCTTCCAAACCTCGTCCACAAGATCAGTTGTTGTCGGAATGAGTTTCTGATTCTTTTTGGCCAAGGACTTGTTCCATCTGTTAGCAGTGTCTACGGAGACACACCATGGATCAACACCAATGTTTGCTTCTTCAGATAGATTCTGCATTGTTACCCCAAACCAAATTAAGCACTTAAATAAAACATGTAAAAAATCATTGATGATGGAGAGTATTTGAGTATTTGAGTCTCACATCAGACATCCAAACTTCAAGGAGAGGATCTTCTCCCATACGCATGAGTGTCCACTCGTGGCTAAGTTGTTGAGTTGCTTGCAAGAAGTAGCGACCATCTGTCCAGAGTCTTGCTTCGTTTTTCGTGATTAGTGCCAAACCTATTATCAAATTACATGTGATTAACTATTACAATTAAGGATTAATTAATGAAATTACAGAGAAAAACAGAACACACAAACCTGCACTTCCAGTGAATCCAGACACGAACTCGCGGCGTTTGTCTCGAGCAGAGACATACTCACTCTAAAAAAGTCAGATACAAACACAATCCAAAAGTAATAAAAATCGAAACTTTGTATTAACAAATCAACTAAAACATGAATTCAAAGATGGGATCATGAACCTGGTGATAGTCTTCGGAGGGGACGACCAAAGCATCAAGAGGAGGAGAGTGAGAGGCCATTAGTGACCTCAATGAAGACAGAATCTCAGACATCTTTGCGTTCAGAGAGAGTTTTTTGCGTTTCGTGCTTCGATGACGAAACACCAGATGCAGAGGTTGTTTGACTTGAGAGACAGAGAGAGATGGATTATAAACTACTTATAAACAGCTTGACGCAGTTAAATAAAAACCAACTCTATATTTTTTTCCCTACATTATAGCAATTAAAATTTTACAAATATGTATGTTTATATATTTGTTTGGAAGAACACACAATAATGATAGGAGAAAAATATAGTACACACACACAACCACCAACATCAGAACCTGAGCACACCCATCAGGAACAAAGAAGATTTTTCTATATGATTGTTTAGCTTGAGAGATTGAATAATAGAGGAAAAAATAAAGAAGTAATAATGTGACTTTTTTTTGTTTTGTTTTGGTTCAAGGTTGTGAAAGTCTCTCGACTATTTGATGTTCAGCAAGAGCTACATAGTTCTGTTTCCGTTGCTTCTCTTGACCCATCACCAGCGAACACACCCACCCGCTCCATAAGGTGACCCTCCACGGTCTTGAACGTTCCTGCTCCAAATGTGTATCTTATGGGAACGAATGGTGCACCAACCAGCTGTGTTATTGCTGCACCAGAAGAAGATAAAACAAGATTTTTAGAAAAAAAAGTATAAAGGAAAGGTGTGTGCACAAGGTATTCCCAAGTTGGAGAGGACACCTCTTATGCTTCCACAAGGGAAATACATGCTCACAGACAGCATTGCTTTCCCCTAGAGTAGACGGATCTATATATCTTCGGTTTCCTTCTCAGAAGAAGGGTCACGAGATTGCCATCAGAACTTGTTGTCTTGCAATACAAACGTACCCTGTTGTAAGAAAGAGTTTTCCCTCTTGAGATTATCTATCTATCTATCTATCTGCTTCTTGAAGACCACCTCAGACCACAAGTCTCTACAGATAAACTTGATTGCCTCTAGATGGTGCGCTGGACCTTTTGGTCTTTCGATAGTGGCAAGAAAAAGAATAGAGTTATGCACAATTAATTATTATTAAGTAGAAATGCAAAACCTGCTACTGCACAACGCATCTGATACAGCTAGCTGCTAAGAATAGAGTTATGCACAATCCTCTCTCATTTCAAAACCCAAGAGAAGGAAGAAAGCTGTGCACCTTTTTGCATACTATGGTAGAAAGGAACGAGATGATTCTCACATATCGGACACAGGCTCCTTGTTGTTCGGTCACAAAGAACAAAAGTTAGCAGCAGCATAAACAGAAACATGGGTGTGTTAGCTAGCTAGCTACATTCATCTAAGACGCAGACAAAAGGAGACCAGGTTAAGGGAAAATTAATTAATGGGTGTCGCAAGGAAACTATCATTGACTGAAAACAGAGAACACAGTAGCAATACAAGTTGAAAGAAGAGATCTAGTATATACAGATATATATATATAAGTAAAGAGTTGTGAGACTTTTCAATAAAGAAACAAATGCAAGTTTGTCACTAAAGATAAACAAAAACAAAGTTTGCTGCATAAATATAAAAAAAAAGAAAAAAGGAAAAGAAATGTTTTGTTAGTCTCGCAAGCAAGCTCTTACATGATGATAAAGACACACATATATAAATTTATAAAAAAGCAATAGTATCAGCGTGTTGGGGTGAGAAAACGGCGCAACAGGGGTCAGTGGCAGAGAGTCCGTAACGGGTCCAGAACTCTTGAGTATCAGCGACACCGTGGATCCTGACTCTTCTGGTGCTTTTGGTGTCAGGGTTGAAGTGGAAAACATAGAAGGGCTGGGCAGGGCCAGGGAGAGATGATGGGGAGAAAACGATTTCACCAGCCTTGTTGGTTCCTTGGGAAATCAAAGCCTCGGACAAGGGAAGCTCAAATGTTTGTTTGGACCACTCATGTTTGGTGACATCCTCCAGTGTCCATAGATCGAAAGAAGAACCATAGTTACCTGCAATGACAGCTAGCTTCCCTTTGTATTCTATCAATCGGGTATAAGCCTCCGAAGCCAGGACCTCCTTAGGGGCTGAGATAAAACTTAGTATCTTCTCATTCCTAACATCAAAACACACAAACACAGGAGTTTCTCCCTCCTCCTGACTTGGAGCCCAAGCAGCATAATACATGAAACCATTGATGCTCCGTCCCAAAGTTAAAGGGTAATAAGGCGGGGAGGTAAACTGTCTACGAGATACTACGCCTCCTCCTCCTCCTCCTCTTCGTCTTCCGAGTCTAATAACCTCGTGCACCATGGAAGTCATGGAACTAAGGTTAGAATGAAGGAGACATGACACCTGGGTCAACGCTTTGAATTGATCATCAACAGGATCGTATCCCAGGGATGTGAGCTGTGTCTTGGCGTGAAAGCGAATGACTTGCCCAGTGCTAGGGTTACATATAATGAACTTTGACAGTTGAAAACAAACGAGATAGCCATGGACGGAAGAATACTGGAAGGGGCCGTGAGCTATGGTCACTCCGGGTATTGTCATGTCTAGATTGGCAACCAAAGAATCTTCTGAAGAAGAACAAGAAGTTTCCTCCTCCTCTCCCGTGAGGATGAAGAGACGCTTGGGATCACCAAATACACTGTTGCTGAAAGCGACTATAAAACGGGATGGCTTCTTAGCGTAGTAAGAAGCCACGAATCTTTGGCTTCGGATAAGGGAAGACCAAGTCTTGGATACGCATAGGAACCTCATCAGCGACTTTCCAGGCAATCTACTCATTATCTCCTCCTCCAAATCAAAAGGGACGACGAGCTTCTTACCTCCTCCTCGGGGGCTCTTGACTTGTTCTTTTTGGTGATGGGTCACACTCATCTTCTTCTTCTTCTTCAGATCACGAGGGATCTGCTCCAACCTGCCCTTCTCAGGTTCCTTGCGTTTCATCATTGGAGGCGCTAGTCCTGACCAAACCCTTCATTCATTCAGACTCCATATTGATAGATCTGGATCTCGATATAAAGACAAAACCAGTTTCCTTTTCACAATTCAGACACATCTCAGCCGTTCGTTTTGAACTTAACACTTTTAACAACTCTGACACATCTCTATTTTTAATAGATTTTGTTAAAGAGTAGTAACTAGGTTCGGTCCTTTTTTTTTTATTAAAAATAAAAATAAAAATAAAAACCAAATAAGAGAAAAAACTTTAAATAGCTTTAGACGGATACGAAGAACATCGACTTGTTGTAAAGTTTAAACCTTTTGTGTTAGATAATGTATTGAGTTTATTTTATTTTTTTTATGAAATATTGAGTTTATATTTAATCAATATTTGTCATATATATCTAAAATTTTACTAAATAACTTAACTTAAACTATTAATAATTAACATAAAATATTTTTAAGCTCTAGTTGTATATTACTTAAAATGTTACAAAATAATAATAAATATTGTTAACAAAAGATATTTTAGCTAAATTATAAAATATTATATATGAAACATAATATAGATTATTGAGCTTTATAGATATAGATTATTGAGCTTGCTTTTGTGGTCTTATAGATTATTGAGCTTTATACGAAATGATGATTTAATGATTTCTTTCTTTTTTCTCTTTTTCTGTTAGGCTTTGTCGAATGGGAAGCCGACACTAGTATGCAGATTTGTCGAGAATGATGTTTACAACCGGTTGAAATGTTCGAGAAACTGAGGAGGAGACGACGGAATCGGATCTTCTTCTTCCTTCACGGCGGAGATATCGCTCTCCGTCGTGGCCTTGACGTTGTTATCTTCCTCTCCGTTGTTCTTACCTTTCTGTTCGGAGAGAGTTTGCGTTTCGTGCTTCAATGACGAAACCATAAATGGCTTGAGAGAGAGGTGGATTGTAATGTACTTCAAAACAGTTTTCACTTCTTCTTAGGTATCCAAATGGCTTGACGCAATTACAAAACAATCTATATATTATTCCCTACATTATACGCAATTAAAAATTTACAGTTATGTATTTTGTATACATTTGTCTGGATATAAAGGCAAAAGCAGTTTCCTTTTTCCTCACGCTCCTGACCAAACCCTTCATTCTACTCGAGATATAAAGGCAAAAGCAGTTTCCTTTTTCCTCACGCTCCTGACCAAACCCTTCATTCTACTCGAGATATAAAGGCAAAAGCAGTTTCCTTTTTCCTTTGAAAGTTAACTTCCCTACACTATAGCAATTTAAATTTTACAAGTATGTATGTATTTTTTTATATATGTTTGTGATAAAAGAACTCGATGTAAATCAAGAGACAATATGATGAAAAAAATATATATAAGTATGTACACACACAACCATCAACATAAGAACCTGAAAACACTCATCAGAAGGAAAAAATAGACTCTTTATATGATTATTTAGCGGGAGGAACTGAAAAAAAAAGAAAGAAGTAATAATGGGACATTTTTTTGTTTTGGTTTAAGGTTGTGAAAGTCTCTTGACTATTGTAGCCATGTAGTTTCCTTGATGTTCAGCGAGAGCTAGTTCTGTCTCTGTTGCTTCTCTTGACCCATCACCAGCGAACACACCCGCTCCATAAGGTGAACCTCCACGGATAGAGTCCATCTTGAACATTCCTGCTCCAAATGTGTAGCCTATGGGGACGAATAGCATCCCGTGGTGCACCAGCTGTGTGATTGCTGTCCATCTTCAAAAACAAACACCACATGGAATCAGCTACTGTTTCACACTAAAAATGGACAGTAAACTGTTTCAGAGACTGACACTAAAACACATTATAAAGTACCCTAATTGTACACTTGTTAAGATCTGCATAACCCACATGCAATGTAAGATTCCACACCGTTATATGCTTCTCTATATTGCTTTGTTAAAATTTCAAAGCTATTTTGTGTTTAGAGGAACCAAACTATCACAGAAACAAAGTAACAAAAGAAAAAGCAGAGAATAGATTCCACAGAACTTGGGAGCAAATCAGCTAATGGGATCTCGCAAGTGTGTGCAAATAATAAAAGAAGATTGAAGAACCTATCAATTTAAAGGAGGTAACACACTCCTCATGCCTAGAGATGCAATTGATGCTAAGAAATTGAGAATCAAATGTAATAAACTTCATTTCACAATCCTATCCTATTCAATGGTGGCCAGATGCCTACTCATAATGTAGGCAAATCCAGTTGAGTTCTGAAACTATACCTCTACTAGATTACCCTTGAAGTGAACAGTGTAACTAAAGAAGCAATCAATTCCAACCATAGGCTATAAACTCAAAACTGTACTTAGATAAAAGTCCTGACCACAAGTGAAACACAAAAGTTCATGTCTTTATGTCTATAGCTACATTTAATCACTCAATCAAAAGGACAAAGCTTTGACTCCAAACTCAACTACTTAAGTTTCAATAAAGCAGTAAACTTTAAGACTCACGCAGTAGTCTCCTGTCCACCTCCTTGAGTCCCCGTACTCACAAAAAACCCAGCAGGCTTCCCCGCCAATCTCTGCTCCTTCCACAACCCTCCCGTAGAGTCAAAGAAAGCTTTCATCTGCGCAGCCATACACCCATACCTCGTCGGAAACCCAAACAAAAACCCATCCGCCTCCTCCAACTCCCCCGCCGTTATCTCCGGAACCATCTCCAAATCCTTAGCCGGCGCCTTCATCATCTCAACGACCTCCTCCGAGAGCGTCTCCGGCACTCTGTACAGCCTCGCCTCCACTCCTTCCACTCCCTCCACTCCCTTCTTCATCCTCTTCGCTAAGCTCTCCACGTGTCCGTACATCGAGTAGAACACGATGAAGATCTTCAGCGGCGGCGGCGGAGAGATGGTTGCGGTGCCTGTGATCGCCGCCGCCGTCGGTGTTTGATCGTCGTCGGTTGGGAGAGGAGCGTTGACGGCGTCTTCGTACTCGGTTGCGTGATCGTCTCCGGTGGTGGCGAGAGAGGATGGTTTCTTCTTCTTGCTCGGAACGCATCCGCCTCCTTTCCCCATCCCCCTCGACCGATTTTTCCGTCAACAATAAAATTTTAAAAATAAAATAAATAAATCACTAATAATGGGGTTAAGCCAAAGATTTTAACAGCTCAGAGAGAATCATAGTCAACTAGTCAACTAAGTCAAGTCAATCTAAACGGCGCCGTATGTTTTACGGTCGATATTTGGGTTGGGCTAAGCTGAGTAAGACCACTTACTGGGCTTTATAGTTATTGGCCCGTTTATGATATAATATTACGCTAAGATCGTTGGTTTTATACAAGAGTCTAATGACTAAGACCGTTTATTCGGCTTTGTAATCGTTAGCTAGTTTATGATATAAGGTAAAGCCTTTAAATATTGGTTTGATTTGTATTGGGCTTGTCACTGTCAACGTAATGTATTTGACTTCTTTTTTTCCCTTTGTACATGATTACATCAAACTATTATAACTAGTGATGGAAACTAACTTACAGGTTTAGTAAATAATTTATGGTTTAGGGTAGAGCAGTTAGGTAAGGTGGGTGTGTTCACTTTTTGTTGCATTTTTCATTACAATGTTCTTGTTTTATATTGGGGTTAGTTTGTGTTTTCTCTCTATATTCTGAATCGAAAGAAGCGATCAAAACTATATATTTGGTGAAAATAAATTAACTATTAGTGTGTAAATATTTTCTTTCAAATGCTTCTCCTTTTATTTATAAACATTCTTGGCTCAAATGTGTAGATGTTTTAAAAATGGAAATTAAAAAGAAAGTTTACATCTATTTTGGCCACTTAAAGTTTTTTTTTTGGCCATTCAATTGTGTCCTTCTCAGTGGATCTTTTTGTTTGCTGGATCCATTTTCCTTCACTCCATATCCACAATATATCTCTGTCTTGATTTGATAGATGGTGAGGTTTTTACTTTAGCTTGTTTTATATAAACTTGTAAGAATTAGATATAGTTTCCATATCCATAATATAAATACAAAACTACATATGATAATTTAAATGAAAAAAAAAATATATATATATATATATATATATATATATATTATATAATTGATATGATGGTGCTTTTTCTTTTAGTCGGCTAATCCGATGGTGTCTCTTGACGTGTTTGAAAGCGTACTATTAAAATAACGTAGTCAATTTAACCTAATACCATCCTACCTACAATCTAAAAAAAATAGTAGCATGAAAATTATCAATCATACTGTTAATCTGAAAGAAAAATATCATTTGTTGATTAAGAGAATAGTTAATAGACAATAGACTCAACAAGTCAAATTACAGATATCGGTTATAAGTAATTGAGATTATAACTTTACTAATAGTTTGGTAGATTGTTAAATAAGATATATTGTATTTTAACATGTTGGATTGATTAAACTTTGGGTATTTAACTATTTATCGTAGTTTTTAAGAGCTACATAAATCTTACCTAATTGGCTAATGTCGGGAAACGATATGTATAAATTTGATAGTAGCTAATATTATATATATATATATATTGATGTATTAGTGCTTCGATAAGCTTTATTAGTTTATTAACAAACATACTTAATGTTGTGCCATGTATTACCTTGGACCACCATAAAAATTATACAAGATTGCGTTTAAAGCTGCAAGAACAAATATAGAAAGAACATTGTAAATTTATAACAATAAAGTAAGACTGATAATGAGAATTTTTTTTAAACAATACATTTAGGTTTAAAGCTAACACCCACGAATCTAGGACCAAGCCCAAGAGCAATATAGACAAGTATATTTAGCTGTCATTAGGGACACCTGTGGAGTTGATAGACATGACACGTTTCCAAATACTATTTATGGAAATTTATAATCTTTAATTAAGGAGCTAATGACAAGATTTGTTTAGTTGCTGACCATGTGCTTAAAGCTCTAATCGTGATTTGTGATGCAGAAGAAACCAAAGAGACAGCTTGGATCTTGAAAGATGCAAATGAATTAGCAAAAAAAACGTTGAGTGACTATTATTTATACTTATATTTATTTATGGAAAATATATCTAATTCTTACTTCACGTGAGTGTTTCCTGTACCGTCCACGTTGTGTTATGTCATTGAATGTTTTAATCGTAAAGATTGTGGCGGTGATTAGTGTCTTAATCGAGTAATTGAGAATCTTTAATTATTATTTTAAAGAACCAGCGATTTAGGCTTAGCTGTTTAGGGATTGGTATGGTTATTGATCCACAACAGAAGGATCCATGGAATTCTATTGGATTTTTAAAACCAACGAATCTCAACAATCAACTACTTCTTCAATCAGAAAACAGGAGAAGGAAGCAATTCTGTGGAGAAAAAAACTAGCACCTTTTGATTATTAGATTTAGAAAATTTGAACCTATATAAGTAAAATATCCGTCGTCTGTAATTTTATCCTATAATCTTGACAAACAAAAATGATATTTGTGTAGATTTGTATGCATATAAATGTTAATTTTGATGATAGTTATATATAAACAACAACAATGATAACCATTTGTAAAAAAAAAATCTTTTATATTTATTTTGTGTAAAAGATAAATTAATTAATGATAAAAATGGATAGATTAATTAGCGGAAGAAATACACCTGTGAAGGTTAATATATAGAGTACAACTGTACGAATATATTTATTGGTTTTGCTTTTCTTTGCGTTAAACTTTGTTTTGATATTGTAACCACTAATAGTTAATCGGAACGTTATTTTTCTTTACAATTATTTTTGTTCATTGGTTCGTAGAGATGTGCATGAACTTTTTGCTTTAACTGCGACTGCGACACGCGAGAAATGGAGAGTCAGAGAGACTTGTGTCCCAATGGTTTTTCATAGGACGTTTTGAATGTTGACTCAAAAAGAAGAAGAAAAAAACCCATTATGCGTATGCTTTATTATAGCTTTCAGGATTCCTAGCTTTTACCTTTTTATGAGTGAAATTATGAAAAAAATACGTTGCAGGCGTCGCTGTATCCTTTTTTTTTTTTGAACACCCAATATATTAAAGAAGCAGTCCAACTAGAAAGTTAGTTGGCTGTAGGAGAGTACAAGGCTGATTTCGTAAGGGAGTCAGCTACAACATTGAGATTTCTGGAAATGAAACTAAAAGAAATACAGTCAAAGGAGAGGGATAGATGCTCGATGTCCCGTGTGATTCCGTAGAGATCCGTCGGGTGATTCTTCGAGGAGATAACAGCAACGAGTGCTTGACAATCTGTTTTGAAACAGATTTTTGAAAAGCCCAAATCCAGGGCGGAGAGTAGCGCTGATCTAATTGCTAAGGCTTCAGCAACTATCGGTGAAGAGATGTGATGAAAAATCGCAGAACCCTGCAGAATGCATTCCTGTTGTCCATTCACAAATACCCAGCCAGCACCAGCTCTGTTAGTAGAGGTTTGCCAAGCCGCGTCCGTGAAGCAGCTCATGCTTATCGGGTTCAAGGGGGTAACTGCGATGTAGTTGTGGCCTGGTTGAGACGCTGGTGTAGGAGGTTGAGCAGAAGACCATTCTCTGGCATTCTTGATAGATTTAGAGAGGATATCAGCCGGTGAAGAAGCTCTGTTTTCGAAGATGAGACAGTTTCTAGCTGTCCAAATACCCCAGCAAATCCAGGCAAATAAACTTCCTGCTACTCCCAGGGGTGGGAGGTTGATGATGTTCGATGAGGAGAGGAAAGCTTCAGCGAAAGAGTCGAAGTCTGGTGGATAAAAATTAACATTCCAAGACTGAGAGGACCAAATCTGTCTGGTGAAACTGCAGTGCAGAAAAATGTGATCGGTTGTTTCAAACTCACCGCAGCGCCGACACGTTAAGTTGGAGGAGAGCCCTCTCGATGCTAAATTCTCTCCTGTGGCAAGGGCTCCTTTTAAAATTTTCCAGAGGAATAACTGGAGCTTTGGGGAGACTCTACTTTTCCAGACATTCTTGTAGACGGAGCGCTCAGAAGCAGTAACTTCTCGGGTCCCTGATGACGCAACAAAATACCCTGATTTTGCAGAGTATTTTCCGGATTTTGCAGCTAACCACACAAAAGAATCAGGAGAGCCAGTGATACTTGGTTTAATCAACAGAATAGCCCCCAGGTATTGTGGAAGAAGATTCACGATCCTAGAGACATTCCATTCTAGGCTTCCTCTACAAAGCAGATCAGCCACCACCAGGTCTTGATGCTCCTCTTTCACCGGTCCCATAGGCCTCAATGGAGACTCCGAGCTGAGCCATGGGTCCTTCCAAACATTCGTATCCTCACCATTCCCAATCACTTTGCTTAGGTTAGTCAATAGAAGATTTCTCCCTTTCAAAATGCCTCTCCATCCATGGGAGGAGACCTTCGGGGGTTCCACAGTGAGAAAAGAGGATTTGGTGCAGTATTTACCTCGCAAAACTCTTGCTAGGAGACAATCCGGATTGGTAACAATTCTCCAGGCTTGTTTTGCGAGCAAGGCGACATTGAAAGCTTGAATATCGCGAACCCCTAGACCTCCTAGCGCTTTAGGTGTTGTTATGGTATCCCACGCCACCCAACACATCTTTTTTTTCTCCGGGGAATCATCCCACCAGAACCTCGTAAGCACGGATTGAATCCGGTTACACAGACTCACCGGTAATTCAAAACAAGTCATAGCGTACGAGGGAACAGAGGTGAGAACTGATTTTAGCATGACTAGTTTTCCTGCACTCGAAAGCTGTCTAGACGACCAGCTAGCAGCCTTGACTCTTATACGATCAACAATACTAGGGAAAAGATCTTTTTTCCGTCGACCGAAGTGTTCCGGGAGTCCTAGGTACTTCCCTACACCTCCCTCCTGCTCAATCCCGAGGTGTAGCTTAACACGTTGCCGTATTACCTGCGGGGTCTTAGATGAGAAGGAGATAGAGGACTTAGAGGCATTAATCGTTTGACCAGACGACACTCTATATTGCTGGAGGATAGTCATCAAAGTAGAGCAACTCATATCATCCGTGTGGAGAAAGAACATCGTGTCGTCCGCGAAAAGTAGGTGATTGAGGCGTGGCGCAGCGGTGGC